AAAAGCAGTTACATTTAACTGAGGAAACTGTCATTTCGGTCGTCAAGCCTTATTATACTCTAGTGACCTATTTACATCCGCTCGAAAAAGTCTTGTTTTAATCAAGCCGCCGCAACGATCAAAACTCATATTTGTATTAAACGCTGCTGACAACCTAGCGAACCACGGTTTGTTCAATTACGCCGGAATAAGTATAGTACAAGCTCTGTACAACACACAAATTTCCTTTGTTCAATCGAATTCAAATATATTAGAAAACTATGTGCCTAAATGATATGATTTTGATGCAGAAGTGTTAACAAAGTCTCGGCAGTACGTCTCGCATTCTACAGTCAAAGTTTCTCTCTCACAACATAGTGCACGGTAACAGTACAAAATAGTTATTGACTAGCTTTCAAGCAAGTGAGGATTTTCCAAACGAAATAAGATCGACAATCTGCCTGTAAGTATTTAAAAAACTGTTTTCTGAAGGCATTCGAATAACAACAGTCATCAACTTTTCCATACCCAAATTTTGAGTTCAAACTAGTATAGTGACCTACTTTTATCAAGAGAACGCGATCGGTGTAATGAAAACAATTATCATTATAACCGACCGTATTGGAGATTGCTTTACCGTACATGTTTGTTTAACTGTACCAAAATTCATACATTCTTCCATTGATTGTGACCTTGCACGAATTCAGCTACACCCACTAACCACACTTGTAACATGGCACGATCTTGGTATTCTTTCGATACCACGAGATCGCCAAAAAATTACATCTCGACCACAGCCATCAACTGTCTACTGATATTTGGCTTACAGGGCTTATCGGTTAACTGGCACGTAGACTTCCTGTAGTGGTGATCATAATCAACCGCGACTCGACGCCACACTACACTAACAAGACCTTATCGTCAGTGGATTGACATCATGCGAAAATAAAATCAAATTATGGAGATAAATGACAACTAAAGTCAAGCAACACAGTAGCATTTGTACAATCTGAAGATCATAATCATCCTTTATCATGGGGTCAGATTGGGAAAACAACCTTAATCATTCTTCAGTTACCTGATATTTCAGAGACCCCTGAAACAACGTTCAATATCTTGACAAGTATATCCTTTTGCTTACTCAAATGCAACCCATTGAAAAATGCAGTCCATCATTAAATCTTAAGTCCTTATCAGATCACTAGAACTGCTTGACAAACCTTTGCGAGCAAGCTGAAACACATATCGAAAAGACATTGAAGAGAAGATTAATTCTTAAAGCGTATGTTCACTTTGCATATGATGTAAAAAAAAGCCAGTAAATGTAACAAGTGAACAACGGCAATAATTCGACTAGAAGAAATAAGGTTCGGTTCTGGAACCAACGCTCAACATGGCAGTAAAATAGCAGCTAGCAACAAGAAATTAACGTATAACCTGTCAAACATCGAGTTAACTCTTAGTGGTGAAGAGATCTCAAACTTCTATAACACAGTCAACTGGTTGTTTAAATGGTTATCACGCTTTGTATTGATAAAAAGACTGGCCAAATTTCCAGTTCTCATCTCAGCTTTTCAGATACACAACCATAGGTTTAAGTATATCAATGTTTATGGATGGAGACATTGATGATTCATATTTTGGATCTGTGGAATGGTTACAGTCGACTAGGTGTTCAAGTATAGAACTAACTGATTTCCCTTCCCCTTTATAGAACCAAGCTGGAATATGTTCCCGTATCCGAGTTGAAAGCAAACCACTGGCTACGGCCAATGTACCTTGCTCCACAAGAGCAGGTGAACTGGGTAGGAGTTAGGAGCTCTATACTTGAACACCTAATCGACTGTAACCATTCCACGGATCCAAAATATGAATTTCTACCAGTTCACCTGCTCTTGTGGAGCAAGGTACATTGGCCGTAGCCAGCGCTCGCTCTCAACTCGGATACGGGAACATTGATGATTATTTGCCCTGCGATTAAAATGATTTCTATGTTTCATTCTCATTAACGCTTGGACTCACTGCCTTTGTTCAGAAATACGTAACATGTCATGGTGGGACTTCTCTTCAATTATGTTGGTAGACTGATCACAAGAGTATTCCGAACTTATGGTCCCACGTGACAGGAAATGCCTTCGTCATGCTTTTTGCTAAGATATGGTATCTGTCTTCTAGGAGGAATTCAGAGAAAGCAACTGAAAAGGTAATTGAACTAAGGAGTAAACCCGACCAACCTCACCAGGATTCACCAAACTTACATCCTTTTCAGTGCAGAAGCAGAAGGAAGGATAATTATGACGCATTATATTGATCGTAATCCCTCAGATTCTTGTGGATTAGTAATTCACTCCAGTACTGAAATGGATATAATGTCCGTGAGAACATTTTCTCTCACAGATATTCTAAAGTTCTGTAACGGAGTAAATAATAGTGGCAGGTTCACTCACTAGAAAGCTAGAAGCTCATTTTGGAAGCAGTGGTAGCGCCTGGTACTACTCCAGGCGTTATTCTCTGATCACAAATATTTAACCAGTCTTCAGGATTTAGTAATAAGGATAGTAGTTCGATGGATCTGTGTCAATCCCTGCAGCTTGTTTTCCACCAGAAGTCTTGCTTTTGATTGAAAATGTTAACTGGTAGGGCTGACACCACACGTCCGAGGAAAAAGAGTTCCAGTCATTGACCACTTGATGGGTAAAACAGAACTGCACTCTCGGTTTGTGGGGTTGTGATTTCTAAACCTCCTTTCAATAGCCTCGGAGATGATTAATGCTGGAGGGAGCAAAATGATAAGGCACATCAACACATAAATCGTAAATAAAGATACAGAACACCAACATAAGATCACATTGTGTCTCGCGATACGATAAGAAGAAAAGGTTTCGGCGATTTAAGCCTCCATCGTAAGAAATTCTGGAAAAACACTTCACTAACCTTGTTTCTACACGTTAAACGTGCTCACGTGAGTTAGTGTTCGGTGTACATGAACACACTCTTTATAGAATTAATTTCTAAGCCCTAACATTAGGAACATCCAAATTATTCGTCTAGGTCAGCTTGGAGATTAAAATGATCAGCCTCACTTCTTATTATTTTCCAGACTTTGAAGTCATCCGAAAAACATTTTTCGATGACTTACGTAATTCGCTGACGTAGAGAAGGGAAAGGGGTGGGCCTAAGATGGTGCCTTCGTGTATACCACCTTTGAACATCTTTCCATCTTCCCTTACTCTCTATCTTCGGTCACATAAGAAGCTTCTTATCCATCCCTGTATATCACCCGTTATTCCGGAGCTCATGAGCTTCTGCATAAGATTTAGATGAGAAACCTTGTCAAATGCTTTGTTAAAGTCTATGAATATCACACCAACAGACAGTCTATTACCTAGGGCTGCTGTTTCACACCTCTCGCAATGAGTTAGTTAGACATGAATGCTTGTTTCGAAACCCGTGTTCCTAGGCACTTAACAGATTGTATGATTCTATGTGACTTAGTAACATGGCCCAAATTAGTCTTTTCAAGTGCCCTAACTGCTATTTTGGTTAGACTGACAGGCTTGTAGTTAGATGCTTTCTGTCTCTGACCATCTTTAAATATAGGACTAAATATGGCATCTTTGCAGTACTTAGGGAGTTGAGTGTGGGAAAGGGACATGTTGAAGAGCATTATGAGTGATTCTAAGATAGTGCCTGCGAGAGGCGACAGCAATCGTGAGTGCGATCCATCAAGGTTCTGTGTTTTGCTAGGTCTGCGATTATTAAGCAATCGATCGATAGCTTCTTCAGTCACATATACTGATCTTATAGTTGGTATCTGAATAATGTGGTGATGGGAAGTGTCGTCGTCAATACTCACAGAGTAGACTTCGCTGAAAGTTCTATAAAGTCTCAGCTTTAACCAGATCTGATTCAGCTGATATATATGAGTTTCATGTAACGGTTATGGAGAAATATCATCACTACGTTTTGCTGTTCATTTAATTTACGAAAACAATCGTTTTTGGCAGTTATGGTTACTGAATGATGTCTTTCATAAGTATTCCCACTCAAGTGACTCATGGTTTGTTGATAAGAGAAAGTCTTAGAAGTGTTTCTTACGCCTCAGAATCTTTCAGGATTCCTTATTGGTCTATTGATTGCAATGTGATAGCTTACATGTTGACCATGGGACTAAATGTAATGCCGCAGACTCGGATGTGGATTTAAGCCTATTCCGTTCGTTCTTCACTGAGTTATCTACACCGGCCAACCAAACTTTTAAGATAACACAGTCTGTAGGTGTCGAAATACTAGCCGCCAGATAATGTGGAGTGTTGGAGCAGACACATAGAGTATGTTGCGTTCGAAACCCAAAGTACAGTACGACGTGACTACTGTTTGGTAGTGAGGGAGGTAACATTACCATAATTGTTTGTAAATACAAGATTCAGCGGTAAATGTTCGTGTTCCAGGCCAATCTGTATTAGTTTTGCGCAATATTGTAATGGTTGAGAGCAAGCTTCTGTCAAAGATCCACCTGAAGTTGTAAGTTATATCCAGTTGATATGGGATGAGTTAAAATACCCAACGATAAGAAAGCAGTCGACCTTACTCCAAGAATAGATATGACCTAAGACAAAGTCGTTAGCAAGACAACATGGACCACGGAGTATTCCTTCTATAGTCGCCAACCCCTCTAGATTTAATTGTACAACAAGCTACTTCACATGCGTCACTATCATGCGCTTCTTATATCCCTGATATTACACAGAGATGACCTCTTATACATAATATTATGTCTCCTTCGAGAGATTTATAACTTTATAGCTTCTAGATGATTGGTGAACAGTGTACATCTACACTAAAGGTCGAAAAACAATAATTTAACCTCTTCATTATACGGAATCCTCTTTTAAAAACTGAATGTAATCATAAGACATATACTCGTCACTAGTTCAAGGTTTAACGTCGTAATCGTTTTTCTAGATATATTGGGGCCACATCAAGGTTGCAATCAAGGTAATCTTGAACCCCGCTAAAAGCACTGACAAGGGTGGATCTAGACCTTCATGACTTTGTAAGCCCTAGGTATTTTTATTCTATGTTTCATGAGGATATTTTGCATTCTTATCGTATTTTAAAAGTTATGATTACTGCATTAAACCACCTGTCTTTGGCGAAACGTATTCCAATACACCTTAACCATTATAATGGCTATTATAATAGGTTTTATTAATCTTACTTTTTGAATCAATCAAGATCTGTACGTTTCAGGGCTCGCCCTGTCTTTTGGTGTTTTTGCTGCAGTGAATATATCTGCACTGGGTCCTATGTGAACACGAAAAGACAAATTTCACGTCGTTTTGTAGCAAATTTGACATACTATATTACTATTTCGAATCCAGTAATACAAATAACTAAGACGAGCTACGGACACTGATTACAGGAAACGATGAATCTAAGCTGTGGCGTGTAGTTTTCTTAGAGTTATACAACTCTTGTTTCATAATCAAGATGAGCGCAGAAGACATGTCCCTATTAGAGTGCATGTTTCAATTGAATGATGAATTTAATCATATAAACTGAACCGCTCCTGGTTGGTTTTCACTGCCGATGACATTTACATTGAGATTAAAAAATTGCTGTCTTACGAAGAAACTACTGTAATTACCACAATCTAACGCATTTCTCCTTAGCAAACTAACACTGATCATTAGTGCTTCGCCAAGGTATTTCGAATTCCGTAGTTTGTTATTTACTTTATTCGTACGTTAAAATCTAAAAGCAACAGGCTCATTAAATCTGAACAATAGATTAATAAAACGGCATGATAATTGGGAGTATTCGAATTAATGTACTAAGAATTCCTTAAATAGTGTTATTTAACGCAGGTAAAACTGGATGAGCACACATTGATGCATCATATTTGGAATTCGTAATAAGTGCGCAATCAAGTAAAAGGTAATCATCAGTTAGTACAAATACTACGAACAGTCTTACAGCTCTAATTATGCGCTCTGCTCGTTAAAATAATGCCAGACTATCAGCAGACATATTTTAAGGTTCTTCATAAAAATGCATGTTATCTGCCCTAAAAACTTTACAAATAAGGACCGGACGCTTCGTAAACAACTAATAAGTTGATTTAACAAACGCCCAGGTAAGACCATCGTAATATGTGAGTATAAGTCTGTTGTTTGTTTTCTTCAGTGGCCAATATAGTAAAAGGTTATATTGGAATTTATTCATAAATCATATAATTTGGTGGAAATCTATTGTTTGTGTGCAAAATATTCCACTCGCAAATTGGTCAAGAAAATACATACACTTCTTAAAAGTGATTCACTTGTTCAATGAGGTTCTAACACTTGATCACTTCCGATAGTCGCAAAAACATCAGATACTGCACTCCAACCATAACGACGCTATACCATATAGCTAAGTACGTCTACGAGTCGTTCCTTAAATTCCCTATTCTTAATTTAAGTTTGTTATTCGTGTTTTCATGGTATGGGATATCTGAATGTCTAATCACTTCTTACTTATACGTCATGCCCTGTAATAGGTAATAGACAACCAAACTAGAACGTGGAAACATCTAGTAAAGCTGATTGTTGGCTTACTTTGTCCAAATGTACACTTTCTAGTTTGGATCTACGAAACGGTTGTAAAAGAGATAAATAGTGCCTCAAAACTTATCACATTGAGACTAGAACATACAACTAATCTTTCTTTAAGTCTCGAAAGTCATTAGTACTTTTCACTCTCTAGTTTTTTTCGTCTAGCTTTCAGTGTTCTTAATCCTGAGTTTTAACAACTTATCAAATCTTATCTATAAGTGAAGTTCAATACTGACTTTTGGTGAGATGCGGGACACACGTTTCTTTACTCTTGGGACTCAGTTGTATTACCTGCATCTCAGCCCAACCCTTGCTGCTACCTTAACGTGGCAGTCGGGTTTGCCTTTTGTGATGAACCGATCTAGCTATACTGGCTGGAACAATCGTTCCTCAAGGTCCTACTATTCCGGACAGGCCGGTTGAAGAGCAGTAAGACTACAAGCAGCAAATCCAAAGTCCGAGGGCGAAGTCGTATTGCTGACTGTATACAGGTGTGACGGCAGTAAGATGTTTCCTTCAGACAACCAGTAGTACAGCAATGCTGCCTTACCACAAGGACTCAGTCAGCTACAACGTAGGACCAGGCACATATATGCGTCGGTCCAAGTTGCCATACCGCATCAGCACAACAAGATGAACACCGGATTCATAGAAGTGGTTAGGTCAAAGGTGGTAATATATAAGAGAAAGATTGCATATAGAGATATAGTACAAGAAGAAAGAATTGGTTCATAGAAAGAAAGATATGAAGTGATTTTAATCTCTTAGTTTAATGGAAGACAAAGAGTGTATACACCGACGCCATTGTGATGGATTCTGAGCCATGTCACCAAGAGTCTCCAACCACTGGTTACGATAGTCACGCGGACCCCAACCAAGTAGTCTGCATCTACCAACATGGCTCAGACTAGAAGTTAGTGTCTTCAAGCACTGATGCCACGTTTTGGTTTGGCCGCCCCTAACTTTCTTCCAACCATCTCCAATACCGGATAGCATTGCACGTCGTGGTAATCGGTGTTCAGGCATACGTAACACGTGGCCCAACCATCTCAGTCGATGAAGATTCACAACCTCATCGACTGATTTACCATCATTCCCTAATACCCTGCGTCTAACCTCCCTATTACTTACCCGGTAATCCCAGCAGACGCCAGCAATGTTTCTGAGGCATCTGTGGTCAAATACCAGTAGCTTACGAGTATCTTCTACTCTTAAAGGCCATGTTTCGCTGCCGTAGATTAAAACAGAACGGACTGCCGCGCAGTTTACTCGTCTACTTATTGAATGATGGATATCTCGCCTTCGCCACAGGTGACGTAAGTTGGCAAAAGCCAAGCGAACATTTCGAATCCGTGCTGAGATTTCGTCAGACACCAACCCATTAGGGCTGATCAGACTTCCAAGATAAGTGAAGTTGTCAACGTGTTCGACTAATTCGCTCCCTATCCTTAGTTCAATTGTTGACGCAGACCAGTCCTGAAGCAACAACTTGCATTTAGAGGGAGAGAAGTGCATTCCAAACATTCTGGCATTGTTGCTTAGTGCTACCAAAAGACTCTGCATTTTGTCAGCGTCTTCACCAAACAGGACTATATCATCTGCTTATTATAAGTCGATAAGTGGACCTCCTGGAAGGAGACCAATACCCGAGAATTCAGTAGATGTTGGAGAGGGTCGGTACAAGATTGTCTCTCATTCTGGAGTACCTGCTTGGACTCCGAGCACGCCCTAATACGGGCACGCATCTGCTTGCGCCTCACTGGACGCAAACAAGCCTCAGTAAAAAGACCCATTAGAACTGAATTGAGTAGCGAGAAAACCAAAAGTAGGTTCCAGGAACAACTGAGGTCACAATTAGGTAGTTCTGAAAACGAGATTGACCCAGATGTTGCTTGAAAAGCTATACAAACTGCTGTGGAAACAGCAGTGGCATCTATCAGTGATTTAAACCACAGGGTTACAAAGAACTAATGGATTTCCTCTAGGTCTATTGCACTGATGGATTCTCGTAAACTCATCCCATCAGGCTCTGAATATGATGACGAGCGAAAACAAATCAGATCTAGATTAATCAAAAGTCCAAGGAGTGACCGTTAGCGGTGGTGGGTAACGAAAGCAAAAGAGATGGAAAAGGCGGTGGCTGTAGGTAACACAAGACAGCTCTACAGACTAATAAAAGAAACTGGAATTAATAAGTCAAGCATGAGACTATTTCGGAAAAAGACGACACCCTCATCTGCTCTCAGTCCAGACGTTAAGAACGATGGGCGAAACATTTTAGAGAACAGTTCAGCTGGCCTTCAGCTACTCTACAACTATCCACTATTCCCAGACAGTGTGAATGGAACATTGAAGTAGGTCCTCCAACTCTAGCAGAAGTTCAAAAGGCTATAGTTAATCTGAAACGAAGAAGGGCAGCTGGTCCAGATGGATTGGCTTCAGAGGTCTTTAAGGATGGTGGCCCAGTTTTAGCGATTAGGTTGACTAATATTTTTAGCTAAGATCTAGGAGTTAGACGTTATTCCTGGTCCCAATCACTTATCGTCCCAATATATAAGAGAGGGTCAAAATCATCCTGTGAAAACCATAGAAGGATTAGTTTGACTAACATAAAATCCAAAATACTAGCCTCAGTAATTATCGGACACCTAACTAAGACTCGTGAACTGCAAACATGAGAGAATCAAGCTGGCTTCAGACCTGGTCGTGGCTTCATCGACCACATATTCACCATTCGTCAGGTTCTAGACCATAGGTATACTAACCGGCGTCCGACAATGGTGGTTTTTCTTGACTTAAAAGCAGCATTTGACTCTATAGACCGCGAGATTCTGTGGCAGTGTCTGTCATTGAATTTGTACCTCAGAAGTACATAAACCTTGTGAAGGCCCTTTCATCGTTCTTCTGAACGACATCATCAGCACAAACTTCAGGTAGAAGAACGATGAAAGCTCCACAACCAAACTGTCCAACTCAGAGAACAAAACTCCACCAAAATCACCCACGTGAGCTACAAATCTCCACCATACTCTACTTACATATATTAACTGATTGTTTGGTTATTTTGTGAAGTTTTCCATTCATTTAAAGCTCTTCTCATTTTTTGCCTTTGTTTAAAGGAAATGAAAGAAATGAAAAGTGAATTAACAAAACATTATGGTGCGAATTTCGTCTCGTCTCTTCAAAAAGCCAATTCTGAACAAAATTCAAAACAATATCGATGGTTAGAACAATGCTATGAAATAGTTATATCTGCGAAAATCGATAATAATAATAATAGTGGTGATATACCAGTTATTCCAATTGATGGAGGTTCAGATGCTGGTATGTTTTGTGTAGTCGGCGCTCAATTCGATCCATCTCGTATTATTTATCATCGCTCTACTACCATTTCTAATAATAATGATAATACTAATAACAATAATTCGAAATCAATGGAACCGGGTGATATAATCTTAGCTGTTGATGGTTATGAACTCTCAGGTTATACGAAACGTGATGCTATTACATTATGTAATGCTTGTCTACAATCTCATTCACATGTTCGATTGCATCTTAGTCCACCTCATGCATTAGTCACAAGTAGTACAATGTTGTCAAGCTTTTTGGCCATTTCATTTGCAATGGACTCATCAGAGTATGCCCTTCAAGAAAAAATTCGAGAGAATGTTTATCAACGTGTAGTACCTTGTAAGTAAACATTAAAAAAACTTTTTGACATTGGGAAATTTTTTATCCTATCATTCCTGTTTTTTTATACTATCGTACACCCTTTGTTTATTTGGGATTCCAGTTCTGAAAATTGCTGCAACCTAAACCGCTTCCTCAATTCACCTTCGAAGTTCTTTGTTCTTTTATACGGTTGGTGATTGACAGTTAATTATGAATCTTATTTAAATATTTTCGTATATTCTCTTATTGTTAGGTACAACTAGATTACCCAGAGCAGAAGAAGTAGATGGAGTTCATTATCGTTTTATGAATGTACCTCAATTTCTTGCACTTGAACGTAGTGGACAATTATTAGAAAGTGGAATGTATAAAGGTATTATACTCTCACTGTTTTCAGCCGTATTTTATTCGGTAGTTTTCTAATTTTGTGTATTGTGTTTGTTTATAATATTATGCTAAGATATAATTATGGACATTGCATTTTCGTACATAATGGTTTATCGCAAGATATGTTTCTCATTGAATGTATGTCAGATTTCAGCGTAATATTGTCTGCTTCATTTTAAGCGTAAAGTGAATAGAATATTTACTACATTTAGAAAGCTAGACTGATCAGTTTGAGCTGTCCAGTGACATTGCCAGCTTCCACTTATAAAAAGTTTGGTTCAGGGTCTATTATATAAACATGTTTATGCATACATAAACATGTACTTGGCAAACAGATTATTATTATTATTATTATTATTATTATTATTATTATTATTACTATTGAATAATGGGATATGTGCAAAGTTGGCAACATAATCTTCCTGTTACCCCAACAAAAATGTTGCTCATGAACTACACCAAATAGGAATTCGAAAGTCACAATATTTAGCATTTTCACTAAACACAAAACATTTATAACTAATAATATAATTGATAAGTTATTATAGGGGATGAACAACTATATGACACGACGAAAAAAACGAGAGGGAAATATAGTAAACCCGAGAGACCGGTCAAGGACAAAAAAGAAGAGCCAATCACTGAAATTCAAGGATAGAGGGACGGATGGAACACTTCGAGGAACTCTTAAATAGACCGGTACCATTGAATCCACCAGATATCGATGCAATACACACCTTCCTATATATGTCACTCTACCAACGACCGAGAAAATCCGGATGGACACCAGACAAACCAAGAGTGGGAAGGCAATGGACCTCACAATATACCAGCTGAAGCACTACAGTCAGATATAGAAGTAACTGCAGACACGCTCAACATTCTTTCTCGAAGATTTGGGAGGAAAAACAAGTGCCGACGGACTGGAAAGAAGGATACCTCATGAAGATACCAAAGAAAGGAGATCTGAGCAAAAGTGAGGTATCACACTACTGTCAGTACCAGGAAAGGTTTTCAACAGAGTGTTGCTGAACCAGATGAAAGATTCAACAGACTCCCAACTTCGAGATCAACAGGCTGAATTCCGTAAGGATCTTTCGTGCACAGATCGAATCGCGGCACTACGGATCATCGTTGAAAAATCAATTGAATGTAACTCGTCACTATACATTAACTTCCTTGGTTATTAGAAAACATTTGACAGTATGGATAAGAGAACATTATGGAAATTTGTTCGACAGTATGGAGTACCTGAGAAAAGCGTCAACATCATCCGGAATCCATACTGTAGTGAACAGAACACGAGTGGAGGACAATAGGATGTATTTTAGCACAAAATTACAGAGAATCTCACTAAAATCTGAGAACCATATAGTAAATCGTTAATTTGCAAAATATCAATCCATCATATCAAACTCGACTGTTCCTGTTGCAAACATCAATCCATTGTCTCAGATTTCATGGTTCACGCATTTTCATACCAATTGCGTTCCGTTCCCGTTCTTTCCTCATCGACCTTCTCCTGAGATGCATTTTATGCCTGACCACGGTTATACACTCCTTGTGTGGATATAAGTAGTTCACACCACAATACGACAGACTACACTGCAAAGTAGTGCTTGGAGGACAGCTGACAGACCCATTCCAAGTGAGGACTGGAGTCAGACAAGGCTACCTACTTTCCCCTTTTCTCTTTCTTCTGGTGGTTGACTGGATTATGAAAACGTCGACATCTGAGGAGAAGCACTGAATGAAATGGAAAGGTTGGATGCGACTAGACGATTTGGACTTTTCAGATGACATGGCCCTTCTATCCCATACACACCGACAAATGCAGGTCAAGACAAACAGTGTAGCAGCAGCCTCTACATCAGTAGGCCTCAACATACACAAGGGAAAAACCAAGATCCTCATATATAACACCAACCCAATCACACTTAATGGAGCATCATCGATGAATATGGCGGACCTGATGTAGATATTAAGTCACGGATTGACAAAGCAAGGGCCGCATTCTTACATTTAATAATATATTCTGAAAATAATAATTACAGAATTCACACCAGTTGAAGAACATATGGAACTCAAAACAACTGTCAAACAATATCAAAGTCAGAATCTTCAATACGAAAGTCAAAATAGTTCGACTGTACGAAGATGAAACGTGGAGAACGACTACAACCATCATTAGAAAATTGCAAGTACTTATAAACAGTTATCTACACAAAATATTCAATGTCCGTTGGTCGCATAACATTAGCAACAGCCTACTGTGCAAGAGAACAAACCAGCTTCTAACTGTGAAGAGGAAATCATAAAAAGGTGTTTGGAGTGGATAGGACACAGATTGAGGAAATCATCAAACTGCATCACGAAGCAAGCGCTAACTTGGAATACTGAAGGGATAATGGAAAGAATAAGACCAATGAATACACTGGGTGAGGAATAGGAAGCAGACATCTAAAGAATGAATGACAACTGGAAACAAGTAGAAAGGATTGTCCAGGACATAGTTGGATGGAGAATGTTGGTGGGTGGCCTATGCTCCTTCACGAGGAGTAACAGGTGTATGTAAGTATTACAGGAGGTAAGTATATAAAGTCTAATGGTGTTGTTTGAAATCACATTTTCTGTTAGTTCATCTTATTCATTTTACATACTACATACATCCCCCAGTTTCATTCTTAAAAAAATCTCGTGAATTGTTTTCTTTTCAATTTTTTGTTCTATTTCAGTTTACTAGCTAAAAAGGTCCTATCCATGTGTATATTGATAAGGGCAAGCATACTCTAAGCTGTCAATTAACTTATTACTTCTTCCTATGATGAATGGCACCAGTGTTAATAGTAGTAACCTTTATGACTCATGATATCTTGTCGCATTTTTGTATTGTTTATCACAACAGTGTGGTTACTAACTCTGTTGTCTTTTGATGGTAGTAGCTTTTGCACAATAGTTTCTAGCTTCAGTAGGTTTTGTTTTACAGATTAGTTAACTTTGACCTTGATTTGAATAAATTTCCATGATTTCTGATTGGTTTCAAGAGTGAATATGTAATGAGCTGATTCATACATGATTGAATTTATTTGCATAAAGATTTATTGACACATGTATTATACACATGTACAAGTATGCAATGAGTTGCTCACTTATTCAGCCAGTATCGTGATAGAAATAATATGGTGGGTGATGATTATTAGTTGCTTAGATATGTATGTCTATAATGATGACATATATGATAATGTACAAGACAATGATACTGTTTTTTTTTATCTCTCTCAATAGTCCAATATGACCAGTTCTAAATAGTATCTATGTTGTGAAAGTCTCAAAAACCCCGTATTGTAGTTTGTTTGATAAAATATTTAGTCATACATATGTAATAAATTTAAACCCTTTAATTCATTGAAATCATAAACCGATTTAAGTTAGACAATCATTGAAAACCTAGTAACACTGGACTGCCGTTTCGTCTCAGTATGGGACTCAGCAATGCGCATCGACAACTCTGTATACGGGATTAAACCCAGGAAATTTGGTTTTAACTTGTAAACTATTGAGCCGGCATCTAACTACAATCCATAACTTTTACTTTGTGCTTTTTACACTATAATTCTTTTCCATAGAATATACATAAATTCAAACTATAAGATGTAATCAGAAATCTCTGTAATCAAGTCCTGATTAATCGGCTTTCCTTCAGTTAACTATAAAGTATGTATCTATGGAATACTGACGTTTTATCATTCGTTATTTGTAGTACCGATTTTATGATGAAGACGATACAATGTCTTTCTGATTTTGAACTATTTCTTAATCAAACTTTTGAACAAAAAATACAGAAATGAATGCTTGTTTGATTGAATACAAATAGTTACACATATGTTTTTTCCGTAATACCAACCAATTCCATCACTAAACAGATTTATGTCTTGTATTCTATTTAAAATGTAAAGAAAAATTATTGTAACTCTCGAACTAAATCGCAATAGGTTTTGAGCAACACGTTTTACGATACTGTCCAGGCACCACAGTCTAAAGTAGATGGGTAGGGATTCGAACCTGTGTTCAAATAGTTAAAAGCTCAGTATTTCGACCACTGTACTACCTCACTACACTTGTCTCTGTTATCCAGGAAAAAAAACATGAATTTGCACTTACTGGTTTTCAGTCAGTGATTGTATGTCAATAAAAGAGAGAGATAAGGACAATAGCAAAAAACCCTGTGTATTAATATACATTACTGCACAATTATAAGGGATTACACCCGTAAACTAGGGACAGTAATATAAACAAATGGAAAACAAATAAATAAGAGAGATATTTTGAAGATTTACAGGGAAATAATTAGTAAATGTGTATGTATCTTTGCTACCCATTTCAAATTTATTACTGATTACGCGCGTATTACTTTACAGAAAGTTATTACTGCTCCACTTGAATTAGGGTAACATTCGGTAACCTATTTTCTTGATGTCGTGACTTGACCAAATAACCGTTGATTTTTTGTTAAAATCAGTCCTACATCTATCAGTATTCCTGCTCTTGGTTGGGCTATGTGTAACCTCTGTATTAGACACTTTAATCTAAATACTTTTGCAGTGTAATCGACTGATTCGCCGTGTCAAAAACATCCCTAACTACATTAATATTGATTCTGGTCAGACAGTTTTAACCGAATTACGGTCTGGAACAAATGTGTGTAGATCCTACTTGCTAGGTTTCGTATTAGTAAACAAAAAGGCATTAAATTAATGAGACATTGAAATATTTTTGTGCTATCAACGGGATAAATTAGGATCCTAGCATCTAAATACCTACTTACAGTTAAACTTACATATTTATTCTCTCGGGAATAATATACTTTATAACTCATAGGTTACTCTATGAAGTTCGGAATTTCCGATCTGAAGGTCGTGTGTTATTAATCATTTTGAATGCTATATGCTAAAAGGTCACATTACATATGCACATACACATCTCGAAGGTTGTTTATTCTTTTATATATAAGTTGTCTTTAAAATGTTTAGTTCCTCTTTTTTTTCGTTTTCCTAGGTAATCATTATGGTACACCGCGACCAGACCCTAATTCTACCGCTTTAGATCCTGTATTTTTAGAACAATTCCAATTATCCTCTACAGACATTTCACAAATCAGTGATGATGCATGTAGGATCCCACCGCCATTGGCACCACTAAGCTCATTTAATACATTTGCAATGCATGCTACCACTACTGCTTCGGGGACTAGTGGCAGTAACATTACTACTACCAGTAGTAGTAGTAGCAGTAATAATAACTCTAGTATTGGTGTAAAATTAAATGATTCATTACAACAATTACCAACATGTTCTCCACCACCGCCTCCACCAATTCGCAATTCATCAATTACAAAAAATTCTAATATTGTCTGTAATACTAATAATATTAATATTAATCATGGTAAAGCATCGACTAATCTGTTAACTTTATGCACAACTGAAAATTATCTGACAAAACAATCGATAACAACAATAACAATACACAGTTAAATGGATTAAATGAATTGAATGGTAAATTGTACCTACCACGTCCAAAATTTTCGAATGATGAAGCTAGTCTATGGTCACCCAGTGAAATACATCTAGTGGATGATCATAAAACAACCGCGTTGTCCACAGCATCAACAACAGTGTCAGTTGCTGCCAACACTATTACTATTACAACTACTACCAATACTAATACTACTAATATGAATACTACTACTATGTCTAACCATGTCGATACGTCGATGACCAATGGTTGTTCACTCGTTGAAAGTGTAAGTATATATGTATTATAATGTGTAATTGTTTTTTAGTAGACATTATTTTGTACAGTTTTTTTCTTTTCTGATAATTATTTCAATTTCATTCACCGTCAGTCATCAACACTAGTACTTTGATAGTTGAAGCACTGTCGTTTCGGTCTATAGTTTGTAGTTTTGACCATTAAATCTCACACAAATAGTGTGTTGCTTATAGCCGAGTATATATAGACCTGTACTTGGTGAATGAGTTATATAAATATTGTTTAGACCTGGTACATATGTCAGTCCTTGACTGACTGACATATTTATATCAGTCCGAGTTAGTGTATCTCCATCATATCTACTAAAGAGGAAATTAGCGCAAGATAAAATATAACGAAGTCAATATACATGAAAATAATATCATTTTTAATGAAAAAATTAGAGGAGAACACATGTGAACATTGAAGAATTGATAAGTATAAAAAATATTTGATATCTAGATTTAGTTCAAGTTATATCACTACTTCAGGTCAACAATAATAGAATAAGATCATTCTGTGAAATTCAACTAAAGATGTTTGCTTCTCTAACATTGTTTAGTCAAATAGTAAATGACTTCATGTATTGGTTCTGTGTTTAGACCTAACCATCTCTTGGCGTCCTGTCAATCTATCCCACTAGATAGACAGTGTATAGTAGCAGATAATCAGTCCTTTCTGGTTTTTCATGGCTCATAAAATTTCATGTATCAATAACTTCATTTTATAAGTTTTCTTAAGTAGGAAAACTACTTATTATATTACTTCTGGTTACATAGTGGTTCTGTGTCTCATGTTATCTGTGATTGAATGTTTATTTAAACAGTAAGCGTTTCCACCACATTGTAGTTGAAGTTTTACTTTAGCCTACAACATTAACAGGGTTTTAAGGGACATGACTTATGCAGTGTACAGTATTTGTGTTGAAGGCCGAAATTGCCCATCCATAAGACATTAACAATCAATATATCGGAGAGGTCCTGAAAAACAGGTAGCTCCGGTTAAGAAATATCTTTTTTTAGGCTATATAGTTACTTTTTTCTCAATATTTTTGTGCAATATGTTTGTTACTTACAATGATGTCACACAAGACGTGGTATCTTGATTGTTGGCTGAAAAGTCATAAATGTACTTTACTTTATTAAAAATCAATCTAAGATTCTATGAAATCTGAATAAAGATTGACAGATTAGATGTAAAGTTAAGTGATCAATACTAAAGTGCTTTCTTAACTGAAAGACGATCATAAAAGTAACTTAGAAGTCCATATCTAGTTGAAATAAGTAAAAGCTAAGAACTAATATGATTTGGGAGGAGGTTGGAAGAATTTAGCAACCGGTTACTAACCAAAGGTAGACGAATAAATACCAAACTTGGTTTGTGTGTGTGTTTAAATGCTTGCTCATATGAGAGCGAGTCAAGATTTCGCTATGATGATCACGTTTGGGAATCGTTTAAATTTGATGAATATAATGGTTTTTCTCTACTTAATACACATGCTGGTACAGCTGGCCACCAAAAACTATCTTCCTTATGCAAAATAAAAAGATAACGTAAAGAAACAAAAGAGGTTAAAGAAATAAGATTGGAGGTAAAACTGAACGTCAATGAGATGTAATGGGTGAAATAGTTTCTTTAGAAATACAACCAAGAAATATTTCTATCTTTTAACAGAGTTTCACTTTTATGACGAGTGTAAAAAGGCTACATCAGAATCGCCGCTATGCTGTACCATCTTCATAATCTCAACTAGAGAGTTTGAGTAGACAGACCAATAGATACCAGTCTTATGCACCTCTTTCGTACCACAATTCCATGCCATAAACTAACCACCTCTTCACTTTTTATACACCGTCGCAGTGTCACCAACACTCAGTAGAGAAGTCATTGGGATGAAAGTAGCACAGTTGTTATATACATATGAAATATCCGACTAAAATTACGTTTAACGTGGATAATTTGTCAGTTAACAAATGAATGCAAGGTTATACAATCAACATTGATTACACACTTTCGCTCGTTGTTACACTGTCATGTACAGCTATAGTTTGACTGCAACTAGTTACAGTGTTAAGAAATGACAAACTAATCTTTTGTCTTTAATTTGTTTCACTTTGCTTTGTTTTCGTTTTATTTTACTGTGAATATTAGAACATTTTATCCAATTAAAACTTACGTACATTTTTGAATATCTTTTCAATTGTTATCAACTTATTTGGAGCTCGCTCACATTGTAAATGTTAACTTTCAGCTTTAAACTCTCGTCTATCATCTACTTCAGTTTAAATAAAGGGTTGGCATTATTAACCGTTGCACAAAAAATATCGTTTAAAACCGAGTACATGTAGCTATATCTTGTTACTGTCGTTATATTTCAAACAAACAGAAATCAAAACATTCAACTCGTAACTAGTGTAAGTACACAACCCATCCTATATACTTCGGTTTGAATTTTAGGATAGTAATATTTAATTAATCTTTACCCAGATAGGTGTGGTCTAAAATCAAGCACACAAATTTATAGTTGGTTACTTAGCTACTGCAAATTGATAAAAATCACAGACATACACACATCCAATAATCTCTCCACTCACTTTTACGAGAATTTTATACAAATCCTCTGATTAATAAATCATGACTTGTCTACTATTCACTTACATTTATTATGGTTCGATGGCGTGCAAGAATATATATAATATCTTTCATATATTTTCACTCGTTATTCGTTTTACATAGCTTCTACATCATCGGCTTAGTTGATTTCTCTACTACTGTTTCATTTCTTGTCTTCATTTGGCTTCCTTCTTTTTTATTTATCAATAGTTATGTTGTTTATAACTAACTAGTTCTACACTTTAAAAGTTTAATTAATTACTACAATTTTCTGTATCTTTCAGAGCCCCTATTTTTTTCCTTTTTTTTACTTCTGCTTTTTTCCCTTTCTCGCTTATGCAAATCGATTTGTCTGACATTTTTATCATCAGTATTGGTATCAGATTTTTTTCTTCTGTTTTTGTTGTTGATTTAAGTGACTTTCTTGTCTAGATATTTACCATTTAACTATGTTAACATATTCGTACATATACACTATTATTATTATTATTATTATTATTATTATTATTATTATTATATGTTATTATCATTATTACAGTTTTTTCTTCTAACTGGACTGTATTACTTTCTCTGTGTCTGCTTATTTGTTTGTATCTGGGTATATGTACATTTATATATATATACAGTCGGTGTATAATTACGAATACAAAAAAACACAAACTTTAACAGTGATGTTGTCGAGTATTACTTGTGAGAAGACATTAGCATTAGTAGTGTCTGTTAAGTTACAATTTGGGAAAAATATAATGCCCTTAGATAGACTGTATTATGTGTTATAGATTTATGTCAATGATTGGAATGTTGTTAGTCGTAGGTCCTGGTACAAATGTGTATTGGTCCAATTTTTCATACTGTATCAACATAATGAAGTGAAGCACACCCTGACGACTTAATCAAGCTATATTGTCTCGAAGATTTAATATCTTTACGTCTTACCATCCCAATCGGGTCAGTTAGGAACAGAAAAAATAAAAACAGAAACTTGAAATCCGAGAGTGGAGTTGTGTTGCCAACTGTTCAGGAGCGTTATAACAGGAAAGTGTTTCCCTTAGATAACCAGCATCTGCAACCGTACTCTTTCCCATAATGGAAGAAAAGGGTTAGAAAAGATAGACCCTGAAAAAGTACTTTACCTTTTCTTACGGATTTCCGTCATTCGCTGTGAGGCCTTCAAAGTACGAAGTCAACACATCAAGATCTACTCTAGGAAAGTCTATGTGTATGCAAACTCATGTAGTTATTCCTTGAGTTCTGAGGTCGTCAAGTTTATTTCTCTCAGTTTCCTTTTCAGGCGCTCCAACAAGATGTATCTTTTCACTGTTTAGGCAACCGGTAAGTGATAATGGTCTTTCATACGCCTTAACACATAATCAAACCCCACAAATTGACTGACTGTTATAATCTCTGATCCTTAACTTTATTCATATACATAATTATTCACCTTCCTGTTACATAACACGCACATACACACAAAACTTTCTGTTACCGACCAAACTATCATAAATTACAACGTAGAAATGTTATGTTGGTAATTTTTTCGTCTGGCTAAGTGAAATTAATTTCAAGACCTGGAGAAAAACAGTTAATTGTAATCTCTGTACATTTGTACGTATATATATATATTCTTATTGGCGTTCAGTAATAATTTTTTGTGTAATTAACTTGGTATATGTTAACTAATGAATAAATAGACACAGATACAGAATCGTAAAATCTGTTTCATTTTCTCAATACTTTTTATTCTTTTACCTAGATGTAATATTTCTGACAATGAATTGATAAGGAATTATACTGTTAAGATTGTGTTAAATATTTTAATTGACTACTGTTACTAGTATGTGTATAAAACGAAGGAGATAATGTATAGCTTCAGAAAGAAGTTATCAAAATAGTGTGACATTTCGATAATTGTCGATAAATACTTCCAGGTGCATTATGATACATAGTAAACTTAAACCACAAATAAATACACGATGAATAATGTTCTGAGTAGGTTAGAAATAAAATTTTGGATGCCCAAACCAAGACATGATATCAGTTCACGAAGTCATTAACTGCTGAATTCAGTCATATTGGTAAATTTAGACCAAATAGTTGGGGTCTATGCAATCCATGGTTTAATGTACATCACAATGGCTCAGATAAATTTATTCTTTATCCTACCATAAACACTGAGCTTCAGTATCATTTCGTACTTTATATTCCTTGGATTCATCCCTTTTCTGATGTTTAATCTGTTTCACTTTAATTGGTACTACTATTATTCTGTTTCAGTATTTATTGTGTAAATTTCCTCGTCCGTATTCATATAGAGCTCTTGAAACGATTCATATCTGTATCAGGCTTTACATTGATTATGAATGACTGACATTTTTGTCCACTCCTTACATTGTTCGTGACTTACTGGTTAATTTTGAAGAACTAGTCTAACCTTTAAACAGCATAATTAATTTTCAGGAACTGTTTGGTGGTTTTTAGTATTACTTTATGGATTTATTTATTTATTTATTTGAACACATAGATATTGGTACAAGAGGGCACCAAATACATATGCGCCACACCATATTTGTGTGTGGGCTGTGATACTGCCCGGGTGCCCAGACCGAATCAGGTGGTTTTCTTAGGGGGCCACACCCCGAGCCTTCGATGAGCAGTTAACTTTTTTAAATATCAATGGAAGAACAACAATAATCGCACACTTAAGACCATATGCAAATACTCATACTTTTTCGCACATTTCGTCTGCTTTAGACATTTAAACATAACAATAACGACAATATATGCAGAATACAATGAATTCATTGTATTTTGTTGTCTTCTCTTCAGCTACATACAAGCTAATAGGTTTAATTATTTTCAGTTATTAACGCAATTTGTATACATTTGTATGGATATACAACCCATTACATATATATTTCTGATTTTTCCTGGCTCAGTGTAAGCCACTTCTTCAGAGAATAAATAACCAAGTCAAAGTTAATTAATTAGTATTCTTGCCGCGTTCTTTTGTACTATTTAAACTTGGATTAATTTTGATTTGGCTATTTATCCTCTGACGAAGTCACGAAACGCCAAAAAATCTTATTTTTATACTCATTGGGATATTACAAATATATTATTTTATTCATAAAGTGAATATTTCATTTGCAAAATGTCAGTCAATCGCCTCAGACTTCATTGTTCTTTGATTCCACACCAATCATTCGTTGTTCTCGTTCTTATTTCTTCGATCTTCTTAACCTTCTGCCTCCAGGCATTTCACTCTCGATTGATGATACATACTGCTTATATTTATCGACATCAGTAGCACACACCACAACCTAACTACATTGGCTGTTCCCTGAGGTTCTACTATCTCACTCAAGTCGCTTGACTAATAGTGAAACTGAAAACATCGAATTTAATGTACGAGTGCATATGCGTATGGTTAACAATATTGCAGCAAGATGTTTCTCATAAATAACTGGAGTCTCTAGCGATATTGTTTGTATGCACCGATAGTATTGTATAAACAATTTTCAATTATAATTCGACTTATTACATCTTTTTCTTGTGAGGTGATTTTAAATCAATATCTCATACTTTGTACATCGTATTTTGTGCATATGCTTTTTCATCATATGGATCTTTGTTTAAATGAAGTCTATTTTCCTCTTCTAGTCAATTTCACTTTCAGATTGTTTTTTCTTTGGTCCTCATTATTCCCTGTACTGGTTTCTTTCTTTTTAAACATTTTGCCATCCCCTCTACATTCATATACACTTAATAAGAGAGATACAAGTTATAAAAGAATGAGAGGAAGGACGATAGGTATTTGCGTTAAGTAGCTGAAATATTGATTAATTTTAAGTTTACATATTTTATAGAAAAATCCATTGGGTGGAGATAGTAAATGGTAATGAGTTTATCATTGTTATAAGGCAGACAGATTAAACCTCTAAATTGAAGCTATCATCATACATTGTCTATTTTAATTTGACCTGTTTAACATGTCGATAAAACACACATTTGTTTATACAAAGAGAGAGCAATGCCAACAAAAATGTTTTAACTAAACCATTTAGAAGAAAGAGTTGAGTAGACTGTAAGCTAATGTATTCATAGGTCAATAAGGTGTTAAATATATCCCAATGAATGATTGTTCGAAATCTTAAACAATCAACAATTGAATTCGGAATTTGAGTTAACAGTAGTATCTGTTATGCTGACAAAGACCAGATAGAAGACATGATTGGAAATGAAAGTGTTTTCATGAAGTAAACAGTATTTGATAATCAATGAAACGGAGAATCTTGCGTAAAATGTAGAGTGGATACATGTGTTTCTGCAATCGATTCTGACCCAAATCACCCAGCATTTAACCATTGATCATTATTAACCTTAACCACGTAGTCTACAACCACTAATACAGATCAGGCCAGTAGCTAATGCCTTCATGGACTAGTAACACTTTGTATGGCTGCTTTGTAGCTTTCTTTCAATATACTTCAATGCTAGCCAAGATTGTTCATTGAGGTAAGCGTTAGTTAGATTTAAGTAACACATGTACCACCATCCATTTGAGTTAGGAGTATACACTTACTCATCGGTGCACAACATAACCGTGTGATTATCATACATTTTTATGCAAAGTACGAAAAATAGATTTTGATTCTGTGACCTACTACTTTAATCATTAAATCACCATTACTCCACCTTCACATAAGTACAATATATCAAAACAGTGCATTAACCCCGACAAACACTTGGTAAATCAGTTACATTCGTATATATAATATCTGATTCACCGTGTATACAATTTTTATTTTTCCAATATAGTTAATTATGCTTACCGTTGTTTTGTGGGTTTTTTTTTTTTAAATTGTCTCTATTAGTTCTGTGATCAAACAGCTTATTCAGTGGATAAATTAGATCAAATTGGTGAACATGTATTACCATATGGTTGGGAAATTGTGCAAGATATAAAATATGGTACATTTTACATTGATCATATTAATAAACATACACAATATGAACCGCCAACAGTTGAAGATTTTCAATTAGGTGAAAAAGTACGCATGAAGTATTTATCACAATTTGATACAATTCATCATAAAACTAATACTAATATCAATAATAATCATAATATCATCAAAAATGTAAATAATAATGTTAACGCTAATAATAATCATGATGATAGTCAGAATGAATTAGACTCATCATCCATTAATGATAATGGACGTATAACTCCTGTGACATTTTGTTCCGATTTAAAACAATTACGAGGTCCACTGATTAATACAGTTTTAGTGAAAAGTCCACGTGGTTTTGGATTTACAATTATCGGTGGTTCCGATTGTAATCGGCCGGCATTTTTACAAGTACGTTTTTCATTAAATTAAACTGATTTGTATTGTTTATTTGGGTAACATGCATTTTAAAAGGAATTTTCTTTATTATTATTGAAAGATTACCTTATTCATTATTCATTAAACTGCAATATAGGTGGTCTAGCGAAAGTGCTATCACTACGAAACCTAGATTAGACCTCTGACGTGATCATGTATACGTACTGATGAGAAGCCTCAAACTAAAACGAAAAGGCTATCTAGTGCCAACTTCATATCGTTCATCCTTGTTATCCCACTGATCGTTGATGTTCATATATGATACATTTTTATTTGGAGCCTTGTTTAGTACTCCAAATAGTTTAAACAATTACTTCATAGTCAGTTCTTAGATTCCTGAAAATCCATGACTGTTGGATTCTCAAACAAATTAAAAGTTGAAAATACACTTACTTACACCTGTTAGCCCCCGTGGAGGAACATAGGCCACTCACCAACATTCTCCACCCAACTATGTCATGGACAATCCTTTCTACTTGTTTCCAGTTGTCATTCATTCTTTAGATGTCTGCTTCCTATTCCTCACCCAGTGTATTCATTGGTCTTATTCTTTCCATTATCCCTTCAGTATTCCAAGTTAGCGCTTACTTCGTGATGCAGTTTGATGATTTCCTCAATCTGTGTCCTATCCACTCCAAACACCTTTTATGATTTCCTCTTCACAGTTAGAAGCTGGTTTGTTCTCTTGCACAGTAGGCTGTTGCTAATGTTATGCGACCAACGGACATTGAATATTTTGTGTAGATAACTGTTTATAAGTACTTGCAATTTTCTAATGATGGTTGTAGTCGTTCTCCACGTTTCATCTTCGTACAGTCGAACTATTTTGACTTTCGTATTGAAGATTCTGACTTTGATATTGTTTGACAGTTGTTTTGAGTTCCATATGTTCTTCAACTGGTGTGAATTCTGTAATTATTATTTTCAGAATATATTATTATTAAATGTAAGAATGTGGCCCTTGCTTTGTCAATCCGTGGCTTCATATCTACCATCAAATCCTCCATGTTGGTAGATGATGCTCCATTAAGTGTGATTGAGTTGGTGTTCTCAATGTTGTGTTTAAGGATCTTGATTCTTCCCTTGTGTATGTTGAGGCTTAGTGCTGCTGCCATACTGATTGTCTTCATCTACTTAGTACATGACACGGATATTTATTTAATTAAAATCGTAGCGATAATAATAATAATAATAACACAATAATAAAGCGGAATTATCCAATTGGATAATTAATTATTTATTTAGTTTTATTGATATTGTTAGTTATTTTTACATTTGATCCTTGACATTTTATTTATTCAATCTCATTCTACAGTAAACAAACAAACAAACAAATATCATTTATAATTAACGTCAATATGATCTAGAAATTTATCACATTACTTGAATGTATGTATGTGTACACCTAAATATTTCATTGTCCTTAATTGAGATAATTAGTGAATGAAAAGATTCTGTTTATTATAGTCATTCTGTAATTTCTATACTTATGACAATTGTTTATTTATAATTACCGCATTAATTGATGTTATTTATGCATTAGGTATAGTTTTATGTGAATAGTTTAAGTGTTGAACTTTTAAGCATTAAATCTTCTGAATTCTTCGTGTCCCTTTTTTTCTCTTTTCAAATTTATTTCACTGAATTATACTCCTTGAGTAATATCTTCAAATCCGAATGTTTCCGATTACAGTTTATACTCCTCTTACTACCTCTACCACTATGGGATTTCAATCGACAACTGTATCTCTGTGCTAATGTGGTATGGCAACTCAAACTGATGTACGTACGTACGAGGTTCTACGTTGTTACTGACTGACTGATGTATACGATATAGCATCTCGAACTGCAAAATTTTTCTTGTCATTCACTACAAAAGATATGAACACATAGTTAAAATAAATTGCTAATAACACATTATGTATCCGTCATGATAATTCAAACAAAAAAGTCGTCACAAATCCTTAAAGTCTGTGTTATCACTAGTATACCTAAATAACTTCAGTTTTTCGTTAGCGACATTAATTAAACATTGACTTAAACTCTCAATTATTTCCAAACAGAACAATACTTAATAATTACTGTCAGTGTGTTATATCATTGATCGTAATAGTGTCATGGTCAAAAAGTCTCTATAAAAATTACATCAATACAACTCATTAAATCGGCTCATCTAGGTTGCATGTATCATGATACAAATGTTTGTCACTCGCACTTCTCAAATTTCATATGAGCACAAACAGCAAAAATTAGCACGATAAAAAACATGAAATGCAGTTTATATCTTTCTATGATCCTTTTATTGTATGTAACAAAACAAAAGAATAAATTCATTGATTTGCCTCAAAATTCATCTTTTGCATTCAACACTATTGTTATTCCCCATTACCGAGAAAATTAGCAATATTTTCATTAGACTGTTTTCAGTTTGACTTGTATACACTTTTCTTTTGACTAAGAGTTTTTATTTTAAGAAATATGTTTAAGTATTGAAATTAATTGTAGGTATACCCACAGGGATTTACATTACCATAGTAACGCTGAACTGAATAATGAATAGAAAGATTGTACCGGAGGAAATCATTCATTAGACTACACTTAAAATACTGATAACTTGCATTATGGTCAGTTAAACGATTACAAACAATTAACAAAACACACAAACTGTATACTGTTATTTAAAGTTATGAACCTATTTAAGATATACCAATATTGGAACCTCGGGTGGTCGTTTCGTCTTAGTATGAAACCACTCCTCAGCTTTCTGCATTCACCATCCCACCATAGGAATCGGGCCTAAAACCGTTGATCTCCCGTGTGGATGTTTCTTTTCTAGACCAATGAGTTAGCATCCAACGGTGTTAACGTATAACTTTAATCAATACAAAATTATCAGTTTGTTTTGCTTCAGACAGGTTTCCGTATCATGTACCACACATTTAAATAACACACATTCTTTAAATCTGTTGCACATGGTGCGCCAAAATCTGGATGCCGTTAAATCAACTAAATTGACATTAAACCTAATAGAAATATATGTCAACAAAAAGTGTGTTGAATTATGAGTCATGTAATGAACTCTAATGAAATCCTTTCCGATTATGGGTTAAAATTACAACCCAACTGTTTAGTACATTAGGATCTAATCGAAACTCAAATAATGAATAATTACATTCATATCGACTGATTCCTGCTGAATGTGAATCTGTATTTATTACAGACACCATTTGACCTCAGAATTGTTTTGGTTGATGTCTGGTCAACATTTTCGACATTTTCCTTACTTAGACGAACAATTTTAAAATATCACAATTATCATCCTCATAACTCTAAAACATGCGAATAATATTTGTACTTGTATAGAATGAGTACATCTCGTGATATTTACTGTTTTAATGACTTTTCTGTTGCAAAGAAACATGCTCACAATTCAGATCATTGTGGATAGATAAATATACGACATTTTACTGAATTTCCATTCAGTCGATTCACTCACACCACATAGGCAATCACAAAAGATACTTTACCTATGAAAGTCAAACGAACATTCAAGTGACTAACATTTACGGAAGATGATTGTGTGGAGTTTTCGTACAATCAGTAACGTACAATTAGTAACTTCTCATCATGAACTGACATTACCAGAAAAGCGGTTGAAAGTGATAAGGAGTTGGACAACTGTGTCACTTTTGTTTGAGACATTTCTCAACAGTATACGACCACTGATCCATATTATATCAGATCGAGAGTATTTGAGTTTCACGATGAACACAAGATTACATTCAGCCAGTAAACTGGTGTTCAGTAGAAGAGATATTCAAATTTAGTTTACAATGTAGTTTGTAAAAAGATAACTGAATATACGACATTTTTTCTTAACTTGTATTTAATTGTTTAACCCAGAATATGTATCAGTCTGGTAGTCAGTTAGCTATAAACTGTGGTTTTACTTAGTACATGTTCACATTAGTTCAAGCAGCCACATCATATCAGTACAGAAATTTAAAACTATCAAGGATATTATAGGTTTTACAATGTCATTATTCACCTATGCTGTTATAAATAATACTTGATGATATTACATAAAATCCCGTCATTTAGATAATCATTGAGACGAATAAATGCATACTACAAGTACTCTTATCTAAATATTATTATTCGTGACTGTTGGTCAACTTTATAATTGTATCATTGGACGCCACTTACATAATGTTTCTTTTGGTTAAGCGTTCACTGCGACCTAGGTACGCTTCCTGACTTACTCGTGAATGAACACTTCTGAGTAGTCCCATACACAGACGAAGCCGTTATCCTATACTCTATGATTTTAAAACGTTACCTTAATTGAGATAAATTTGTGATAAATACAACCTACAGATGGAAATCAATCTTCGCAAAATACGTTTAACTAAATTCGCTGAATAAATATATTGTAGAGGGGTGTATTAATAGTTCAAGTACTTGACTCTCACCTACTTTATTGTAGGTTGGTATCCCACATCACTTACTTTGAATTGAACACTGGACTATCAGCCGTAACATCTAAAATACAGTATAAATCCAAGTTCATAAATTCTATGCTTAGTAAATAAGTCTTAGAAGATTAACTGCTTCAAAATCTATTCACTTTCTAGTGACTTATTATTTCCTTTTTCTCTTCAATATATTTACTGACTGTCTAGGTGAAACATCTTGTCCCAGGTGGTCCAGCTTCACTGAATAGCCAATTAGCTGTTGGTGATGTTATGGTTAGCGTGAATGGGACAAATGTTCTTGGTTATACACATTCTCAATTGGTATCATTATTCCAGTCAATCCCAGTTGGAGCTAGTATTAATTTACTAGTATCGCAAGGTTATCGATTACGGAGAGAAATTGGTGGTGATCCGCCAACACATTTTAATGGTTCAGTATCCGGTAATCATCTTGGTGCGACAGGTTTTGTATCCGGTGTGATTGATATTTCTGCTCAGGTAAATAGATGAGTTATGAATGTTTACCATGTTTTATTTGTTTTCAGAAGTCCATTTTATTCCATACAGCATTCAGCATTATAAATTCGTTTCTTCAACATGAATTCATACAATTAAACTCTGCCGTATATCTTACGCTAAACGAACTAACGATAATATAAAGAAATAGAAAAAGGGATGACAAGTCATGAATTTCTACAGTTTTTCAATGGACACATCCACAAGGTCTTGTTAAGTCTGCGCGTTTTATTTTAGCATAACTATCCTTGATTCTATGTTTGTCTTCAAAATTAACCACCAGAATCAGCGAGAAAAAGGGATTATAAAAGTCTGTATGACCGTGTACATGTAATTCACCAAGAAATTTTCAAGAGGACCACCCTCGAATCTGAAAGTTTAATTCTCGGAACAGTTTAAAGATGTCAGGAAACTCTGTTCATACTTCATTTGATGCTTCAGGTCCATTGATTCTTTGTTCACTATAAATCTAAACGAAGTTTGTGTAACTTTTTAAAGTGAACACTCTATAATTATCAGTCTGCTTTCATCCTTAGGCATTTTCTTCACCACCTCCTTTTTACCAACATATCTCTGCTATTTAAAAACCATGGATTAAATATCTTTGAAAAATGTTTGAAACTGACGGCCATATGAGACCATAACAAGTGAGAGTAAATTCCTCTTACTGAAAATTTATTTATTATCTGCAGGTGATACAAAGTGTCAGTCTCCACACTGTGTGACAGCACCACAATCGACTAACCCATTTTGTTTCATATCATTGGCTTTATTATCTGTGTTTCCATGCTTTATTCTACGAATGAGGCCACAGAATTCGGTCTCTAGTAATCAGTTTGTTAACTGCACAGAGCTTTTTCTGAATTTATGTATATATACTCGCCTTTTATAACTTGATCGTCATTCAGATGTTTGTCTTTCTAACTATCTCTTACCATTTCCTTCTATTCAATTGTGTTTTGGTCTTAGTATCACTGTTGTCTTTTTCACGTATTGTCAAATATTTACTTTTCGTCCCCCACTCTTTACCTGTAGAATAATTTAAACAATCTGAAACTTGGTGAGGATACGTTAGATAATCTACCATTGACGGAGTTACATCTAGTTAGTTCATCAAGGAATTCCGGTGTAATCTCTTCACATTCTTCGATTTCACCAACACCACCGCCATCAGCATCATCATCGTCTAATAATGGTAATTCATCTCAAGAGCTACTTGCAGTACGTTCTAGTCCGTCTAATTTAAATGGTGGTAGCTGTGTTGGAAAGTTGCGTAATTCACAAAGACCGGAATTTTTAAAGGTAATTGATATTTGAATCAGTGTTGTTATTATTGTTAATTTTCATCTTGCCAAGACACCAATTTTTCCAGTCCTATTATATTATTCATGTTAGTACTTTTTCCAATAGGATAGCATCGATGATATTTTTCTTAATTCATACTTTTACAAGAACTTCTGTTGCTACACCATTGATTGTTATCGCTTTTAGTTTGCCAAGTTTGTTATGTATCCCAAGATCATTGTTTTTTACTAAATAGACAGAGATGTTCCTCTTGAAACATGACTTCTTTTCGGAAGAAACAGTTATCGTGTAAGCGTTGTCTTCTCTGTTAACTGGTGGATTATTAGAACTGAATTGTTATCACGTGATAGACATCCGGTTTATTTGAGTTACTCTCTGCTACCTCATATAAGAATAACCTTCAATCGTTTATAAATATATTTCACCGTAAGCTAACTGGAAACTCATTATGTCAATTGTTCTTGTTAAGATATAAAACATCTGGGAAATTTATCCTTTACAATTCTAATGAAATGCTTAAATTTCTGAATGAATTTTTCTTAAGTTGTCTGCCAACTTGAACCGATGTACATATGTACAGGTTCTGCGTTGTGACTGACTGAAGAGGTGTGAAGGGTTAAGTTCTCGTTGGGATACTTAAAGATCCTTTGTCTAGTGTTAGGAAGAAATGACTTTTTGAGTGCTTCGTAATTCTCAATGATCCATTAACTGATTTCTAATATCAATTAAGTTTCTGTCTCTTTATGAAATAAACGTTTATGGATTCTCGAAACTTATCAACTCTTTATGCCGCATCTTAGTAATGGTATTAAAACAGTTGATTATACTTGCCATTACTGACAAACATAGTACAAATACTATTGAGCTTCAATGACCTTGAGGCATCTATGTCTTTTTCTAACCAATAAGTGCACAGTTGCAGCAAGTAGTAAATTATTTACTCAAGAGTGATAAACCTGAATTACTTTTGATATATTTTTGTGGTTCATGGGTTTTTTTTTGCAGCTTACGATCACTTTTTTGATCTTCAAATCAAAATATATCCTATATAAAAATCTATCTGTATGACTGTTGGGATTCTTTTACACATGAGTATCAATAGATTTTTAACTTCACACAACATCTACATTAATTTTGTGTTCACTTTTAACCAAATGACGCTGGTGGGTAACATTTTGTTGATAATTTTTAAATCTCTTTAAATACGACTGCTTGTCAATAGTACCTATTATCTAGTGCATCACTAATAATTCGATTTGATTGGGTGCAAATTTTTCAGTCAGAAAAAGTTTATCATCTCATGTTACTTTATATTATTAACACACAGATACCTATCAGTTTATTTAAACTGTGTCACATTTGTTACACGACAATATAGTTCATATCAAGTGTCTGAAGACAACTACCCTAAATCTGATTGATATCATAAGATACGGTATGGGGTGGCTAACTCCATGCCTAACCTTCCTCTCTTACCCAGATCGGGGTTGACAGTAACTCCAGAGGAGTCTCCAGGCGTTTTCCAATATCGTAAATATCGATAAATTAGAGCAAACTAAGCAAATAAGAATTGTTGGCAAATGACCATCCAATTTGATCAATATAAATATTGATTTTTACATCTAAACTTCACGACTTCGTATCTTACCACGTTTACAATAATAATAAAATGTTAATATTTTCATGGTGGTTTACTTTTGGAGTTGTTTTATTTTGATTTGAAGTGGCGAATCGAAATCACTTGGAAAACCATTGATCTCAATATATTGAGAATAGGACATGCATCACTGAATGCCTCGATTGATGTTGGTAGCTCAGTACCATGAATTAAATAAAATTAGATATGTTAACTTGGCGAATTTTCGAACTCACTAGTCTAAAATGTAGCTCACTTTCTCCCCACGAGGCATCTTTGTTTTTGATTTGACGTTTGAGAGTCTCATATTAAGACAAAGCAGTTATCTAATGCCTCCTGATTTTCAGTCGCCGTCTAGTTAAAGTCAGTTTTTGTGATAGTAGAGTTCAAGTTGAACTGATCTCCATATAACTCCCATTTTAATAATTATTTTTAAGTTGGTTTCTTCTTATAAATAGTACGTTCAGTAATTTATTGTATAATATTGCTTCTACAAGGCATACATACATATACACAACCATGAATATATGGTACTTCTTTCGATCTTCACTTAAACTAGTATGAACTAATGTTTACTTGAATTATCCTGAAAATATATAATTCCACTTGACCTATAAATTTATAGTTATTATTGAATGAGATAGATATTTAATTAGGAAAAATAGATTAAGCATATAGCTTTTTCGTTTACATTTCTTCTCAAAATTGGTTTTATTGAATATTTTCCGTTAGATAATTGAACTTGAATTTGCTAAATTAATTCTTATCGTGAATTATATATTTGGCTTTCTATGAACTACGAAATAGTTCATCGGATTTTTCAAAAGATATACTTTTGATTGAGATTATAAATCGACCAATGTTAGATCACCATTTAAAACTTGGAAGCACTGGAAAGTTGCTTCATCTTAGTATGGGACTGCTGATGTAAATACGTACAGGTTTTACATTGTGACTGACTGAAGAGGTGTGAAGGGTTAAGTTCTCGTTAGGGCACATAAAGATCCTATGTCTAGTGTTAGGACGAAATGGCTTTTGAGTGCTTCCAGGTGTTTCAATGATTGTCTAACATTGATCGATCCATGATCACAATCAAATCTCAACAGTCTCCATAACTTTATACTGATAGATGTGTTTTTCTTTAATTGTAAACAATGAAAACGTGACTAAAATATTTTCTGGACATTTAAGTGAATATTTCCACAATACAAATTATGCTCTTATAGGGATGCTAGATCCCCAAAACTCACTTGGTAAATGTCTTATTTTTGTAATTTTATTTTGGAAATTTGAATTTCTTGTTTTCACGCCAAAAGCGCCCATTTTCACTTTCACATCGCATTTCCCACTTGAAAGGACTCTAAATGCCATTGGCTATTTGTTTCTCTAAATAAGTTATTTTGTAACGTTTCTCAAGGACATTTTATGCTGTATATGTACGCTTGAACTGTGCTTGTGGTTGTTGCTCGTGCTTCTGGCTGCTTGTGAAATACATTTCCCTCTTCTGAATTCGGACTTCTCTCTCTAGGTAGCGGGGCTGGGACGCATCGGGATAGTTAACTTATTTGGTTATTATGTCACTGAGTCTTTGTTCCGTTCGCAGATTTAGGTGAACTCGTAATTTTTCAAACATAGCAAGCTCCAAACTAAAATTTGAAAATACACAAATTTTCATATAGATTTTTCTGTCCATGATGTTCATTTTGGTGTTCGAATTAAAAAAAGCTAGAAGGCTTCACATTTGTTGGAATTCATCATCAACAAAACATGTCTGAAACGTCGAAGTAAATTGTGTTTCTTTGAAGTTTGGAAGTTGTATCACCAAAGTTTTTATTCAACATTTTTGCCACTCGCTTATTCAGGATATCATTACTGACCAACCGCTACCATGTGCGGTTTACATAATAACATATGTAACTTTTCTTAGTGGACATATTCTAGTATCTCTGAATGTAATTATCTCAATTTGGTATGATTACATTGCAGAGTACGATCTGTAAAATGTGCTTAGACTTTTGTTGCCTAGTAGTGACCGCCATGTTTGAATAAGTTTTTCTCACCGAAAGCTTTTCTTTTATGCCCAATTACCTAATTGATAACGACTCTTGTTTGTGATAACAAGTGATAAAAATGCAAATCAGATATTTGGGATGTAAATGATCCCTCATATAAATTATGACAGCGTTAAAATCACATTGTATTCTCTATCGGAATATAACTTGTTCAGTATTAGGTGGAATAATCAAGTAGGCGGTCTGTGTTTAAACGTAGCGGATTGAGTTGAAATGGCGAATGAATTGATGGGAACGCAAGTTATCATAGACTATGGTGTTTGGAACGTTTGTCATAAATGCCCACCTGTCCCTTGCACGAACGTGATTTTTATTGTTACACTGGAGCCGTGTTGTGATCAGTTTTTGTGTAGTCTCAATCTTTGAATAATGAAATAATAAGATAGAATTTAATTTTAACATGTTTTTTTTCTATATCTGTTTAGGTGTCAATTTTTAAACAAACCAATGGTTTCGGCTTTACTTTAGCTGATCATATCCAAGGTCAACATGTGAAAGCTATCTCAGATCCAGTAAGATGTGGTCGCTTACGTGTTGGTGATGTCATTGTAGAAATTAATGATCAGCGTGTAAAAGATATGCCACATGTGGAAGTAGTTCAAATATTGAAACAATGTCCAGTTGGTAAAGAAGCAAGATTACTTGTTCAACGTGGTGGTAAGTTCTCTGTGTATTACATTTCATAATTCACTATTGTGTTACTGGTCATCAGCTAAACATCTTGTATCATTTGTTTTTGGAAATTTATTGTTATCATTAACTTAATTTCAAGTTTACTTACCAATTTATTTGTTTCACGAATTTCGTAATTAATAATGATCGCAGTCCTCGATTCACCTTCACTATGTTACGGGTTTCAATTCTTTTGCATAAACTTCACCGTTAGATTAAGAGATAATCCTACTGTAACTATCACTTTATTTTGCACACCAAGATCACACATACAAACTAGCATTTGAATGATGAATCACATTTAGCGTTAGTAGCATACGGTTTCATCATCAATTGTGACACCGTTTCGTTTTAGTCAAACTGTGATGTAATCATTATACGACGTAAATATCCCGACTGCCTTATCGTCAAGATTCATAGTTGACATTATCGATGAGGTTTTGATTAAGATTGAAGTGATGGTCTGGCTCTTCTATTGCACACGCAACAACAAATGCAGGCGAAGACGACCAGTATGGCAGCAGCCTCAACAACAGTAGGTCTCAACATACACAAAGGGAAAATCAAGATTCTACGATACAACTCAGCATGCACCAATCGAATCATACTTGACGGAGTAGCTTTGGAGGATGTAAAAACCTTTACATATCTGGGCAGCATCATTGATAATCACAGTGAATCTGATGCACATGTGAAGGCGTGGATCGGCAAAGCAAGAGCAGCATATTTACAATTGAAGAACATCTGGAACTCTAAGCAACTGTCAACCAACTCTAAAGTCAGAATTTTCAATACAAACGTCGACACAGTTCTACTGTGTTAGACGGAAACTTGGAGAACTACGAAAGATGTCATCCAGAACATACAAGTGTTTATTAACAGTTGTGTACGCAAAATACTTCGGATCCGTTGGCTAGGCACCATCAACAACAACCTACTGTGGGAGAGAACAAACTAGATCCCAGTGGAGCAAGAAGTCAGAAAGAAGCGCTGGAAGTGGGTAGGACACACATTAAGGAAGATACCCAACTGCCTCATAATGCAAGCCCTCACATGGAGTCCTTAAAGCCAAAGGAGGAGTGGAAGACCAAAGAACACATTACGTCGAGAAATGGAGACAGACATGAGAAGAATGAACAAAAATTGGATAAAACTAGAAAGGAAGGCCCAGGACAGAGTTGGTTGGAGAGTGCTGATCGGCGGTCTATGCTCCATTGAGAGTAACTGCCATAATTAAATAAGTTTCTAAATAATAACTTCTTCTGTAAGCATAGTGTGTTCAATTCTCAATACTTTTAATATTCAATATACAATCAATCAGTTGATCAACCAATAAATTATTTAAATCTTTTCTCTTGGTTATTCATTCAAACAATGCAGTTGAATAGAAATCATTAAATATTTTATCAACTGTTTGTGTTTATGAATGTATTTGCACCTAAAAAGTTTTATACTCTGTGATTTCGTGTAGCTAAATAATACATTTCTTTTTTTTTATGTCTATAAAATAGACTATTTAAAGTTAATTACTATGACAATGTGATTTGCTCAGTATTGAATAATACATCAAAGGTTATCATACAACAACAATCAATGATTTAGAGCTGACAAATGTCATTAACTTCATATTTGATTTATGGTACTATGGTTTTAAAGAAATTACAATACCACAATTACATAATGTTGCAATTTTTGTCTAGCGTGATTAAAGTGGAAGACATAATGAAAAGTGCACTTAATTCACATTAATTCATGACTCTTTTTTTCTTGTCATAAAGGCGATTAGTTTAATTCTTTATAATGTGTATCTGTCGACAAAAAAGAGTTATACGATCATCAGTTTCCATATCCACAAATTTGACAGGGTTACTGTGTATTGATCTATTGGATTTATCATAACAATTAAAATTGAATTTTATTGCAATATCTTGAATTGGCTGAAATTGGACATTAACAGCGTTGGATTTTTAGTCATTGGTTTGTAGTTTAAGCATTTGCATTCGTGACCGAAGGTCCTGTTCTTCATTACCGGATGTCAGAGTCATGAATAGGGAATTTTTGAGGAACCCCTCACTGTGATGATACGGCTACCAAGTGCTCTCAGGTTTTCAATAGTAATCTGGTCGAGATCGATTCGTGATTTTAACTATAGAATTTCTGCAATCTCCTCCCTTGAGGTCACTTGGTTTTATCAACTCATCATCATCCAACCTATCAACGGATGGACACACATATTTATAGATTGTACAAAAATGACATTTGATTGTTCTAAAACCTTAATATCGTTGTATTTTATGTCAGTACATTATCTTTCGATATCCTGTGCTCCTTAATCAATCGGTTGGACAGAGAGTATGTTCAGTCTTATGACTAGTCCTCTATTTTATAACTTTGTCGACGTAAATTTTCACTCCTACGTGAATTGAAAACTTTAAATTCCTCTAGGAACAGGAGAGCCAGGTTGTTAGATTTATGATCATTTATATGTCAGTGTCGTTAAATACGAATGTTTGAGGCTTTATCATGGCTTCCGACTAATTTACCATCTCGATGTGTGAATTTAAACTTGATTCGAACTGTGGAACTATATATGAGGCGGGATTCAAACTTTACAAGGAACTTATTCTTTAATATGTGTTTCAGAGATATTTTGCTTCGATGTCACGATATTCTAGTCTTAGCCAGTGATACCTGTTACCGGATTTCCAATGTTTAAGGTTTAAATATTTCTCTTTGAGAGTGGTATCACGTGACCTTGGGATCATTTCATGAGCTTGAGTAGTTAATACTGGTGGTATATTTGAAAGGAGTTGAGAACAGAAGATGAGGATGAATGGTGGAAATGGAAAAAATATTTGAAAGCGATTATGAACAGAATAGTTTAGATGATCCATTTATCCAACAAACTACACTTGTAGATAGTGGTAGATTAGTTTTTGGAATTTCATCCATTAAATCATCTGTTCGGAACTCATTTAAATTCAGGCAGTCGGTTAGTTTAACTAGCCACGCTCAAGTTATGCTTAAACATGAGTATAGGAATATGTGCTTGGTAAACGAGTTACCGTATTCAACAGGAATAGGAAATAGATTTTTAGAAGTCACACAACAGCTTATAACATAAACGCTTGATTAACAGATTAAGTTTCCTGCTCATATATCAAAATTGGAAATGTTTTCACTATATTCTATTCTGATTACTGAAAGAACAATTTTTTCACTAATGTAAATCTACTGTATATGGATAGGAGTTTAGTTTTCTAGTTTTATGAATACAACTGATTAATTAGTATTCTTCTCCATCATTAGAAAACGACTAATCATATGAATCATGTTTTTTCATTCAATCATTTGATCATACAATTTATCAAGTTTCAGCTTTTTTTTACAAATCGTTTTTCCATAATGATTGATTGTCTCACCGCCAATTTGTGTATATGACCTATGAATTTCCAGGCAAAATGTAAAAAATACATTCAAAATTAACTCATTCAGAATAAGATATTCTTGTCTAACCGATACTGTTTATTCAATAATAAGATAGAATGATTCAATATACCTATTAAAGTATTCATCGAAGTTGGGTTAAATGGCGCCATCTTTTTCCAAAAAAAAATCTCAGTTTAACGTATCTTTGAAATTTTTAGCAAAGTTAGGTAGTTTTTATGAGTGGAATACCGAACATGCGTTTTCTATTATTTGGGATCCTTAGATTGGATGTACTTGCATCCCAGTGACTCGAACCCAATGCCTCACGATTCAAACGAGGGAATTTGTTACTCATTTAGCTACTAAATACTTAAGTAGTTAAATGGAATTTTCAACACCAACTGAAGTCCAATAAAAAACTACTGTCAGAATAACAGTAAACAGAGGTTGCTTCCAAGGTGGGGATCGATCATATGTTCTCATCATCTACTTGCTTAATTGAATTCATGACATACAGATGATATGTTGTAAAGATCACAATGCATACCAAGTACAATAATTTTGAATATCTCTTCTACTGAACACCAGTTTACTGGCTGAATGTAATCTTGTGTTCATCGTGAAACTCAAATACTCTCGATCTGATATAATATGGATCAGTGGTCGTATACTGTTGAGAAATGTCTCAAACAAAAGTGACACAGTTGTCCAACTCCTTATCACTTTCAACCGCCTTTCTGGTAATGTCAGTTCATGATGAGAAGTTACTAATTGTACGTTACTGATTGTACGAAAACTCCACACAATCATCTTCCGTAAATGTTAGTCACTTGAATGTTCGTTTGACTTTCATAGGTAAAGTATCTTTTGTGACTGCCTATGTGGTGTGAGTGAATCGACTGAATGGAAATTCAGTAAAATGTCGTATATTTATCTATCCACAATGATCTGAATTGTGAGCATGTTTCTTTGCAACAGAAAAGTCATTAAAACAGTAAATATCACGAGATGTACTCATTCTATACAAGTACAAATATTATTCGCATGTTTTAGAGTTATGAGGATGATAATTGTGATATTTTAAAATTGTTCGTCTAAGCAAGGAAAATGTCGAAAATGTTGACCAGACATCAACCAAAACAATTCTGAGGTCAAATGGTGTCTGTAATAAATACAGATTCACATTCAGCAGGAATCAGTCGATATGAATGTAATTATTCACTATTTGAGTTTCAATTAGATCCTAATGTACTAAACAGTTGGGTCACTCGTAACTCAATTATTGCGTACAATCTTCGGAAAGCTATAAATTCGTGTTGCATGTTAGTTCACATTCATTAGCTACGCGTACCGGCAATAATACAGGAACTGATGCTACACTTAGCTTTTGACCTTGCATCAGTCAACGCCACTACCCGTTTCCAACTTTTATGTCTATATTCATCCATTTAATCACTTTGCTAGATATTGATAACATAAGTTGATAGTTGAAGCTAGTCGACAGTAAATCTTAGACCTGAGTTTCGTGCTGTTTAGCACTCGTCAGGAAGACGTACGTATACTCCTGTGGTAACACTTACTTCTTGACAGATTTCTTTTCGTTTTGCCTACCTTAACCGTCAAAGACGTTATCACTGTACTATTCGGGCCATATAGTACTTCTTATCTGGCGACGTATATCAGTATTATGTAAAATTGTTTATTTTACATTTGTTATTTATTCCAGTTGAATTCCGTTGTAGATTATCATATATTTGAATTTTTCACTAATGCACCAATTGCAACGATTTTATATTGTTTACATTTAGTTAGTATGTTTCATTGACGGCTGTGTGTTTTGTATAAATAGTCGGTATCCTTACTTTTTTTCAATGGTTCAATCAATAGATATGTGGTTATAGGTTTGTACTTTCAAACTTCACTCCACACTTCATTTTGAATAGTTTTGTAGTTATATTATTTACCAATGAAGCAACATGTGTCAAAACCAGTTAAATAAATATGTATTTTTGGTGGTATTCATTTTTCCGAATTTGATGAAGCTTTTATTGTCATCATGAACAAGATCTTGAACTCCTACTTAATATAGAAGTGGTCTTCCTATTTATTCCACAAGTGCTGTTTTGGTTCATCTCAATGATCTTATTGAGAATGATAATGAAAGCTTCGGGATTCAGCCATCTAACTCGGAGAGCTCAATGCCACCTAAATTATCCACCTGAACTATGAATTTTCTCCATCATATGAGAAATATGTGAATTTTTTTTAAAAATTGTTGAAGAACCGACGAAGCAGTGAAATGAATGCAACCGATAAAATAAAATACATCCTCAGTCTATCTCTTTAAATACAATTCTTGTTACCTATATGATCAAGTGAATTTTGTACGATAATTAGATACAGATTTTCACTCATGATATCCAAGCCGACAGTAAATTTAACTCCAACTCCCTATGTGGTGCGTGCTACTTATATTGATATAAGTAGTATATGACGCGAGTCAGGAATGTAATGTCTGGCAGCGGAAGATGAGCAAGATCAAGAAAGGAAGAGCGAGAATAGAAAGCAATTATTGAACATTTTGCAAATTAAGTATTATAGTATGATTTTTCTATTTTACCAAGTAACTGTAATGTTGTGCTAAATATAATGCGGTTGTCCTCACCCGTGTTCTGTTCACTTCACCTAGAACCATTGTGTTTCATTGAAATGCGGAATATCAGAATGGAAAAGTTTAGTTTTTTTTAATACTTAGAATAATATTTTTCCCCGGAAAAATACCTCGTTATGTCTTACGTACAGATTCACTTTTCAATGGTTGTGTAATTCATGATTGCATAAATGATTATCATACTGAACATCTGTCAAAATTGACTAAATTACATAATAGAATTACATACCAGGAGATACTAAAATAATCAATAAATGTAATTTTCACAATTCTACTATCACTTCTATCATACTGAATCTCAATCATAAATTACATCTGATTAGTCACATTTACAATGTTTAATTGTATATAAAGTGTTTTACATAAAGATTGACAGGGATAGTACCACTTTATTTTTATAAATAGTTATCTAAATTTTTGTTTCTATTTCATGTTTATTTTCAAGATTATGTCATACTTTTCTAATGATAATACAATAAACAGTAAAAGATGTTACTTGTTGTGAGCATTGTACAGGAAACTGTTTTTTCCCCCTTATTTTCAAATGGATTATATTGATCGTTTGGATTGAAATGAAGAAAAATAACTTTAGTTTATTAAAAACATTTAAAATATTAATATCAGATGGGTTTTTGTGGAGATTGTAGTAATTTCAATGGTTAAGATCACTGCTGAGGAATCCCACAATAGGACGAAACGGCCGTCCAGTGCTTCCAGGTTTTCCATGGTGGTCTAGCTTCAACTGACTCATGATCTTAACCATTGAAATTTAAAATATTGTAATGTGGCAATAATTTATTGTACAGTTCATAGTTCAATTAAACACGTTTGTCTCAGTCATTTATGTATTATGAATATGTGTCTAATGTTATGGAATTCTCTGATTTTAGTGGTTCAATTATGGAGCTTTCATTGATTGTTGTTTTGATCAACATCGTCAGTGATTACGTATACATGTAGTTCCGCAATTGAATAATCTAGCTTAGAGAACTCAACAGTACTGATAATATCTATCTGATCTACTGATCTCCCTTATCATTTCAAAATATATCTGTGTAATAAGTAGCTTTTGTACTTCATTTATCCATGTTTGATTTAATTTATACAAAGAATAATGGATTTCTTGGCTTGACTACAGTAGATCTCAAATATCTTTGCTAGCCTGTGAGTAATGCCGAAGAAATATTGCTCAGAATTCACAGTCATTTTGTATGTCTGGTGCTATGTATGTCGTAGATTAAGCCGATATCAATTGGATTTACTGTAGGCGTACCTTGAACCTTGTTTTAAGTTGTTTGATTAACGCTGATGGGTAAGACTTTGATCTTTCATTGTCCTTGAACAGAGCTTTGGCCTTGGGTAACCAAGATAAGGAGTGACATGTTTTTAAATGTGCATTTATTCGCAACTGTGGCTATTCAATGATTGTATTTCTTCATTATGCATATGTTTTGATTGATTAATAGACAGACAGACATAATTAACATTGATCCCGACACAGATACGTGTTGGTGCAAGTTGTCATACTAGATTAACACAACAAGATGTCATAATTGACATATTGATGGTGGTGAATATATTGGGCATTTCAATTTATCATAAATAATCCTATGATTTATTCTTTTCTCTACATAATTTACAGGTTTGTATACCTCCCCGTTATCATTACTGGATACTGAATTGCTTGAAATGAATTCATTGAATTTCAATGAACAGGTATGTTGATTTTTATGTTTTTATTATGATTAGCAACTTTCGTTTTTACAAATATTGAATGCCAAACTTACCAACTTATCAAATTTTAAATAATGATAACCAATAGATTTACCACTTAAATTACTTTATAGTGTTTAATTGAGATCAGGAACCGATTGATGTTGGACCGCCATTGAAAACCTGAAAGCACTGGATGGCCGTTTCGTCCTATTGTGGAGATCCTCAGCAGTGTGCATCCACGATCCCGCTCGCGGGATTCGAACCCAGGGCCTTCAATCTCGTGCGCAAACGCTTAACCCACTGGACCACTGAACCAGCACCCAATGGTGTTTATGTCTAACCGTAAATAATCTACGAATTAGCGCGACTACCTCCCATTGTACTGAGGTAGATACCTGTCTCTACCCGACAAGGATTAGCTCCATTGGTCACGGCTTCTCACTAAAACTCCGAGGATTTTCTCACGAAGCTTGATGATTTAAATCCAACAAGGACTCATTCATTCTTGTTTTGTATTCAAAATAAACATTGTAAAGCAAATTGTGTAAAGAGAATTTCACTGGATAATAAATACTATTTTAATATGGACTATGTATAAGCCAGTCTTGGGTATTCGAATCTTTATCACATAATACTATACTGACCAATGGATTTGTATCTAAATTATACCTAAATCAAAGTAGAATCATTTGTAAACTCATTAATGATCATATAAAGAATCCCGATATAAATGAAACTGTTGGACTTACATAAATAAAGTTCTTTGTATAATATTCTTTTAAACATTTTACTACATAGAACATAAATTCACTTGGTATTATTTACTTGTATCTTCTCAGAGTGAACATCAAACTCTGTAATACAGATACATCCATCTGACGAGCCTCAGAATAGGACGAAATGTTCATCCTAGATTCTACTGCTGGCTATTATCCATTTTTACTATATTTTTCAAGTTCTAAAAATATGAATACATTAAATAATCAACATTCACACATTCACATTTCATTTTTGCCTTGTTTATATTTATTCGTGTTTTTATGTAATTTTTGTTGTTGTTGGTTTAATGTACTTTCATCAATGTTCAATGATAATTTAGTAGGCAGTTATTTAGCAGTAGAAAATAAAAGATATATGCTTATCAGTTTTTAATGTTTAATTTTTGGGGGGGGGAATGTCGGTTGATATATCCTTTCTGTAGTACAATTGTAACGTTATAACATATCTGTTTTTCCTGATCACTTATTGTCTCTTATCTAGTTCATTTCAACTGGCTTTTTCCCTGTATCTACTGGCATATATATTCAGTGTTTTCTGTTGTTGTTTTTTTTTTGTACTAAAAGCTTTATTAGTCTATGTAAAAGTTATCCTATTCCTTTTTATTTATTTTTTTGATAAGGTGTTTATTGGTTCAATTGCTGTAACTAAGCGTAATGCTTTGATTCAATATCATACACGTTTCTAATTTTTATTTTATTTGTAACATAACATAAAAATGATCAGAATAATTCTAATTCATTCGAATGAATAATTGTATCTTTATGTTTGTGTATATGGATGATCGTTTTGTAAGTATGTGCTCATTTTTGGTTTGACTGATAACATTGATCCACGTAATAGTCAAAGCCAAAACTGTATATCCTAATCTAGGTTATTTTTGGTGTTATCGTAATGATAGTTTAGTTATAATAGTTTAGAGTTTAGAAACTCATCAATGAATATAGTTTTTGTCTATCGTCAATAAATTTGAACCATCACATCTGAGGGTTGTCAATGTTTTGATATTTCATTTTTATTGTCTTTGAAAAAGTTATCAGATCCAGTTGTAAACTATATTGAGAATTCCAAAATCTGACAGTGTATGTTCAGGTTCGGTGACGATAATTCACTCAGTGGTATCATCTTGAAACACCGTTGGGCTGGTCATGTGTTACAAATATCATCTTAGTGACTTCCACGTCGTGCATCATTCGTCAACACTGGAACTGGTTAGAGAAAACGGAGATGGTTATTTTATGACATGGTACCTAGGTACAAAAAAGCTGTAAAGATTTGTTATCTGTCGATACATAGCATCTCTCTTGTTAGAGTTCTAGAAATGTTGCAACTCGGTTAGCTAATAATTAACTACTTTGGATTCGAGATATTTTGTGAGATATAATCATGCCCTTAATCAGAATACGCTTGGCTGCTATCGATTATAAAGGAAATTCATTTAGAAGTATCCTACTGTTAAACAGTAATAATTCCTGAATCATTCAACATTTGGTTATCTCAATAGCTAATGACTAATTACCGATTCATACTTTCTTTCATGAAGTTAAAAGACTGTTAATTAATGCACTCAACTTTTAAATATTAAGTCACCGGTTCAAACTTAAACCCATTCAATTTTGTATAAATACCCTGTTAGCTTCATCAAGCTTCACATAAACGATATGATTTAAGGTCGATTGCTTAAACTTTTGAACTGCATTACTGAGTCACACTTCATTTTTGTACCTGATACTGGGTCAATATTTATGTTATAACTGGAGCAACAACCAAGTGCTGAAATTTGCATCTGCACTCGAAGCCTAATAGTTGGAATTGGATCTCTGTAACCTATTACACTAATTCTCCAGTATTATCATTTCTCATGTTTTTTTTACAATTTAATGTATCCATTTAATTTTGTTTTTAATTAATTCTTTTGTTATCATTATTATTATTATTATTTAACGGATTATTTATTTCACTTTTCCGCTGAATTGATTTTCTTGTTTTCAGCGTTATCGTGGGAACATAGCTAATCATCAGTATATAAATGGTAAGTTTATGTTTTTTTTCTAAATTCTTTCATAAATAAACTTGTATACGAAGCTAAAACTAAACGCTTAGAATAATGTAATGTGAGAAGTTTGCAAAGTATTTCACAAAATCCATATTACTTGTCCATATGATGAGATTAGCTTAGTTTTCATCTCCTACTACACTGTATACAACAACCATTTATCCCCTTCCTGGTGGTCTTGTTCAATCCAAAAGTATAAAAATATCTGCCTGGTGAAATTTAATAAGGGAAACTATGAAAGATTGATTCAAGCAAACAACGATTATGTCCTTAAAAGTGGAATAAAAAAATTAGCATGTATTCAGGAAAGTAACGAATCAATAGTAGGATAGCATGTTTGGTTGTTACAAGAATGAAGGGCATTCAACCTGGGATAATCTTGGAGAACAAAAGCACAAGTTTCAAATTTTCATTAAAAAGACAACGAAGTAGTAGGAGCACGTTCAGTGGATTTAAGATCCTTCACAAAAATATCAAAGATGGCTACTCACATAGATCTGAAACCACACAATAGGATTTTTCGTCATGTCACCTTGAAGTTAAGTAGAATCGGGAGAAGGTTTCTTAAGTCCTACGACGTCAGTTGTTAAGTCTGATAGTTGAATTAAACGATAGCACTTCATTACAATCGATTATTTTAACTGGCGTGTGTGTTATAAATCATAGCGAAGACAGCCAGTTTGAAATATCACACGGGTGATTGTTATCATGTTTGTTATGATGACAATCTAAATTGAATCCCTTTAGGAAATTAAGTTGTTGTTGTTATAAAGATTTGGATGGTGGTTAGCTGTTGAATTCAGGACGCGTATTTCGTCTTACTTGTGACTCACCAGTTGAATGTGCCTGCATCGCAAATCCGACGTCCACTCTGGGACTCAAACCCAGTACTGTTCGCCTCAAATACTATTCTGTCATTCGCTTAGGTACTGGCTTGTTGTTTTTTCTTTCGCCTTGAAATATTATACTTTTATTCTGTATGTTTTTGTCGTCGTCACTTGTACTACGCCAAATAATAAACATACAAACATACATCTGTCAGCATAAAACAGCTTAATATCTAGATCATTAAATAGTATACTCATCTAAAAATTGTCATATTGTTTGCTTGTTTTTTCGACTTAAAATTAGTTTGTTTACTTATCAAGATAATGTTATCGTAAATAAATGTGCTTTTGGTCATAGATTTATTGTATTAAGTAGTGTCTTTCAGTGAAAAATTCATACTGGATAAATGTTTATGTATTAAGCAGATACCTGATCACACATTGTTAACAGCACCTCAAACGTGAAAATAATCATCGTCTATTTCTTTCTTTAGTACTCCTAGAACCATAGCTTGTTGGTTTAAGGATTTATCTTTCAATCATTAGGTTCAGGTTCACATTCAGCTCCATTAACCTCGGTTTGGGCAACCAGTTAGTATCATTAATCCTGATATAAAGAGGACGTTTTAAAGCAACATTGATAAAACTATACTTAACAGTGATATTCAAATTCCTGACTACAATCTGATAAATTTACTTTAAACACTCAGACCCCAACTTCCTAACCGCTTTCTAGTTCACTGAAATCTTGCACCATTGAACCCTAAACAGAAAAAATGAGCATGAGGTGTGTGAGAAGCGTTGCTTCAAAGACTAACTTGTATACAGAAAACAAGGACATTTGTAGTATTTTATGTGACCTTAGCAATACAATCCCCCGTCTTCTAGAACTTTCTTAGAGATTTCCAAGCAACATAGATTAGCCAAAGTATTTTCAACATTTCCCCAACCTTTCAAGACTTTTGGGGAATTATCTATGTTTGTCTAACATGATATCTTTGATTATTCTTTATACAAGGGTTACATCTTAAATTCCCTGTTTACTTGTATCATTTTTCAGTTATCGTAAACGTTAGTTCTCATTTTAAAATTCGTTTTCATCAAAAAATGACTACTGTTTTATCATAGTTTACGACTACTTAACCCATGTTTTAGTGGTTAGAACTTCCGGCTTTTAACTACCAGGTCCTACTTTTGGGTCTTGCTCCACCTGCTTAGATTTGGTTAGTCATTATTTTCATTACCCCTTTACACACTAACTGTGGTTCAAAATCATGTACACGAAAATGTTTTTGCAGTAGAACTCAAGCACATTCATGTCTCATGTTAACCCAGTCACATTGAGCTAGTATCCAGTAATTCGTACTATCGACTGCAGTTATTCACACCTATTGTTTCATACAAATCTTCAAAAACAACTACTAATCACAATGTTCATTACTTTATTAATAATGTGTTCTCTGAACTAAACCGCTTAATTATGGAGCTTTCATTTTCGTACCTTACAACCTAGTAGTCAGTGTCAGATACACACTTCCATGTAGAATCAGCACTGACGATCTTATCCAGAACGAGAATACAAACTTTTAATTAGACTATTTGCCTAAGAAATCATATCACAGAAAACATCCAACTAATCTACAAATTATCTTCATCATTTCAATATTGATTATTTTCTGTATTTTTATCTATTTTTACTACCTATCAGTTTATTCTTTCTTTATCTTTTTCTCTCATCATTTTATTACTTTGCATTTTTTTGGGGGGGGGGGTTCAAAATTTTATTATTTTATTTCGCTATTTTTTTAACATTATGAAATATATATATATTGTCTGGTTACAATGTTACTCTTAATCCCATCTAACTAATGAGCATTTTTTTCTGTATGAAAGATAAAATAATAGTATATAATGAGTTTCGTTTTCGTTTGCTTGTTTGTTGGTGGTAGGTAAATATCCACATTAAATAGAGTTCCTTTAGGAAATCTAAGCTCTAATTCAATGTTATCTTAATTATATCTGTGATTTTGCTGATTTCATATCTTCATTGGGTGTTTGTAGACGTGTACTCACACACACACACACACACGAGTACGCGCACATCATCCAATTATTTTGTTTGTTTGTTTAAAGGAAAAGAACAAAATGACAATAAACTCAGTAGTTTGTTATTTTATCCTCATTCTCATCATAGTTTCTATGCTAATTTATGTGTCTTATTTTAAAATGAGTCATTCACGGAAGATTTGTACTTGTTTGGTTGTTTGTTTGTTTTTCTATGTTGTTAACTTGTTTAATTCTCTCTTTCTCATTCTATTTTCCTATGAATTAGGAATATTCTAGAAATTTTTCTCTTTAATCTAACCGTAAGAACTCTTCATTCATTTCTTTTTCGTTTTAAATTTTTATGTTCCTTGAGGTTTAAGTTTATGTCTTTTTTGTTTACTTTTTATTTTCTAGTGGAATCTTTTATTTTTCTTGTAAAAGATGTTTGATTTTTAGTTTGAGGGTGTTGGATAGATTAATTTTCATTGGTAGATTTATTTCGCCATAAATTAATCTCATTTGGAGTACTATTGAAAACAATGGTGCACTAGACAGCTGTTCCATCATAGTACTGCACTCCACAACAGTGCACATTCAAAACCCTGCCATTGATCAAGTCTAGGATCTGTACTTCTTGTGGTAAACGTTTAATCCCTCTAATCAAACTCTCTTGTAAAGTAATTCATTATGTTAACGAAGTCCCAGTGAAATATCATGACTGGGGGTGATCAAACATGGAAGGGAAATAGTTATCACTGATAGCGTTGGATCACGTGAATTAGTATAAGTCGGATGCTGGCCCAATCGTTTTAACAAATAGGTTTTGTTTTCGTTCCCGGATGGGTCACGAGTACTCACTGCTCAGAAATCCCCATACTACAACGTATGAACTATAGATTGCTCTCTGGTTTTCAATGGTTTCCGCGATCGATATTGATATATGACGAGTTGAACCTCTTTTGTTTTACTCTTTAAGTGATTGCGAAGGTAGGCCATTGCTAAGAGGACTAATGTCCTTCCGTTCATCGGAAAAGCTTTTCTAAAGTTAATTCAAGGTTCATTATTTGCTTGTAATACATATACCTCACGTTTACTCTCCATCAAATGCTTCGTTTTAGACTTAAATTTTAGACAAAGTTAATCTTGAAACCTTTCTTTCTTAGTTCTTCCCATATACTTACTTTCATTTATAGATGTAAATACATAACTCCAATTGGTGGTAGTTAGAAGAGTACTGGTTCATTAAGTAGTTGATATTTTAACTGGAATAAAGCTTCTTTCTTGTGCTACCCTCCTAATTTTCTTGTCGATTCTCTTTTACCTAACATCTAACATGTACGGATATCTGATAAAGTCGGACTTTTTTTAACCTACAATTAGAAGTTAAACATGATATGCTTTTTTTAAAATATACACCTTCTATAAAAATATTTACAATGATTAAGTAGCTTACAGTTCGTTTCTCTTTCTCTGTTGCAGACTTTCATGTTAAATCAACTGACCAACAATCAAACACATCAATAATCGGTGTTTTTCCTTCTTCTCCACCCACTGATGTTACTGTTAATAGTAATGCCATAAATACCACTACTATTAATAATAATAACTTGAGTATTATTTATGCTACTCCTCAACCTCAACGAAATCATGTAAGTGTTTCCCTTATAAATTGAATTTTTTATATAGTTTTGCTAGATGTTTTTACTTGGACAAATAAATTCATATTATCTATTCATCTTTGAATTATCATTCACTCTATCAGAATTGAGTGAAGCTATACTGTGCCAACGACGTAGAACAATTTTTCGAATGACCTCGATAACAGGAAGTTCATAGTTAATCATTCAAGAAGACAAGTATTATGAAAGAATTATTTATAATACAGTGAACTAAACAACTAAGACGTATTATAAAGAGATGGATTTTAGCAAGCAATAGAATCCAGAAAGCTCGTTTAATCATATTCACATGCATCGTAGATTTGATGTTCACTCCATCTCTGCTTATAATGCTTTTGACTTGAGGCAATCCGCACAGGATATACATATGCCAATAAGCGACTGATCATGTGTAGTCCTAAACGTCAATGGGAAGATTCAAACAACCAATATAAAAATAGATTAATTTAGAAATATATATGTTTTTTTTTGTTTGTTAATAATATATTTCTCCATGATGGTTTTTCTCTTCGAAATTCTATAGTAACTTAACTAATTTTTCAGCCTTATCTATATTTCCTTCATGTTGCTTGATATGAACTTCAAGTAATGTTTTACGAAATGTTTATGGAGAAAATATGTGTAATGATATTCTCTTCCCTTCAAACACTTTCAGATTTACCGATCATTATTATATTCAGTAATGTTTAGCTGAACAAACTTTTTCATTATTGAAATAATTGTGTAGATATTTTTGTTTGTAACTTTTTCAATATGTCCGAAAACCTAACTAATTAATCGATCAAAATTAAATCTTCAGTTCACTTCCTAGTTCCTTGCATTGTTATCTTTCAATTGAGGACAGATCATATTTCTGATTTCATCTATCAATTATTTAATATTCTCACTGAAATTCTTCATCATCCAAACGATAGTTGTCACTGTATTTTTCAATGATTAACGCGCTGTGACTTTAAAATACTCATCTAAATGCTTATTGATTCAGTAATATAGTACAGTTTTTTTTGCCAAATTATTTGGTTAAACCAAATCACATATGTATACTCTTTTATATAAATCCCTTAAGCGACCTCAGCGTAATGTGTCTTATCCCTCTAAAATAAAAACCAGATCTTGACCAATTACGTGCACTTATCATTTGGGTATTTATGATTGGCTCAATGTATCACTTTGCTTTAGAGAAATAAAATTTCGTTTTCAAATCATTCCATCTATACTATTTTACAGACTGTTTAACTTGAAGTTCTCTCAGTCATCATTGCACATAAAACATGAGTTAGACATTTTTTTGTTGATAAAAACCGTGTAAAGTTATGTAAAATTCAGCAATATTTACTCTTAGTATTCAACGACTGTAAATAATGAAATTCAGTCTTTAAATGCCTACAAGTTTGTGTATGCGATTTATAATCACACAGTCATCTCTTTCAATGTAAACCTCAAATTTGAAAAATGATATTTCAAGGTAGCTTCAACTGTATCGAAGAAATATTGCACAAATGTGTAGGTGTATAGTGGTAGACCGCTTGAATAAGCATTTAATTTGTTCAAGTTCAATTATTCCTTGAAAACTAACTGATAACTCAGTGACCCTAAACTACTAGATATCAGAAGGAAGAACAATTAGGCAGCAGAAAATGAATTATGTTATAGTAAAATGACAATTAGTTTACGAAAAAATATTATGTAGACAAAATTCACAAGTTGATTCAGGTTGGAAATATAGACTACCTGGTTAGAGACAGTACGATTATCGTAATCATTGAATGACATGGCTGCGAATCGGCCATTTATCATCTCTTAGATGTTGAGTTTCTAAATTATACTAGGATTGTTTTATTGGACAAATATATATTTTCGCAAATAATATTTTCTGCTATCACTATCAATACTTCTACTACTCTGGCATCTCTATACTTAGTGTGCCGACTTTAATCGATGCACATGTATGTTAGGTTCTACCTTGCGTAAAAATAACTGACGGGAAATGCAAATCATTGGTTCTAGCTGATGAAACCTGAAGAATCTCGTATTAGGATTAAACGTCTTGTTAGTACTCTTTTTTTCTAGGATACCCTGATTGATGTCAATCTATAACGACTGCCGCATACAAGTCTGTTGCAATCTTATTTTAAAAGATTAATGATAATACTCATTAGTTTCCTTTGTTTCAATTCAATCTCTCTTACAGCTTTCTTCCAGAATTGGTTACCATCATCGAACTTCCGGTAGTACAGGAGAAAATAGTATTTCTTCAAGTAGTTCGTCGCATATACGTGCACAAACCCCCGATCCATATGTGGATAGGCGTTTAGGTTTAGATAGTCCTAATCATCAATATCATCAGCGTCACTATCAACATTCGTATCAAAATGAACCGTCCGATTTAATTAGTCGGTCAAATTTCAACCAAACAGATTATATTCATCATTCCAATAATAACAATGGCAACATTAATAATAACATGGGTTTATCTGTGATTTCGGATCGACGCCGACGAGTACATCCCGTTGATGATAGCGGTAAATAAAATATTATTACTGTAATCGTGGGTCATTTACGTTTATTCTTGAAATTGAAATTATATAATTGCATTTCAGTAACCATATTACAGGTCTATGTATTCTTATAAGTTCTATCCTATTGATCTATCCCTAACCAAATAAAGGGCCGTTTTAAAATGAAACCTGATGGTTGAAAGGCAAGTTATTTTATGAAAAACTAATCACTTCATAAATGTGAGATCATTTATACAATACCCGAACCTAGATGCTGCCTTTACTTTATAATCGGGCTTGCCGTTCATGGTGACCTAACCGGGCTATATTGGCTGAAGCAAATGTTCTTTTAGGTCTTACTACTCCAGGCAGGTCGGTTGGAGAACCGTAAAGCTAAATGCGGCTGCTTATGGTCCGTGAGCGAAGTCATAATGCTGACTGTAGAGGAGCGTGACAGCAGTATGGCGTTTCCCTCAGATAATCAACATCTGCGACGATGCTTCCTTCTCACAACGCAAAGAGGTTAGAAAAGGTCAACCCTAAAAATATCACAACTTATCTTACCCTGCGGACTTCCTTCTTCAGTGATAAGGCGTTTTGAATCGTGGGGTTTACAAATCTGAAATCCCCGATAGAAAGGCCGTGCGTTACCGACCTCACACAGTTGTCCCTAGGGCTCTGCGGTTACTCTCCCAGGTCTCTAAGACTATCACTAACATAGCTTCCTATTCAAATCCCTCTAAAGGAAATGTCAGTCCACTATGTGGGTAGCCTCATACCTCTGATAGCATGTGTGATCATCTTGTTCACGACATCTTTTTAGTGGATTTAGGATAATAATTCATTGTGGTGTTGTTGAGCGGTTTTTTCAACTAGTCGTACCAACCATGACTAGTAAGAACTATACAAAACCTATTCCAGCCTACTCCTACACCATCCAGTGCACGAGTTGGTCATACGTTACACAAATAAATGTCGATGAAGATTCACGATCTCATCAAACGTCTAACCCCAGCATTGGTCATTCGGTCATTCCACGATACTCTGGCAACGCTTCAAAGATGCCTACGATCAAAAGCCCGCATCTTTATATGGATATTTGCGACGAAATTAGATAAAAACAAAAGCACTATCTCGCAAAATGTTTACTACTTAAATATGAGGGTTTTTTGATTCGTCATATTTACACTTTCTTACATATATTGGTCTTTTGATCATTTAAAATTGCATGAAAGATGTAGTTATTGTAAGTTAAAACAAAATAGATTAACTTTATTATTGTCCCTTCTTGTCTTCAATAGTTCTCTTTACTAATATTAGTTCTTAATGAAAAGTTATCTACAAATATTATCTTCACATAGCAAAGATACATTTAGACATTTGAATTTTATTTATTAAGTAATTCAACTGTGGTGTGTGCTACTGATGTCTACAGTTATAAGTGGTATATATCACCAATCGAAAGTGAAATGCCTGGCGGCAGAAGTTTGGGAAGATCGAAGATAAGTGATTGGTATGAAAATGAAGCAACGATAAAGTCTGAGACAATTGGTGGACATTTTTCAAATGGAATATTTACTATATAGTTCTCAGATTTTACCAAGATATTCTGTTATGTTGTGTTAAATTAATTTAGTTGTCCCCACTTGTGTTTTTGTTCACTACACAACTGTTTACTATGAGATGAAATAGATCTGTTCTAACTTCCTTTAAATATCATTTATGATATTTGAATAGTACTAGTCTATGTGTTTTGTACACATATACACCGATTAAAACTGACATTATGTAGTGTGAAACCGAAATGTTTCATGTATGAAACAACTTCTGAATAGTTTTGAACAAGAATTTAAACAACTATACAGACTTTCTGATTTTCAGTAGAGTTCTCTTTGGCTTAGTGATTTATACTAGAAGTAGCTTAATTTGTAAATACTCATCGTTATTCACACTAATATTCGTATGTTTCTGTATTCATGAATTGTATCTTCAGCTATCTACCTTTGTTTACTCTAAATCAAAGTGATGACTTTTCATTTGTCATTACTTCACATGTTCTTAGACTAATTGACTGATGATATCAAAACGCTGATAGCTAACTAACTATCAATTGTTATTTAGTAATCACTAAATTATAAAATTGTTTTAAAGAAATGAAACCAGTACTTTTGTGTATACATGTATGTGTTTATTTGTTTGCTTGTTTGTATCCATCGCCCGCAAGAGTATACGTGTGTGTGTATGTTTGTGTAAAGTTATATCGATTAACATATTGTATTTTACAAAAAGTGGACATACATTCAGACTTAGAGAAATAGCAAGAGATGTCTATGTTTCGTTTTTGCTTCTTCACATCAATATATTTGTTTATTTTAATCTGTTGTTTAGGTTACTCAATTTAGTTTGTGATTTTTCAGTAATTCACTGTATTCACTTTTTTCTGTTTGCATAAATTTCTGTGTTTGTGCGTTGTGTAGTATGAAGTGTTAAGTTGTTGTGGTTGTGTGTGTGTTTTTGGCAGTAACATATTTTCATGCATTGCAATAAGCAAATCAATGTAAGTGAATTTTGTTACATCCGAACGAAGAATAAATGAATGGTAACCACTAGGAATTTATATATATATTGCTTTTATCATAAGTTTTCATTTAGCCTATTGGCTACTTCAATACTATTTACCAACCTGAACTTATCCCCAATCTATAAGTTACAGTATCCCAATCTCACAGCCACTTTTGGCCGTTATTTGTGTTCTAGACTCAACAGATACAGCTAGGAGACGTCGTACTATATTGAGGACCAATGAGGAATCAGAGTTGATGAAAGGTCATAGCGGTCGATATTCTGATTGGCGATTTTGTTACATGATAGTTGACAGGGCTGAAAGTTATAATAGATTTCAACATATAATTATTTGATTTTTATTCGTTTGTTTGCTGATCTACTATCTTTAATTCTTATACATAGAAGTGATCATAACTACGAGAATATCAGTTACAAAATAACAGTTCAAACATATTAAACTAATGAAGTGTTTATATTTCTCTGTTAAATAGGAAATATACTTTGTAACAGTTTTCATTGTACTATTCGGCAGTTAATAAGCATAATTTATGGGGATAGATTATGTTACTTAGTGCAAACCTTTGACTATTGTTTTAGACAATATCATTAGTGTGTACGTTAAATAGGAAGTGGATTTTTTATGTTTTCCATAAACTCCCAAGTTAATCTGTTCTGAATGACTATGCTGAAATAGTCGATCGGCCAAATTCTCAAAATTCAACTGAATAAAATAATTGCTTTGAATTTAAAAACACATGATCAGTTAGGATAACCAATCACAAATAATGTTATAATAATGAGCTGATTTAGCACTCATATAATATTTTTCCAGGCTCATTTCCACCTAAATCAGATACTGGTGTTTCCCCAGACAACAATCGGTGATACCTAATTGAAATATCCACTTCTTAGAACAAAACGGAAGTAGTGGCTTGGTGGTAATTTACTCGACTTTCGGCCATTAAGTCGTAGATTTGTATCCCACTCCATCTACTTCGGTTTGGACATCTAGGTAATATCTTCGATTTCCACACTTAACGAATTAATGAAAAGCAAGTACACGAGTCAGTATCTCTGGTAACCAAGTTAAAAATAAAAATTGAGAGATCAACACGTACAAAAGTTATTCATCTTACCTACAGATCCTTTTCATGATCAGTATGTAAGTTGAACAAATTACGATTACGTTTCCTCTTGTTTTCTAACCTCTTTTTCAGTTGTTGGTTTAAATAAGGATAACTTTTCACCCGAATCACCTAATTCATCAACAACTTATGGTTCATTACTTCGACCTGGACGTATGCTTCCATTGCGTCATTCACAATCATCCGTATCCAACAGACCAAACAGTAATATTGTCAGATCAGCAACAGCGGTAACGACGTCAGCAATGGCATCCTCAACAGCCCCATTGTGTATGCTTCCTGGGGAGTTCCTTGTACATTTAAAGCGTCAGTCAACTGGTTTTGGATTTAACCTAGTCGGTGGAGCTGAAGAAAATACTCAGGTTTGTTTGTTGTCGAAAGAAAGTTTTTCGTTTGTCCGCTTATTATTATTATTATTATTATTATTATCATTATTGTGTATATTGTTGGTTGTTATCACTGGAACGTATTGGATTTTCATAAAATAACTTCTACACCTTTATGTGCAACCGTTCGAGGATGTGTTCGAAATGACTTACTTTGAGTACTGTTTTTTTTTCTGATTCTAGTAATTAGCTAATGCTTTCATCCATCATACAATCAGAAAAAAATTTGCGATATGCATTGCCAACTTAATCGGATTTGAGATAATAACCTTTAAGTCTTCATACAAAGTTTAAGAAACCTACTGACTATGTATTACATAGTATGTGTTATACCTAAGAGGACTTTATTATATTGGGTTTAGAAGACAACGGATTGATGGTAAAGTGTCTTTTAGTTATTTAATTAAACAAATGAACATTAGTTCAAGTGCGTACCAGAATATATACACTACTTTAATTTTGGTTGAGGGCTGGGATACTGCCTGGTTGCCTAAACCCGAAGCAGGTGGTTCCTTCTAAGAGATCACTCCCTGACCCTCTGATCTGGAGATCTAATCTATAAGACAATGGAGTGACGTGTTAGGAGCTGCGGTTCCATGATAATCGGTGACCAACAATAGGTTCATACGCCCATGTACACCATTGGTTTGGAATCAGGGTTTTCCAACTCCTCCAGGTGGATCGTCCGTATCCACCACCCCGGTTAAAGCGCCGGACATTCGCTTTTCGTCCTCTCAATTTCGTAAACAACAGTAATGCCGCGAGAAGGCATTGAGTAGTACTTCCCTGACAGTGGCTATAATATACGCGTGGCCATATAAGAACATTTCAAGAGAGAGAATTGACCCTCCCCATTCTCGGCCATATTATAGCATTTGGGGGATGGTAAATAGTCCATTGTGATATCATACGAGTAATACTGTTGAGTAAATGTAAAATGAAGTAATTTGTTTATAAATGAACACACGAATAATGTTAAAGTTATATGGTGACTCAAGTGACTCAGCGACTTGATAAATTCATCAACCATGAACAACAATATGCACACAATTTAACTTCAAACACATCTGTTCTGTCATCGATGAATATTTAACACAAAACTCTCACGATCATTTCGATCGTCATTTATTTCGATAACATATTATCGTTTTAGATCTACAATTCATGTTGATGTAACTTGCGTCTTTTTTCAAAAAATTTCTTTTAGGTATCTATCGGTGCTCTGCGTATGGGTGGTTCAGCTCAACTTAGTGAAGTTGTACGTACTGGAGACAAGTTAATATCAATCGATGGTGTACGTGTTATTGGAGCAACACATGCAGAAGTTGTAGAATTATTAGATAGAGCTGCACATACTGTTGGTCAAGTTACATTGGGTTTACAAAGAGGAAAGGTTAGTTCTTGTTTTTAATCTTAGCTCGGTTCATTTATTTATTTATTTGAACACATAAACATTGGTACAAGGTGGCACCAAACAGATATGCGCCACATAAATCATTCGATTTGTGTGAGGGCTAGGATACTGCCCGTGTGCCCAAACAGAAACAGGTGGTTTTCTTAAGGGGGGCACACCCGGAGCCTTCGACCTAAAGGTTTGATCCACAAGACAAAGCAGCAACGTTAGGATATGAAGCCCCGTGGTAGCCAGTGACCAACAGTTTGTTGCTGGGGCCTATGTGCACCACTGGTTTGGAATCAAGGTTTTCCAACCTCCCCAGGTGGTCCACCAACCCTGTTAAAGCTCCGGCATTCGCATTTAGTCATCTCAATGTCATAAACAACTCTCCTGCCGTGAGTAAGCAGTGAGTAGAACTTCCCTGATAGTGACTGTATACGCATGGTCATGTGAGAGCATTTGGAGAAGGAGAGTGGACACCCAACTCTTGACGGTATCAGGGCATTTGGGGGTTATTAGCTCGATGAATTTATTTAATTAATAACTGGTCAACAGATGAGATTGTGTATACGTTTTTTGCTAGATCTGAAATTCTTGAATTTCATCCAATGTATTGATTTGTAAATAGTTGTACAACTGATTCTCATTATTTCTCTAGTTGACATATTTATCTATATTCAATTGTCAATGATCTCTTTAAATAAAAGTGATTTTCATCATAAAATGATTTGATATTTCATTCTGATTTGGTACTCATTAGCGATAAGCATCCACGATCGCACTCTTATGATGTTGAACCTTGAAAATCAATAAAAAGTCAATGGTATATTCATTGATGAATAGCTAGCTATGAAACAGATTTATCGAAATTCTAGTAGGAAACAGTGATTTATGTACTCGGGAATTGGATAATAATTCATTTATCACTTTAGACAAAAATTCATCTATATTTCGGATTTATTGAATTCTAAATTAAGGTTCATCGCATTCTAGCTCTGTGAATAAATGTTTTTCTCTTTGTTAAATATAAAATTACAATGTTTTGTCATGTATATTGTCGATAAGTCCCTAGCACTGATGAAACAATCGTGTATTAATTTCTGCTACTGCAATTAATATCAGTTGACGACAAGTAATATCAATAAAATAATCAATCTATGGTACGTGAACACAGGGGATCATCAGGAAACCTTGGATATAGATTTTGTCGTTGTTGAGACATGTCAACGAAATACAATCCACAATCTCGAAAAAAGACTAGCGTTTCTTGTTGGATACAAATCCAGTTCATCAAGCTTCACAGTGTGAGACGTTACCACTAATTTATGTGGGGTGTGAATATATTATATATACATAATTTGTTGATTGATTGATGAGCAGTGGTCAATGTTAGGTCTATCTAGTCCTTTATTGCTGAATAAATTGCATCGATCAAGTAGCAATTTCCCCACTAGTCTTCCTGATGTGTACCAACTAATTCAGATCCTAGTCCCAGAGTTTCCTGCCTACTGCTTTCAGTCACTTACTATGATATACAGCATCGTTTATGGGGTTTCGAGTTACTTAGATTGATGACCACATTGTAACTTGATCGATAGAATTTTATCAGCACCACTAAAAAACTAGATAAACATTAAGTTATCCATTACTCAGCGATTAATCTACAATATGATGCATCTATGTTCATCCCATCTAATAATCATGGACTTTTACGCTCTATCCTTCTATTTTTGCTACAATCATCGTAGTATTCCTTAAAAGGTATCCTCATTCTTTCTTAAATCATCACTTGTATACCATTAGTGATGGGTGTAGGGATTTGATTGTTACCCAAACTACCTAGGTAGTTAATCAGAGATTCTTTTAAAAAAGGAACACACGACTGTTTACTTACTTACGCCTGTTACTTCTCGTAAAGGAGCATAGGCCGCTCACCAACGACTATTTACTGCTAATATGTATTTCAGTCTATTCAATAAAATCGTTATCGGTTGTTTGTGCAAATAACATGAAACGATAATGATTCACATATATCTTGCATGAAAAGGTAGTTATTTGCATATGAAAATATATGTATATTAATTATCACAAAAATTGTAATATCATCATCATATTCGGTGAAAAATAACGTATATTTCCGATAAATAATTCTGGTTGTCTGTTGTCTCGATTTGCATGTATATATATATATATATATATATATATATATATATATATATATATATAATATATATATATATATCGAGAGAGTTTTGGAAAAGAAACTAAGCTTTTTGTCGTTACTAAATAAATCAACTTACCACTGATGACATCTTTTACTATTTATTTCCACCCCTTCACCACAGCCGTCATCATCCTACTTCAATGTATCTCTAAATAACATAACATTTTATGACAGGTTTTTATTCAGTTTATTCCTTTTCTCCAATCTGACATATATATACACATAATCTCTCAGAGCCATTAGTTCAGTAACATGTCTGAATAAAATATATAATTCGTAAATAAACTTTATAGACAGGAATCCCATTATCCATCATTGTGACGTTTATTAAAGTCCAAATGAGAAGAATGGATGTGTAAATCTGATTTAATAATATTAATAAATTGTATAATGTACGGGTAAAAAAAAAGATGTTATTATTCCATTTTATTGGATTTCTCTCTCCCTTTTGTTAAGTGGTCACACAGTCCATTATCCTATACATAAAATTGAATCTTAAGTAGTTTTTAAACGGATTATCAGACAAAGAAAAATGAATTCATATCAGTCTATTCCTTTTTATTTTATGTTAAGTGCTTTATTTCGAAGTATATTCACCGATTAGACTTCGGTGCTAATCGATGTTGTGACTTTCAACTCTATAGTTGGCCTATGAGAGGAATATGCAAACAATGTTTTCAAGATATACTAAACCGAAGGCTGACATAATGCATAGTCTTCTGATCGGCTTGAATGACAACACAAGAACGTTCGAAATGCGTTTCTCTCTCATATCACTCTAAGTGTAAAATTTTGTTTCAGGACTGGTCTGTGTCAGCCTCTGAAGTTGTGATAGAGAGTGAAGTAGCTAAGTGCTTTCACCGCTTAATTTCTAGACTACTGATTCGACATTCAATTGTGTTACTGTCTAGCATCAACTAATCCATGACATTGTGCGACCATCTCAACTTCCTAGATGGGAAACGTGACCTATAAGGATACATGGGAAACTTTTTTTCAAAAGTATTTGTACATTCATCTGATGAGCTCTGAATGAGGTGAAACGCCTGTCTTGAATTCCACTATTAAAAAGCAATCTATGTATTCCCTACCATTCATGACTGTTCACAGTCATTTCATTTTAAAATTTAAAATTATCTCCAAGATAAATATGTAAAAATCATTTATTTTAATGTTTATTCATATGATTAGGTTGAAATTGACAATCTCAATTCACACTCTTCATCGGAACCAGTTGATGTTGTCATATCAAGAAGTGAAAAATCTGATGGATTTGGTTTCTTTTTGACTAATACCAAACCAATTCACAATTCATTAAATGAACATTCAAATGCTATTGTTGTGAATCGTAATAGCAGCAATAATAATAATAATCTTCAAAATACAGAATATATTGGTATGTGTTTTAACATGAAGAGTGAACTTTTTTCAAATCTTCAATACATTATCAATTAATCTAGTGTCTTCTGTCAGCTTACCTTGATTTTCGTCAATTATTTTTCAAAAGATGTATTGAGGATTTGTCTGACACAAAGTTTAATGTTGACATTATTACGCATATAAAGTGTCTGTATACCTGAGAGTTCAATTTTTAACCATGGATAACACAATATTTGTCAAATCAATTAAAGGTATGTGGGCGATTGCCACTTCCCAGTTGCCTATACAGGACAATGGAAGATATTTTTTCTCGATGGATGTGGAAACAAAACTTGGTTGGTAATGGCCATGTCAGTCTGATAGCGTAACCACTGACCCAAAGGGATAACTGGTTGAAGCCGGATACACTCTAACTTCCCGATCTGTTCTTGACGTGTTAACTTCTGTAACGCCTTATACCACAGGCGATAGAAATTCATGGGGCAATGTGAGATGTACTAGTTAATCCTTACCTTTGATCATGAGAATACAAAAAATGCTGATGATGATGGTTGTCCAAGGGGACCACGTTACTGCAGTCACACTATTATACACTTGGTAATAAGACTTCACCCTGTTAGCTTAATTTGCTACTTTTAATCTTATCGTTCTCCAGCCAGTACAGTTCAATAAAGCGGTCACGATAAGCAACCCCAGTCATCATGTCATGCTAGCAACTAAGATCAGGTATTAGTTACTACGCAGTGGTCGACTATTGTTGATATCTCAGTCCTGCAGTTGGTTAGTTACAGCGCAAACTACTCATTATTAATGTACCTGTGACATGGAACAATGTCATTTTAAATCTCTCACAAGAATGTAACTTTTTTTATTACTACCAGTTAGCACGAAATCTAGATTACATGCCATAAGGTGACGGCCTCTAATATTTGAATATCATATTCACTTAAACTATGAATATATTCAAACTGAACATGGTGTTTTATTAATTGCCTCAAGTTTATTAATACATTAGATTGTTTTCCACTACTAGGAAATTATCATATTTTATAATAAATGAAAAAATAGCTCATTTGGAATGAATTAACTGAAGCTATGGCTTTTCTGTTTAATATGTATAGCTCAAATTGTTCCTGGCAGTCAAGCTGAACGTATGGGTCTGTTGTCTGTTGGTGATCAAATATTAGCTGTAAATGGTATCCCAACATGTGGACTACATCATGATGAAGTAGTTCGTTTGATTCGAGAAAGTGGTAATCACATAGCTTTGAAAATTTTGCCATATTCAGGCAAGTGTTTTCCTATTGTCTGTTATTGTTGTATCCTTTTCACTTTCAAATGCTTTTTCTAATCTATATTTTGCTAATATATTCGTTTGTTTTCGTATGTATGTATCCATTATTCTCTTGAGTGAATTAGTTGAAAATTAAATTGACGCTTTGTCCTTCAAAAGGCTCTAAAATTTGATTACTCTATACAAAAACTTGTACATCAATGAGATATGGTTCATATTTGGTTTCTGAAGATTGGTCCTATAAGATTTTCCTATCCACACTGTCAAACGCTTTCTCATAGTCAAGTGAATTGATGTATAGTGACGAATTCCATTAAATTGATTTTGAACAGTGATCTGTAGTGTCACGATCTGATCTGTGCACGACCAATCCTTACGGAATCCCGTCTGCTGATCTCGAAGCTGGGCGTATGCTGAGTATTTCATCCGGTTCACTATCACGCTGTTAAAACTTTTCTCGGTCCTGATAGTAGTGCGATGCCTCTGTAGTTCTCACACCTACCGAGATTTCCTTTCTTTGGTATCTTGATGAGGTATCCTTCTTTTCAGTCTGTCACTTCTTAGTCAGATAATGGAGAAGAGTTCTAACTTATGTAGGTGATTTCGATGGTTACATTCCTTAAACTAGATAGTTTAGTCTTTTCTTAATTCTAATTGACATAACCATCCAACTCAAAAGAAACAAAGTTGCGCCAAAATCATTTCTTAATATTCTGCACATCGTGGTCAGATTGCATTCTAGTTTACGGTAGTTTAATGTGACTTTTGCGATGTTCATCATATGGGTAGCGATCTTCTGAAGTATTCTCAAAAAAGTGTCAGCTTTCTTTTAGATAAGTACTTACAAACTGGTCAAATTTCTCTCGTTTAAATCATACCACTGCTACTACTATCTAACGTGGTAAAGCCTAAAGAAGATTGATTTTAACAAACACAATACAGGTATAAATACACATACGAAGTCCTTAAAATAGGATAAATAATTATTGTTCTAAAATAGCCACTAATCAGTTGAAAAATGATTACTTTAAGTGCAATAAGGATGGAAGGTTTCTGTCGTAAGGAGTTTAGACTTTGAAGCAACAGAAATTCAAATTTACAAAAATAAGAATAACCGGTATGTAGTTTTCTGGGAATTTCACCTACCCAGTACCAAGTTTCACGTTTCTATCTTTTCTTTTTTCTGTTCAATCCATTAATACATTGTAATCTTATTTAAAATTTCAAATATGGTCAAGTTACTAGACAATTGTCTCGGCCTATTAACAGACTTCTCTGAAATTGACCAGTATCGTAACTAAGACTCGTGAACTGCAAACACGAGAGACTCAAGCTGGCTTCAGACCTGGTCGTGGCTGCATCGACCACATATTCACCATTCGTCAGATTCTAGAACACAGGCATACTTATCGGCGTCCGACAATGGTGGTCTTTCTCGACTTAAAAGCAGCATTTGACTCTGTAGACCGCGAGATTCTGTGGCAGTGTCTGTCATTGAAAGGCGTACCCCAGAAGTACATAAACCTTGTGAAGGCTCTTTACTCGAACACTACTAGTCGAGTCAGAGCTTATGGCGAACTGTCATCTACTTTTGCAACCTCAAGTGGTGTCCGTCAAGGCTGTCCACTTTCCCCATTTTTGTTTAACTTCATCATAGACCTACTGATGGAAATAACATTCTCGTCGACTGAGTTCTCGGGTATTGATCTCCATCCAGGAGGTCCACTTATCGACTTAGAATACGCAGATGACATAGTCCTGTTTGGTGAAGACGCTGACAAAATGCAGAGTCTTTTGGTAGCACTAAGCAACAATGCCAGAATGTTTGGAATGCGCTTCTCTCCCTCGAAATGCAAGTTGTTGCTTCAGGACTGGTCTGCGTCAACACCTGAACTAAGGATAGGGAGTGAAGTAGTCGAACGCGTTGACAACTTCACTTATCTTGGAAGTCTGATCAGCCCTAATGGGTTGGTATCGGACGAAATCTCAGCACGGATTCGAAAAGCTCGTTTGGCTTTTGCCAACTTACGTCACCTTTGGCGAAGGCGAGATATCCGTCTATCAATAAAAGGACGAGTATACTGCGCGGCAGTCCGTTCTGTTTTACTTTACGGCAGCGAAACATGGCCTTTAAGAGTAGAAGACACTCGTAAGCTATTAGTATTTGACCACAGATGCCTTAGAAATATTGCTGGCGTCTGCTGGGATCACCGGGTAAGTAATAGTGAGGTTAGACGCAGGGTATTAGGAAATGATGGTAAATCAGTTGATGAGGTTATGAATCTTCATCGACTGAGATGGTTGGGCCACGTGTTACGTATGCCTGAACACCGATTACCACGACGTGCAATGCTATCCGGTATTGGAGATGGTTGGAAGAAAGTTAGGGGCGGCCAAACCAAAACGTGGCATCAGTGCTTGAAGACACTAACTTCTAGTCTGAGCCATGTTGGTAGATGCAGACTACTTGGTTGGGGTCCGCGTGACTTTCGTAACCAATGGTTGGAGACTCTTGGTGACATGGCTCAGAATCGATCACAATGGCGTCGGTGTATACACTCCCTGTCTTCCCTTAAACTAAGAGATTAAAATCGCTTCATATCTTTCTTTCTACGAACCAATTCTTTCTTCTTGTATTATATCTCTATATGCAATCTTTCTCATATATTACCACCTTTGACCTAACCACTGCTATGAATCCGGTGTTCATCTTGTTGTGCTGATGCGGTATGGCAACCTGGACCGATGCACATATGTGCCTGGTCCTACGTTGTAGCTGACTGACTGACTGACCAGTATCGACTCTATAGTTTAACGTTTAACTGTAGTTTTTGGGTAAAAGATTCTACTGGATAGAAATTCGGTATTATTACTCTTGTATTTTCAAACTTAATAAGTCTATGGTTTAGCAAAACACTTCTGTATTTCTCACATTGTCTTCTCTATCGTATAGGCTCAGCTTCACGTGGACGTAAACATCCTTTGCCAATGAGAGATTCAGTTGAATTTCCGGTTACATTATTTCGTGGAAGTAGAGGTTTTGGTTTCTCCATTCGTGGTGGACAAGAATTTAATCGTATGCCACTAGTTGTATTACGTATTGCGGACGGTGGTGCTGCTCAAATGGATGGTCATTTAAAGGTACATTTTTTATTGTTTGTCATAAACATCGTTTTTTTAGAATTGATTTACAAAAGTCCATAACTCAAAAAGTTTAGATTTGTCCAAAGAAATTAGAATGTAACTATCTCCAATAATAACAAAAGAATTCTTGTTTTGTTTTGCATTTTAATTAATACCGCCAACATAATTTATATCTGAATAAGTAGTTTGTGTCGTTTCATTCAATAAAAATCATTTCTTTCATAGACTCGTTATGTGTCATATCAATTTATTGTGTATCAAATACTCCAGAATTTTATCCTCCTTGGTACTATCAGTTAGTAAATGACTGGTAATGGTCAATCTCACCTATCTTTTCTTCAATTTCATGTGAAAATTTCAAAGTTTTTTTTATTTTCAAGTTGATTTGTTTCATAGTAATACTTGTATAACTTCACCGATTTTTGGCCACTTGCTTGAATATCTAGGCTACCTGTTGTTGCCATCTAGATATTACAAGAAGTTATCTGTTTTTGTTTGTTTTATTATATCATAATGTCTACCAATCGCATAGCCTATTCAAGCGCGTTTATGAGAAGCGAACGACCTTTCGCCGTAAAGTACAATCAGAGACATCGTGATAGTTGACAATTTCGCATCGAAATGAATGAACATTTTTGAGATGTCGATTCCTGAACTGCCAACATCTAACTGGTAATCACTCAGTATTTATCTTTAAGATCGTTCAAAAAATAAAAAGAGAAAACTCGTTGAAATACTTTGTGCTGAGAATTTTATATTTTACCAAAAGTGTAATATTGAATAAAGCCATTCGTAATAAAATTTAAAACGCGATGTCGGTTGGTGTATGTCTTGTTGAGATATAAGTGAAATCTACCGGCATTTATCTGTTAAGACGATTAAAATCGATAAACATCGAAATACTAAAGAATAATAGACCATGATTTATGAATTATTAACAGTAACTTAATGATTTCACTTGGTATTGTTTGGCTCGTATCTTCCCATTGAGGTTTAAGACTTCAATTGATCAGTCTGTTATTGGCATATATGCATACTGTGCGTATGCCTCGATATTACCTTAATTCACAAGCTATTTGTAAGCAATGATGAATAGTGGCAAGCAGTGGAATCCAGGACGCGCGTTTCGTCCTATTTGGGACTCGTCAGCTGGATGTACCTGCATCTCAAAGAGTTGATGTTCACTCTGTGACTCGAACCCAGTACTATTCGCTTCAAACGCCATCGCGTAACTTAGTGATTCTTGAAATTCAAATTCAAAGAACTAGTCTCACGAATATTGTTCTTGATTCCTACAGAGTATTCCTTTCATTCAATATCCTAAATATTTACCTTCAGCTAAAATTCATAAATCAAACTCAACGTATATCCTATTTTTGAATTTTCAAATAATGAATTATTCATACATATACCTGAATTTTGATTGGCTAAAAAATTTAGATTTCATTTCTTCAGAATCACTTTCAAACACCATTGAAAGTTATAGTGAATGGACAGTTATATAGGCGAAACCATTTATTAAATTAACAATCTGTTATATCCGAATGAAGGATAACTGAATGGAAACTACTAGAATTTATTTACGGACTGTCATTATCTATACTCTTATTGTATAACTATTAAGTAACTATATTATACGTATATTCATATTTGTTTTATCATAAGCTTCCATTTCACCTATTGACTACTATTATACGACTTACTATACCCTAAAATGCCCTGGTACGGCCGAGAGTAGGGAGAGTCCTCTTTCCCTCTCGAAATGCTCTCACATGGCCATACGTATATATCCTTTTCCAGGGAAGTCCTACTCACTGCCTTCTCGCACCACGAGTGTTTTTTACCAAATTGAGAGGACGAAAAGCGAATGTCCGGCGCTTTAATCGGGTTGATGGACATGGAGAGTCCATCCATAATTTGCACATCTTTGAATTGTCTCTTAAAAGCTTCATTGTTCGTTCATTCCTGTTGTTATTTTGATTGCTTCCAGTTTCCTTCAATCTCTTCAACCTTCTGCTCGCAGACATTGCACTTTTGTCTGGTGTTGCATACTCTTTATATCTGCAACATAATTTGCACACACCACAGTCATTAAGGTATACTTTAGCTATTCATAAATTTTGCATACTACTACCATTACTATTTATGTGTAAGTGAATATTTGCTATTTCTGCACACATAAAAAACAACTAAAATTCCTATTTCATAACATAACTATATCTAGGTTGGTGATGAATTAATTGAAATCAATGGTTATTCAACTATTGGTATGTCACATGGACAAGCTATTGAAATTATACAACGTGGAGGAAATACTATGCGTTTAATTGTTCGACGTCGTTCTCCACGTGTTAAACAATCATTAGAACAACAAATGTCAAATGGTTTAACTCGTGTTATTGATAGTCGTACAAATGCAGGTAAACTGATTTTATTATAATTTTGTAATCTAATAAAATTTATTTACTACTGTTTCGGTGATTCATAAATTATACAGTTTCTGTTGTGAAATGTTTTTTGGTTTATTTTATTCGCATGTATGGACTGTTGAGTTTGAAGCGTGTAGAATTTTACATTTATATCTATCCAAGACGTCGAATGGTTGAAGATCCACAAGTGTGGTGTTTGCTACTTACATTGACAAATATAAGTAGTATATAACACCGGTCAGATATGTAATGCCTGCCAGCAGAAGATTGATGAGATTCAATTGAAGAGAACATGAAGAGAAACAGATAGAAATTGTAATAATAACATAATTGAAAGTATCATGAAGCATACAGTGGACAACTGAAGGAGGATATGCAAATAATGTTTTTAATGTATTGTTTTCATATTTTATTAAAGCACTCTATAGTTTTGCATTAACAATAAACTGTTTTCCCCCACCTAAGCTCTCATTCACTACTATTGTTGTGTAGAGTTTGTTCATCCTTTATATTCTATTTTAATTAATAATACCTTTTGTTCAATTGAATATGCTTAGTTTGAAGTATATTTCTAATGTATAGTTTATCGCTACTACTAGATGTATTATTCAGATTAGATTAGTTCGATAAAAACATGGTCTAGTGAATGTAAACATTGAGGAGATACGATTGAAAATTAATCATTTACACTGATCCGAATACGGTCACTCGTTGTTTTCCTTTAAATCTCGAATATATGTTCTTTACTTACTTAGCCTTGTTACCCCGCGTACAGGAGCTTAGCCCGCTCACCATGATTCTCCACCGACCTCTTCAGCTAAAAGCTGTTTTCTCTCCCACTATATATATATATATATATTACCTTGTCCCATATATATCCAATGCTTAATTCTTCTTATCATTTCTACTTCAATATTCCAACTTCACTGTCACATTAATATATAATATGATATATATATATATATATATATATTTTCCTACCCTTACTATTATTGTTATTGTTGTCTGTTGTTGGCGTGGAAATATACTGACGTTCTAATCAGTCTAGCCACGTGTTCTTGATCCGAGTTGTGTTGAAGTCCTATAGAAAAGACACGAGAGAGTATCTATTGTTGATATTTATCCGTGAGATAACTGTGTACACTTTTTACGCTATACTGTTTTGTAATCAGGGTTCATTTTACAAGCCGGTAGGTGTATACTTATTTTAGATTTTCATCTAGTTAAAATCTGTATTTCGACTTACTAGATTTCATAAATGAAATCATTGTCCACAAATGTAAGTCGGCTTAACAAAATTCAACCATTTCGTGTACAAAATAATTCGGATTATGAAACTTATCATCTATCAGTAAAGAATGTAATTCAATCAGTGTTATAGATTTAATGTGTTTGTTCACCATGTTGTCAACGTCCAAGATCTATTAATTCCGTTTGAAAACTATGAATATCTACCTCAATATCACGAAAATTAGACGATCATCATGTTAGACTTTTAAATCATCATGCCAAATTACCCTTAAACTTTGAAATCTGACAACTGACTTCGATGAAGCTATTTATGTTCTCAATTGGTGAAAAAATGAGTATATATTCAAATTCCCCCAGGCTGGCATACTTCCCTAAAATAAACTGAAATTATCTCTAATCTTCACATTTATGTTCATATGTCTGAGTTGTAGTTGCCTCATTTCTCCTATTGAATATACTAATATAACCAGTTTTTTATTATTTCCCAAATACCACCATATTTTTTCTTTCCTAGATTGACTATAGAATTTAATCCATTCTATTTTTTATCTATGTTCCCTTGTTCTTTCAATCTCTTCATTCTCCTATGTAAGCTAACTAATGTTTTAATTGTTATGTTTCATTGTAATAAATCTAAAACTGTCAAGGAAAATAGGATTTATATCAGAAAGGTTTTTGTGGATATTATAGTAATTTCAATGGTTGAGATCATGAGTCAATTGAAGCTAGACCACCATGAAAAAAACCTTTCCGATATTAATCAACATATGCTCACTAGTGACGGTCTCCAAGAGGTATTTCCTGGAGTTCTAGTGAAAAGCAGTGACCAGCGAAGTTCAACCGGGTCAGTTGTGAGATAGTAGCTCACTGAAGACAAGTGTGAATATGTCTTTCAGTTTCGTGAATTTGTTGAAGTTAGACATCAACACCATTAGATGCCGACTCAGTGCTTTAAAGGTTAAGCGCTCGCGCACGAGACTGATAGGCCCTGGGTTCGAATCTCGCGGAGGGGGCAGGATCGTGGATGCGCACTACTGAAGAATCCCACAATAGAACGAAACGGCCATTCAGTGCTTCCAGATTTTCCATAGTTGTCTAGCTTCAATTGACGCATAATCTCAACCATTGAAAATAGGATCTATTAATATTTTTAATGAAGTTATATTTCGATAATAATAATTAAGTAGTTGTTGTGATTTAGAAATAATTTCACGGAAAATATTTATTGCAACCTGGTTTCGTATTTAGTTCCCATGTTATTCTTTGTATTGCATAACATTTTGTCAAAAATATGTTATAGCTTAATGATATTATTATTATTATATCCACTCTTTACATGGATGCTAATTAATCATTTCTGTATTTTATTTTGGCAATAACAATTTGATTTTGTTTATGCATACATAAAGTCTAACAGATTTATACAATTAAAACAGTTGATTGGATTATTATTATTATTTCCATTCGCAAGTATGTTTTTAATTCAATTTATCTACTAAATAGTATTGTACTTGCTATAAAATAAAACCTCCTAAAGGCTTGTTTTCAGTGTTATGTAAGTTAGTAGTAGTAGGTACACCCGAATCGAACAATTCATAAAGTAGAGTTAAACCTACATTGTATGTTTATTCTATAATTTTGTAGTTGAGGTTATCTGCAACGTTTTCAATATTGAATAATTGTGTTGTCCTCCCAAATTCTAATCCTCTGAAGTCCTTTTTTTTCTTTCCAAATTTATTTCACTGGATTATACTCCTTCAATAACATCTTCAAACCCTAATGTTTCCGATTACTGCTTATACTCTTACTACCTCTACCACTACGAGATTTGAATCGACAACTGCATCTCTGTGCATATGTGGTATGGCGACTCGAACTGATGTACGTACGTACGAAGTTCTACGTTGTTACTGACTGACTTTTGTTTCTGGCACTTTCGGTTTTTATAACTTTCATTTGATAGGTGGGCACTGCATTCTGGTTAGTGCTTTTTTAGCGATTTGCTTTTCTACGAGATTGGGTCGCTAACTCCATGCCCAATCCTCCTCTTTTATCCGGGCTTGAGACCGACAGTAGCCCCCTAGAGGGACTCCAGGCGGTGGTGAGCACTGCATATTGGAGTTAAATTTTTTACTGAAAATTCTATTTCTATCTATCTGAAGTTATCCATAACTATCTACTATGAACACATCAGTTTAGCTTAACTTAGTATCCAGGTTAGAAAATGCAAGCATAGTACTACAAATTAAAACTTGAAATAAAATATAACAAAATGACACTTTAATATACAACGCTCATCTATAACATAAAAAGAAAACTAACCATTATTGCTGAACACAATACAATTCTTGAATATTAAAAGTGTTCTAGATAACCTAGGTCATATTGTTTATAGAAGCTTTAAAGATATTACTCAACTGATTGTTACAAGTTGGATGCTTCACAATTATGTAATTGACTTACTAGAAGAAAAATATATATATCATTATCAATTGATCCAGATGTGTTCATCGCTTACTTCTTTTATGATCATTTTGAAACTGTATTTTTATTTATACTCTTATTGATAATCTATTGAGTGTAAATTTTTTTCATTACTGAAAACTTCATTGATTCTAGAACTATCATAAAGTTTATACAGGTAATATTTTATGTTGTTGATTGTTTGTATTCTTATATATATATGTGTGTGTTCATGCATGAAAATATTTGTAAATTGTCTGTTTATATATAGATGGAATGTGTTTTTGCATTGTTCCCCTAAAAATTAATACCTATGTTGTTGTGCATCTTTTTGATTCTTTCAATGAATACTGAAAAAAAAATTAATTCACATGATGGTTGAATCAGTTCATCGTTACTCATATTCTTCACTGATATTATCGTACGTAACACCTGGGAAAAAAGTCCATAACGAGAGTTAAACAGCTCTTCCTAGTGTTATCTCACTTTTAAAGTTTACACACATCATTATTGCTTGAAATTATCTTTAAAGATTTAATACGAAATTACATAGGAATTAATATAAGTAGTATAGAAACGAACTCGAAAAAAAACAAACACTGGTTACCAAACACAGGAATAATAATGATATTCATTTTTGCAGAATAATTCAACAATCATTGTCAGAATGAAAATCAATTCCTATCTTAGTACATAAATAACATGTTGTAACAAATCATTATATACACTAGGTATTATTTGGCTATCAGGACTCAGTAGCTAAGTGGATAACGCGATGGCGTTTGAAGCGAATAGTACTAAGTTCGAGTCCCAGAGTAAACATCAACTCTGAGATGTAGGTACATCCAGCTGATGAGTCCCAAATAGGACGAAACGCGCGTCCTGGATTCCACTACTAGCCACTATCTATCATTGCTTACAAAAAGCATTATATACACTAATTAGTCGAGAATATATTACTGATATAGTTTTGTTGTGTTTTTTTTCTTCAAATCTAATATATCTCGGTTTGTTACTATGTAATCTTCATAGTTCAATATGCTTCCCTCTTACTAAGATTAACAATGATCAGTAAATAAGTTTTGTTCTCTTTCTGTTACTGTGTGCGTGTATGTGTGTGTGTGAATGTAAAGTGCATGTGTATTTAATAAAACGTCTCTCTTTACCTTGATCCATTTACATATCTATGTATTACCTATTATATATATATATATATATATATATATATATATATATATTTTAGATAAACAATCACATCGACTTAGTTTTAACAAACATGATTCTTCATCAAATTGGTTTCAACGTACTATATTAGATAAAAATCATTCCTCATCTCATTTTAATCAATCTCAAAGAAGAAATGAATTTCTCAGATGGACCATACGTAAATAATTCATTATTTTTTAAGTTTTTTTTTCTATCCTACCTGTTTGTTTGTTTTTTTTCTAAATAAATAAACAAACAAACTGAACGCTGAATATATAAAGTAGCTATTTATTCTTTTATTATATTCATTCTTATTTCGTTTACTTATTCTTGTATCTTTCCCAATGTCTATATTCTATTTTATTTTATAATTGACTCATTGAATATTAATGATGTATATTTACTTATTTATTTATTTATTGAATATATTTTTATCAGTTTATGGAATCAAATGGTTTCTCTCTTTGTTTTTTACTATTGACTTTTATTTCTTCTTTTGTTTTCTTTTTTTCGTTCTTCTTCTCTTTGGTTTCTTCTGTCTCATCGGGTGTGTGTGTGTGTGTCTATGATGATGATGATTGTTATCATCAGAATACATTTCAATCATCTATTCATTTATCATTAATGAAATAATACCAGTGATGATACTAATTCATATTTAGTAAAATGGCGGTAAAAAAGAAAGCAGTTCTTGTTTTAAACAACAAAGAAACCAATGTTCAATGTTTAATTAGTTAATCAATAATGTATTTAATGTTTGTTTGTTTGTTCTTTTTTTGTTGTTGTTGACTTTATCAATTGACTTATATATTTTACACCTCATTAATACAGAAAAATTTGTACTTTATTTTATTTATTTACTAATTTATTACATAAAAATTAATAATGTAAATAAATATTTTTATTTTCTTATATATATAATAACCCTGATATGATAGCGAAACTCTGGAAGATGTAGAATCCTTCACATACCTGGGAAACATCATCGATGAAGAAGGAGGTTATGATGCAGACGTAAAGGCGAGGATTGGCAAAGCAAGGATAGCATTCCTACAATTGAAGAACATATGGAACTCAAAACAACTGTCTGTCAACCAATATCAAAGTGAGAATCTTCAATACAAACGTCAACACAGTGAGTTCTACTGTACGGAGCTGAAATTTTCAGAACTACTACAACCATCATCAAGAAGGTACAAGTATTTATAAATAGTTGTCTACGCAAGATACTCAACATGCATTGGCCGGATACCATCAGCAACAGCCTTTTGTGGGAGAGAACAAACCAGCTTCCAGCTGAAGAGGAAATTCGGAAAAGACGATGGAAACGGATAGGACATACATCAGGAAAATCATCAAACTGCATCACGAGGTAAGCCCTAACTTGGAATTCTAAAGGGAAGCGAAAAAGAGGAAGGCCAAATAACACATTACGTCGTGAAGTAGAATCAGATATGAAAAGGATGAATAAGAACTGGAAGAAGCTGGAAGAGATTGGCCAGGACATGGTTGGATGGGGAATGCTGGTGGTTGGCCTATTTTCCTTGACGAGGAGTAACAGGCGTAAGGAAGGAAGGAATATATTACAACTAATGCTGCAAATTAAAACATTTAACAACACTAAAATCATCAGTGAACTTGAGAAATCCCGATAAGTTTTATAAGCTAATCAGGAAATACAATAAGAGTGGATATATTGTCACTTTTGTACGTGATGATTGTTTATTGGTTAAAATGTTCAACTTTCGATCTAGGAAATCCCTAGTTTGAATACAACTACATCTATATAGGTTTATTCAACTGGCTTGTATAAGTAACCCTCACACTACAATTTGACTTGAAATCAAGTAAATGAGCTTATTTTTAGAAATCACTATATTCTTTAAAATATGATTGATTTTTCTCTACGTTCCTTGTATTTGAATCGAAACATATTACGCATAGGAAATCATCCATGCAATTTCAAATCTCTATTCTTTGTAGACTTTCATATAAGTATTGATACGTGTTGTTGCTGTGTACTTTACTTGTAAGGTCTTTAAAAACACATTTGTCAATAACCATTATGTGATTAAATACAAAGCTGCGAAGGCACTTGTGTACGTTCTACAACTGTCTAAACTAGTGATGATAAGATTTCGATCCTCTTTCTTAAAATGGTGTTTTTAAGGAATTCTATCGCATATTTCAAAACTGTACTGTAATTAAACAAACAAGCTACCCATTCATCCTATTTTTGATTCGTTAATATTTTCGTTTACTTTTATAGCGTTGATTCATTATTTTATATTTACAATCACAAACTAGTTTTCCTAATCAAACATCCTGAATTTACTTAATTATGAAACGATGTACTCAGTAAAAGTAGTTAGAATCCGGTCACTGATCAGCACTCCTTAACCTTTAAGTTAGATTGACCTTTTCCAAAAGTATAGTTTCACTAAATCTTTCTGTTAAGCTAGAACTCTGTAAAATCAAACTATAGATTGCATTTCAATTAACAGGCATGGATTTACTCTTAATGTAAGATTTTAACGACATTTATTAGTGATAGTTTTAAACAAATACAACTATTATGTTTTTGTTCTCGTGGGATACTTTTAAGTAAACACTTTTTTGGTCCGTTTAGCTCATCAACTGGAAATGTATATAACCAGCAGTAAAATAATAACACATAAATATCAGTGTGGCTGGTAATATTTACACTAACAATGACTAAGTAACCATGCTTTATTGATCGGTAGCACACACATGTAAATGTGACCACTAGTCAGGTGTGTTTGTTCAGATTGTAATTTGATTGATTGAATTGTATTGTTATGACAATATGTAATCAGTATGCTTGTTTATCAAATGTATGATAATAAGATGTATTAGTATGTGATATTCTGATTAGTGAGTGCATTTGATTGTAATAAAAGTGGCAGATGACTTGAGATTTTCGCTCATGATCAGCTACTGTTGACTGGGATGTGATATGAATAGCAAAAAAACTTAAATAAAATCGGTTAAAAACGTAAGATTGATTATTGAAATAATCGATCATTCTACTAAGCGTCTCAGGATTTATGAACGAAATTTGAATCAATTGTTGACTTGACAATAAAGAAGTTCTTGACCAAGGTAAATTAATTCCATACTTTTAAGTCAAGGAACCATATACGCTATGATATAAACTCGGGGAGACCAAGTTGTGTGACTATAAACGCTTTCTAAACCATTTAAGCAAAAACTAGATATCGATAACACAAGTTGTATTGTCACAATTACAAACCAGAAATGAAGATCATGTTTAGAATGAAATTGGTCAGTCATAACATAGACTCTTTGCATATAAAAAATATGAACTATTAGACTAACTGACTATTAAAATAAGGAAACAAACATTAGTGAACCATAACACTTAAAACCTGACTAGCTAAACTCATCATAGTATTACTTTCTATGTTGAAACAGAGTACACTGTCGGTGTCTATACTCCGATCATAGATAAAAATTCTATAACGTTAACATAAGTGCCAGTATCTAAGTTAACAAGAAATCTTTTATCTGATGATCAATTCTAAACTTTTGTACATTAGCATACCTACCAAAATATAAATTATCTCATCCGCAGTGTGTATATCCATACTCTAAAGCATCCCCGACTATCTACTTCAACACGCGATATTAGCCAGTCTAGAAGTAGGTTGCAAAAAAAATCGGGATTAGTTAAACCAAAACGTGACATCACATCATTGATCTCTGACCTGAACTATCTTGGTACATCCAGACTACGTGGTTAGAGTTCAACCGATTCACCTGACCAATTCAGTTAAGACGTATGAAATAACTCAGATGGGTTTAACATTTATCGCTATAAATCTTAAGATTATCTTATAATTTTGATTTGAATCTATTCTTTCCTTCTTAATCACATTATGCCTGAGGTGATATAAATTGTCTAACAACTGACTGAATTTTTTAATAACTGTATAACGATACCGAAAACCCGTCTATGAATAAAATACGGTCGCATAATACTATTTTAGACTGCAAAAATATAAAAGCAAAGTTCTCATTTATTCAAATCAAATCTTATTTTTAAAAGTAACTGATAAGTCTTCTGACTGAACGCTTGAATTAGTTTTTTAAGCTCTCCAAGTAACCCCAGGCTAAATCTACACAACCTCAACGCGAGAGAAAAGGCGCGAAATATGGGAATAATGCTTTACCCAAGATTAGTTCATGTACAGAAAGGCAATGGTATATATAGCGTTCCAGATGATTTTGGGCTTTTAAAAAGTTCTGGAACCCTACTAAACATATTAGCAGTGTAGGTGATAATCCAATCAGAAATGTAACATATGACTCCTCAATTTCTAGATGTTTTTTTTTATACTTCTGCCCAGTGCTAACTGGATAAAGTCTCCCAGCGTTTTTAGAGCGCTTATGAGCATCTTCCGAGAAATACTCTGCATCTCATCAACAGTAACACAATGATAACTGACAAATGCCTAACTAATTAGTGTCTAAACCACGAATGTTAAGAACTACTTATTATAACGAACGAGTTATTGGCCCAACGTTTGTTATTCATCGTAACCAAACTTTACTCTATTTGGTAACAACAATACAGTGGATAAATTATATTAACAAATAGTGAAATTCCCTCTTGTTAGATTTGTACCTCTCTGATTTATGTACCTTAGACTTTTGTGACTATAATTAAAATCATTTTCTGTGTCGAGAAAAATAACTTTAATTAAAAATAAAAAGTATTTTTCTCTGAGAAACATAATACAAATTGTATTGTGAATGGGTTATGAATGACGACGTGGTCGTTTTGAGTTATTTTGACTCTTAAGTTTCGTTTTTCCTCGACTAGACGATTGATGATGATCACGATTTTCTAGTCTCCTTCTTTTCGAAACTCCTTTTTCACGATATTGGCGTCGTTTATGATTACTATTACTACTCTGTGAATATAAACGTTTTTGTTCCCAAAACCGTTGTCGTTTTTCTTTGCAGTTTCTTGTACATCATATAAATGACCAACTTCTTCAGCACTTGCGAATAAATTATTTAAATTGAATTGACTACAAAGGAGAGAGTTAAAAAAAATAGCGATTTCAGCAATCAGTTGATATAGATTTAAATCTAAAAACATTTCACCAATTATAAACAAAAGCGTTTTGAGTGAGACTATAATTTATGGATGAACCAATAAGATATTGGATAACAGATCTTGAATTTCAACGTGAAATTCATTCATCCATTTGGTTAAATAAAGTATTGGCATTTTAACTGATGTTAGTTCATGTTAAAAACACTAAATCTAGTTCCGAACCCTGACCATCAACTGTAAATCATAATTCTAATTCCTCACATTTCCGTATAAACCTCATTTAGTTCAAGTTGATAGGTGAACATTGTCAAGGTAACTTTAGGGTCGCTTAAAGGTCATCTATAAATTATAGTTTTGATGAATTTTGGTATGTCAGTTCTGAATCAAGTTTTCTCTAGCTAGACTACTTGTGGCAATGAATGAGTAGTACTGACAGTTCCTCTAAAAAAACGAATAGAACATCTTTTGAAGACGTTAACTTAGTTTCAGTAGTTAAGATCATGAATCAATTGAAGCTAGACCACCATGGAAAACCTGGAAGCATTGGACAGCTGTTTCGTCCTAGTATGGGACTCCTCAACAGTGCACATCCACGCTCCCGCCCCCTACGAGATTTGAACCCAGGACCTATCTGTCTCGCGTACGAGCGCTTAACCATTAGATTACTTAATATTGGGCAGTTTTGGGTGAAAACTCTCGGTTTGGTAATCAAATAGTAAATAGAAATTCAAGAGTGTCGACTAACTTCCCTGTAATATATCTTAAGATAGCGATTTTGAATCCATCCTGAATTGAAAAATGAATCTGGAAATCATCATATACATATAAAAACCTATTCACATCTCAAAAAAAGTATATTAGAATTGAAATCATGAACCGATCAATCTTAGACCACCATTGAAACTCTGATGTACTGGATTACTGTTTCATTCACAACCTCCACAACCCCATACTGAAAAGATTATTAATTAAGTAGGTCGAGTACTAATGATTTTATAGACATTCATCTCATATTCAAGTGTGTTTTCTTAATGTACACATAAGTGAATCTGTGTAAATTGAAAAGTTGAAATCAATCATATGTTGGAAAAAAAAGCATTTCTTTGATATACTGTACTGTAAACAAAGCGTCAATCACAATTTATTTATGTATATCCTTTGCAGATTGATTGCACAGTAAACATACATAACAGGAAATGGAAACTTTATATATGAATCATTAGAGTGGAAAGTATTAATTAATTGAAGGAAGCATTGATCGATATAAGTTTTAGAAGTGTAACAACAATCCTTGGAAAATAGGAATTGAAGTTAATCACATAAATGATAATAAAATGAGGAAATAAATAAAATTAATTATTTAATAATACAATGAACTACTTAAATAGTTTTCAATACTTACGCCTGTTACTCCTCGTGAAGGAGCATAGGCCAACCACCAGCATTCTCCATCCAACCATGTCCTGGCCAGTCCTTTCCGGCTCTTTCTAGTTCCTATTCATCCTTTTCATATCTGTTTCTATTTCACCATGTGATGTGTTATTTGGCCTTCATCTTCTTCGCTTACCTTCAGGATTCCAAGGTAGAGCTTGCCTCATGATGCAGTTTGATGATTTGCGTAATGTATGTCCTATCCACTTCCATCGTCCTTTACTAATTTCCTCCTCAATCAGAAGCTGGTTTGTTCTCTCCAACAGAACGCTGTTGCTGATGGTATCCGGCCAATGGGTGTTGAGTATCTTGGGTAAAGAACTATTTATAAATACTTGTACCTTCTTGATGATGGTTGTAGTAGTTCTCCAAGTTTCAGCTCCGTACAGTAGAACTGCCTTGACATTCGCATTGAAGATCCTCACTTTGATATTGGTTGACAAGAGAGTTGTTTTGAGTTCCATATGTTCTTCAATTGTAGGAATGCTATCCTTGCTTTGCCAATCCTCGCCTTCACGTCTGCATCTGAACCTTCCTATTCATCGATGATGTTTCCCAGGTATGTGAAGGATTCTACATCTTCCAGAGTTTCGCCATCAAGAGTGATTGGATTGCTGTTCTCCGCTTTGAATTTGAGGACCTTGGTTTTCCCCTTGTGTATGTTGAAGCCTACTGAGTTTTCAATAGACTATGTATATATATATACATAGAAATATTGATTGCGTAATTAAAATCGAAGTGGTTGTATAACATTTCAACAGGTCAGAAAATAAGTGTTGTAGCCAACAGTTTAAGTATAAAGTTGTTGTTGACCCTTTAAACTGAAGTATTTAACATTACGTTAAAAAGTGATTGGAGATGGCTGAGAGGAAATTCCGTTTGAGTCAGTTGGCACTCGTCACGTCAGCAGGACAAATCTGCCGTTTTATGAGAATTGATCTTCACTGCGAGATTTGAACCAAATTCACAATTTGACGCTGTGTAGTGTAACATATGGAAATTTGTTGCTCAGTTTACTGGCTATATTTCAGTTACACCATCAACTAATAAACATTAATCTACACTAGACAACATGAGTTTTGAGAATTCTAAAAATCAAGTCAAAAATATGTCTTATTAAACAGTATCATCTTTACGTGGATGAACTTACCCTGGTTTATCAGGAATATAGTCATCATCGTCGTCTTCATCATCACTATCGTCTTCAGAATTTTCATCATCATCATTAACCACTCCTTCATCGTTATCTTCAAATTTGTGATATTTGCATTTCGATTCAGTTGGTTTTTTCATTTTCTTAGACTTTGAATTAGCTGACAAATTGATATTATCCATTTCTTAAGTCAGAAGAATAAAAAGAAACACAAAATGTATCATTTATGATATTTGGCCAACTAGTCAAGTTTCATGTAAAATGGTTTTAACAGACAAAAACTGACCACTTTATATATTTTAACGTAATTCTCTGTCATCAAGAATCGGTTTATCTGTTCAGTTTTCGGTCAGAATTTATGTATGAAAGGACAGTGAAACTACTTAGTATATCAAACCAAAATAAATAGATTGAATTTTGATCACTTAGACCACGGAGACTAAAAGGTAAGTACTTGAAATATCAAACACTAGTACACACTTGTTAAATATATTGATCAATATCACCAGAATATACATGCAGTTGGCGTTAACTAAAGTTTAAATAAAAACTTTGATTCGTCTAAAATTCATAAGATCCTATAAATGTTAGTAAAGATCGACATAGATCAAAGCGATAATGAAAGATATTTGTAACTCAGAATGAGGATTTTGGAGACATTATACCCTCTAACCTAGATAGTTTAATCGCGAAAACTAATAAGCTCGAGAGAGTTATTCCTTCCTAGTATGCGATTCCATAGCAGTTCGTATCCAAAATACATAATGTAACGCACATACAGCTTATTTTCTCAGTCAGGAACGACTTCCAACCTGGTGCCTATTTTGCAATCACTGATGATCAGAAAGCAGCAAAATTCGTCTATTCCCAGTTTAGCATTAATACTAAGATGCAAGAAAATCCAACGAACAAGTCTCAAATATGATAAAAATGTGCCTCCTAGATTCTACTATGAATTGCAGTCTACCTATTCTCAAAACAATAGCTTATTTGTTAAGTAGTTGGATTTTATCGAGTAGATTGTAGCTTCAAAACTCCTCCATCGGATAGTAGGAACACTAATCATAATGATTAAAGCATAACTGAAAGTCAAGCATTAAAATAGATTGAAAGGAATTCTTTAATGAATCACACTATATTTCTCTCTTTAGTTTAATGTCTTAATAGGTTTTCTCATTTACCTGAAAGAAAAATTAAAAGTAATTGAATATAATAAACTCCGCCTGTAGCTCTTATAGAGTTACTGCCGGTCCCAAGCCTGGGTAAAGGAGGAGGGTTGGGTATGGGGTGAGCAACCCATCCCGTAGAAAACTAACTCTTAAAAAAACGCTAACCAGTAATTAAATATAATATCTTGTCTTATTATCTTTTTTAAATTATTAAATACCTGAAAAGTCATATTCATTTGTATCATCTTCATCTGCTGAATTATCCATGAATTCTTGATCACTAAATTCTGGTTCAGCTGAATATATTCCAAAAAGAGAACCATTCCCAAATGAAGAAAAACAAATTTGCACATCAAATAATCAATGAGTTAAATAGTGAGTAAAGGGAAAAAAGGAAACAGTTGATAATGATTAACCTCAACTTCAATAAAAACTGATGATTTACTATAGTAACTCGACTGTAAGGTTAAAACAAGTTTTTTTTTAAAGATACAGCAATATTATCAATATAAGTTGGAAAGATTAAATTCTAACGTATTCTCTGCATACTTGGATATGAGCTATACTTTAAGTGTGAGAGATAATGATACTATCCAGTTTCTCAAACCGAAGTAGGCGAAGCGTAATTTGAATCTGGGCTAAAGTCAAGAGTGTTATATCCTAGTGAAGATTAAATTGCGAGTAACTTCTGAGAACTATTAATGGACTAATATTCTATATATATTCTTATTGTATGGCTGTTCAGTAATTAGACTGTATATATCTATATTCTTATTATTATAAGCTTCCTTTTGACCTATAGATCATTATTATACGATTTACTGTTCTTAAGTTATACTCAGTTATTTGATTACCGTCTCTCACGTTCACAGCCACTTTTGGCTGTATTTTGTATAAGTGTTATTTTGTATTTTATGGTGCGATGCGGTCTGTTTGACTGGTATATAAACCAAGTATGTCTAAAATAAAGGATTCGCATGGCGGAAGCTGTTATTGGTGTTCTGGACTCAGTTGGACGGGCTAGGCGAACAAAGTACCAATAAGGATGTTAGGCTGATCAGACCGGTCGAACGTCATTTGGTTTAGCACAGTACAAGAATGAATAAGTCGTATTTCGATTGGTGAATAAATTACGTGATAACTAGCCAGACTTAAAGTCACAACAAAAAGCATTAACCATTAAATCGCTGATACATTTAAGCAGTTGCTCATTTCGAGGAAGTTAATTACGAAATGAATGTTCTACTCATTCGTTTAAATCAATTGCCCGTGATATTTGTCTTGTCGTGCGACAAGGTTGATAATTACTCTAACACCATACATGTCAAAATAAAATATTGGCTCAAAATAGAACACATCATAATTACCCCAGTTGATTTTAAGTCCAAAACCTCATAAATCAACTGACTCTTATCATTCTCATTGTTTAACATTTACAATAATCCCCATACATTAGTTGCTCTAACACTGTGTATTTTTCACACCCATTACATTTAACAATTACAATTTACAGCTGTTAATAGCACAAAGAATATTCGGTAGATTTTCTATGATTATATGGTTTGTTTAGCCCTTTAGTCTTGATTAATTAGAGAAGTTGAAAAGTGGCTACTAATCTAAGTGATTCAATATCATGTACACTAACCGCATTAAGTTAGATAGTTGAAGGTGATAAGCAAGAAGTCCTGGGTACTATATAATATCGATTTTTGCCCAAATAGCTTTAACATTGCAACGAATTATACGGATCTCACTATCTAATACAATCATAAATCCTACATTTTTTGTATCTCAAAGCCGTACTTTATGAATAAAGAGGTTAAAACAATGAATTTTAAAGTGATAGCGTGCATAACATTGTAAATTACCATCATTTTCCCATTCTTCATTTGGAGGAAACAAATCTTTTTCATGTTTTGCTGTAAAGTTTCAAAAAAAACATACATCATTAGCAAAAGTATTCTCTACCATGAAATAGTGAATAAAACAGTTCAATTATATGAGAGAGAAATAAACCCAATTAGTCTTATTTAATAACAGCCTTCAAATGCCCTAGTGTGGCCGAGAGTGGGGAGAGTGAGCTCTCCCTCTCGAAATGCTCTCACATGGTCACGTGCACACGATCATTGCCAGGGAACTACTCAATCCCTTCTCGCGGCAATACTGTTGTTTACGAAAGTGAGAGGACGAAAAGTAAAACTCCGGCGTTTTAACCGGGTTAGTGGACACGGAGGGTCCACCTAGGTGAGTTGGAAATCCCTGACTACAAACCAATGGTGCACATGGGCTCCAGTATCTAAGGAACAAATGGCGTAAACCAATGTGTCACCGGCTCCATGACTGCTCTCCTACGATGCTCCACTGCTTGTGGATCAGACCGGGGTGTTGTTTACAAAAATGAGAGGACGAAAAGCGAATGTCCGCGCTTTAACCGCATACCAAATCAATGGTGCACATGGGTTCCAGTATTCTGAAGGAACAAATGGCGTATAAACCAATTGTTGGTCACCGGCTTCCATGGGACTGCATCTCCTAACGATGCTCCACTGCCTTGTGGATCAGACCTTCAGGTCGAAGGCTCGGGGAGTGGCCCCCTAAGAAAACCACCTACTTTGGTTTGGGCATCCAGGCAGTATCACAGCCCTCACACATATCGAATGAGATTTGTGTGGCGCATATGTATTCGGTGCCTCTTTGTACCATTATCTATGTGTTGAAATAAATAAATAAATCCCGATAAGAATAATGAATGGTAATTTTTGGGATCCATTTATGGACCAATACTATGAGTTTATTTTTGTAACTAAACTGTTCATATTCATGTCCCTCTTATTATGAAGTTTATTTTGACCTATGAACTATTACTATACAATTTACCATTCTTGAGTTATGGCCTGTCTACCAATTACTATCTCCCTTATTCACAGCCACAGTTGGCCAAATATTGTACAAATGTTATTTTCTATTTTATGCTACGTTGTGGTCTGTTTGGTTTGTATATAAACCCCGTATGTTTGAAGTAAACGATTCATATTGCAGAGACTGAGATCGGTGTTCTGGACTCAACTGGTTGGGCTAGGCGGGAAACAGGACCAATCAGGACTCTAGGTTGCTCGCACGTGTTTTATGCGTCACTGGTTCGATCGATAATTCTCTGCTTTCTGATTAGCGGTATCGTTGTGTTATCCAATATACAGGGCACACAGATTCACAAGTTATAACAGATAGAAATAGGATTTACAAAGAGAAATATAACTGCAACGAAGTAAAATAAAATTTAAAACTAACAACAACATTACAATTTACCTAGGTAAACATCGAATTCAGAATCAGCAACTGAATCACTGTCACTTCCATTTTCATCACTACCTTGTGGTTTCTTTTCAGTTTTTTTAATGCGACCTGGTTGAGTCTCCAGAAATTTGAAATAACTGAAAAATGGTCATATAAGGACAAGATGAAACTACTAAGACGAATCATGTTAGTTAAAACTCTGAAATTCTTAGACCTTACTAAGGAAATTAAATATCCAAGAAGCAATCACTTAATGACTATTTTGTTGTTTTTATTTTGTAGATTAAAATTTCTATTTTTCACGCCAAAACTCCGTATGGCAGTTATCCTTTATTTTTACAGCGTCTAAAGATGGTAATTTCTTATTGGGCTGTGGCTCTTTTAGTGAACTGAATTCTACCCCTCTTCTAAGGTCATTATGCATATTTTCGCAAGTGTATTTTGCTTGTTTAAATAAAATCTTCTTTAGTCTCCATGTGTAAATTTGGTTTTTGGGGTAAATAGGATTAGAATAGAAAACAGAGTTGTTGTATCTAGAACTCAAAACGAATTTGTACTATTTAAACTTGTGTTAATTATATTTCGGTTATTTATTTACTCTGAAGAAGTGACTTACGTTAAGTCACGAAATGTCAGAAATACAATTTTCTACTCATTAGGATATATATATATATATATATATATATCATTGACTTTCTACCCAACGATCAGTTTATATGAAACTAATAAATCCGACCTTGGCAATCATGCCTATAAAAGTAAGTGTTTTGTTTACTTCCAAAATACGATATTTTCACTTTATGGTGGAACAGATAGCTTTTTTTAGTAGTTGAGATTATGAGTCAATTGAAGCTAGACAACCATGGAAAACCCAGAAGCAGTGGACGGCCGTTTCGTCCTAGTATGAGACTCCTCAGCAGTGCACATCCATGAACCGAGGACCTATCACTCTCGCGCGCGAGCGCCTAACCATTAAACCACTGAGTTGGCATCTAGTGATGTTAATGTCTTACTTGTAAATATTAAATAATTTATGCCGTTCGATTTGTAATGGTCTAAATTATCCTGTTTCTGATATTTTGACTGAAATCTGATTAGTGTTAGTTGGCATCTGTTGATCCTGTGTGTATTGCCTCAATATATCCATTATGACACAAATTTACGTAGAATAGATTAAATGAGGCTAGTAGTGGAATTCAGGATGCTCGTTTCCTTGAATATGCCAAGTAAAATTGATTACATTTTAGTAGAAATAACAACAACTGGATAATCAAAACCACTATAAAGTAAATTAGAATTCATAACCCTAGCACAAGTGAGTGGCCACCTGAACTCAGTAGCTAAATAGATAGTGCGTTGACATTCGAATCAAAATATAGTGGGGTTTGAATCCTGAAGTAGATATCAACTCTGGAATGCAAGTATATCAAGTCGACAAATGTCAAATAAGACAAAACACACTTCCTGAATTACAATGCTAGCCATATTTCATCTATTCTACGTAAATTTGTGCTATATATAAAGGCATTTTATATAAATCTACTTATAAAGTGAATTTCACGAAAAAATCCTGGAGGTCACTATCATAATTCCGTTTGGTTAACCAGTATGATGTAGGTTTACGCAATTCAACTAGTAATAGATCAAATACTAAAAAGTGAAAATCATCAACTGTATTAAGCTTTTATTCAGACCCTGTGGAAAGGCGGATAGAAATATTTACAACTAGTTTGAAACGAAGTGAAGAGAGTGAAGTTTAAATCTATGACTACTAATGTACTATTCTTTTAAAGGGAAAATGATCGAATTCACTAGGAACAGTATAAAAAAGTCTTTTTCATGATCGCTTTTAAATTGAATTGAATACTCTTTAAATTCGTTTTTTTTTTTTAGTGAGCAATTTCCTCAGGGAGATCTTAAAAACATTTCTAAAAATACTCATACAGTTCACGTGGTATCAATCAGTCAGTTAGTTATACGCAGCGTGAAATCTGATGCATAAATGCACCAATTGAACTTACCACATGATATGAGCACAGGGGAATAAAATTACAGAATAGTAGCGGTATTAAGAGTATCAGTAGTAGTAGAAACAATTAGGTATGGAAAAAAGTAATCCAAAATTATAATGAGGTTTCAGGATTCAGGAACTAAGGAATGGTATGAAATAAATGCACCTGTATTATTGCAAATGAACTAATGGTTACGATAATCGCGCTGCTCCCCCCCTAAATGGTTAGCCTACATTTATTGACATGTCTTAGTCCGATTATCAATGACTTCACGGTACGATTATCGGACAGAGCTAGAATGAACTTTCTGAATTTTCTATATCCTTATTGAAAGGTGAGCGAGGTTTATTGAAGCAACAGTGTTGATGTAAAAGTAGTGTTTTATTCTCTCACATTACGATCAAGCTATTCCTATTGCTTGATATTCTTGATAAGTCCCCCAAATCAGAACACAGTTGAACAGGAACGTAATTATATTCCAAATAAACAAAGACGAATGGGAGTAAGAATAACAGTAAAAAAAACATTAGTATATTTATAGCTTTACACGAGAAGATTCTAGAGTCTTCCTCAATTATCCGCTAGCACTGATTGGCTAAGAAATACCCCCATTCAGCGTGCTCCAACACAATCCTACATGGAGTATGAGTTACTTTAATTTATATCCCACTAACAATTAGGCTACGATAAAACTAAGAATAGTCAAACCAAGACATGGCATCAGTCTGTGAGGTCATTTATCATTGAATTGAGTTATGTAGGTACATGTAGACTACCTGGTTGTGATTCAAGCGATTATCATAACTAGTGGTTGAAAACGATGATTGACATGGGTGAGAATTGGTCACAATGGTACAGACGAACTTATTCATTATCTTTCCATATATCTAAAGTCTTAATACTATCTTTTTTGTTCCACAAAATAATTGTTGGATTAAAATGTCGATCTTTAAAATCTTAAGGCGTTCAACTTGCAGCCACTAAGTCCTAGGGTCAAACCTGACCCATCTGCTTTAGTTTGGCCAACCAAGTGGTATTTATTAGCCATCAAACTTGAAGCGTAACTCGTGCCCAGGTACCTAATGAATGAGTTAATTAATTAACCTACATATCAATTATTGAAAATATGATTAAACGCCACGTTCTTTGAAGAAAAAAAAAGGAAATTCACATTATCCTGAAACTCACAACTTAAAAAATAATAAAAGAAAATAGAACTTACTTATAGAAAAATCGTTCATGAACAGGAACACTGGTTATTGGAAGTTGTCGGAATGCCGAACTATCAACAGCCATTGCTTGTGGACCTGACAAAGCACCTTCTTTTCGTTTTAATAACTTTCCAGGCACAGTTTCTAAAAAGAACAGAATATGTATTAAGTGTACATCAGAGTTAGTCAATCACTGATACAAAATTCAAATAAAACCTGAAGTGAGCCTATGACTTAACAACATTCAAATGTTGTATATTGTTATATTAATATAACAGCTCTCGTTTTTCTTAACCCTGGCAACTCAAAAAAACAATCTTATACAGAAGATTTGTTTGGTAGAGATCAAAAATATGGATGACTATATATATAAATATTGCAGATTATAAAATAAATCTTATAACTCAACATTTATTAAGGTAGGAAATATTGATCGAACCACGTAAAATCATATGCGTAACATTGAAAATATTAATATGAAGTCATTGAACCAGGCACAAATTCGTATAATTGGCTTCAAGTCAAACTGTGGGTGTACCAGCCAATGATACTACTCAGTTGTTCAAACTGAAGTAGGTAAAGTGGTTCTCAAACCCGTATGTCAATGGCTGAATGTTAAACGCCTCAACAACTGGACTATCGCTCGAACAACGAATATCATAGTGTATAACTTCTATGTGACTACTAGTGGGACTTTTAGTGAGTGACAAATTCGAAAAGAGGTGTGAATTATCTTTACATTTTTCAAAACAACTAACTAACTTACTAATAGTGAAAAATATTAGTTTAGATAAGTGTTTACACTTTTGATGACACCATACTACAATGCACACTACAGGTGACTTTGAATTGCAAGTCACTTATTATCATTGTACCTTATTGAAGTGTTACTGTTTGATTATGTCATTAGTAATTCGTAGTACTATATCAAAACTATAGAAACTCATTTATATGGGATGTTGCCAGAAAAGTAAAAAGTGGAATTTAGGCTATAACATCTCATTAAGAATAGCGATAGTAATTCAATGTACAAACATTCAGGAAATAGAAACATACTCTGAATAGGTTCTTCAGTAGTTGACTTTGTTTCTTTTAATTTATTCAACTTTGGTTTCTTATATGCGAATCGATCCAGAAAATGCATTAATCCAAAATCCGTAAATGGATCTCCAGTGTACTGTATTGGTAAATTATTTAATAAGGAATTGGCAATAAATTAATTGTAGGATGAATATGTTTTGATAGGAGACTAAGTGGCCAAAGTAAACATCCAGTAGCCTGTGCAAATTTTGGATCTCGTACAGTTGGATTATAGCCATAATTAAATATGTTTCGGGTGTTCCGTTGCTTTTTTAAAGAACGATGGTACCATGATGATGTTAATAATACATTACTCTTATCAGTTATGACTGTAGATTTTTCTGATTCGGTCGTTTTATTAGTCATTACACCATTCTGTACACTTTCATCATTATGATTATCATCATCAGAACAATGTGCATCACTGAAATGTTCATCCTCATCATCATCATCGGACTGTTCGAATTTTGCCAAACTCGTCACTTCATTAGCTGGCTAATTATTGAACGATAGATAACAATAATAATAACAATAATAATGAGCTACGGAAATATTACAAAAAAGGTCAATTATGCACGACAGAAAAATATGTTAACAATAATCAGTTGAAAATGAAAAAATAACACATTCGGAACTTGTGGAGATTGCATAATTATCACAATTGAAATCACGAGTCAATCTAAGCTAGACCACCGTTGCTACGAAAGAAGGACCATCAAGTATACAGAAAATTAGCAAACAGTTAGTGGCGACTAATCAGAAAAGAGCAGAGATCAACCAAAAATTTGAATAAGACAAAAAATATTCGCGGTTACCATTTCTAGTAAGTCAGTCAGTCAGTTAGCCATAGGCAACGTAGAACGTGACCTCCCAGTAAGACTTTAAAATTAACAAATATTCAGTAATTTCGTGATCTCCTTAGAACAGTTGATCATTACTAACATAGAGCCTGATACAGATGTGCATTGGCACAAGTTGCCACATCACATTAGCAGAAAGATGTGAAATATATTATGATTAGTAAAAAAGATCGAAATATTTGGTAACAATCATATTGTGAAAGATTAAGCATTGAGACTATGTTTTAAAAAGGCAAAGTGACAAGGTATGTGAAGGAATACTGAAACTCGAGAACAAGAGGAAGGTAAAGAGTTCATGTATCTGTGCCACTGTGAACCAGTGTAAGTTATGCTACTCACAGTTTCCAACTACTGGTGCAGGAGTGGGCTGGAAGAAAGCTAAATCAAGACATGACACCATTTCATGAAGCCATTGACATTTGGACTTGTTTATGTTAATGGGTACAGACTACCTGATTGGGTCCGCGTAATCATCGCAACCAATGGTTAGAGGTTTTGAGTGAAATAGCTCAAAATTGCTTGGAATGGAGTAAGTGGATCTGTTCTTTGTATTCCCCCATATTTTGAGGTTCTAAATTTCTCATAACTTATTTAGTATTTGTATTTAACTAAACCATATTTTCTCTTTCGTGCCTAATCTTTCCTATTACCACTAATACTGTTACCACCTCTACTATTCTGTGATTCGATCTGACAATTTCATTTTTCTGTGCTAGCAGGGTATAGCAACTTGAACCAATATATACATACGTACCAAATTTCAATTTGTAACTGACTGCTAATGACTGAATGAATACGGCTCCATTTATTTCTGTTTAAAACGATAAACGAATATTTACATAACTTACCCGATACAACTTCATGTACTCAGCTATGAGCGTTAATAATTCTACACGGCTCCTCAAATCAAATTAGATGGAGTGAGATTCAAACTAATAAACCCCAGTTTCGAGTCCTGAGCGAGGGTCAACAATAAGAATACATAACTAACAAAAATAGAAGGCTAATTGATACTTGAACTTAGAGCTCAGAAATCAAAAGTTCAATTCTTTATATTAATACTTCATTCTTTTACTGACAACGAATAATGTAGTTACATTTAGAGATAAACATCATTTTTAGATTTATGCAGATTAATAAGAATATTATCACGATTATTACTATTAAATTGAAATCACTCACTAAATGTTCTTTATTTATTTGAGAAATCATTATAACATTTGGTTTGGATAATGATACCTGTATACAAAAATGAATAGAACATGAAATAATACAAAGACAAGATAAGATGATAGATTAAGCAAACAGTTGATTGTGAAAATGGAAGTATTATTGTGGTGTAGGTTACTTATATCTATATAAGTAGTATAAAACGGTGGTCAGGCATAGAATGTATTTCAGTAGAAGATCAATAAGGAATGAACGAAAATGGTATGCAATTGGTATGAAAATGCATGAACAATGAAATCTGAGACAATGGACTGATATTTGTAAAAGGAACAATGAAGTTTGAGACAATGGATTGATATTTTGCAAATTAACTATTTACTATATGGTTCTCAGATTTTATTGAGATGCTCTGTAATTTCGTGTCAATTACATTCGATTGTCCCCATTGATGTTTGTGTTCACTACATTATAACTGTCATTGTTATTAGTACTGTGATATGGGTTACTTATATCGATATAAGTAGCATATAATGCCAGTCAGGAATAGAATGCCTGGCAGTAGGAGATTGAGTAGATCAAGAAGGGAAGAACAGGAACAGAAAGTAATTAGTATAGAAATGCAGGAACAATGAAGTCTGAAACAATTAATGAACATTTTACAAATGAAGTATTAGAGTATGACTTTTCTCTTTTACCAAGTAACTGTAAATGTGTGCTAAATATAAACGGTTGTCGTCACCTGTGTTCTCCTTCACTACAGTACTGCCAATGGAATTGTCTATTATTATTCAATCATGGTATACATGAACGTGATTCGTCTAAATTAAAATGAATAACTGAGTGAACTATACTTATTTTGCTGCATACTTAAAGGATTTCATAACTTTTATTACCTACCTAGCATGTAGAAAAGTCTTAGTAGGAATCTGTCACTAAACAATCCAACGAAACTTAAACGTTTACGATCTTCTCATATAGTTTATGAAATTTCCAAGTTTCATAATAGTATTGTCAATAGAAAATACTGTCTATGTCATTCTTTCAGGATCTGCTATAAGATCATCGAATATGTTATGAATAATTCCAGATGACTTAAATATTATTTAACGAATTGGCAAACTGGTGGGTGGGGACAACGATTTGTCTGTCCTCGAGTTTAAACAGTGTTTTCCAAAGCTACAATAGTATCTATTATCGAGTGTCATTAAAAAAATTTGATTTCACTGATAGTTAACATACAACAATAATTATTTTCAGTTTTTATGCATTCCCTGAACATTTACTTGAATGCAACAGCACTCAGTCCCCATCTTGAATGTCGATAGCCATTACTGATCTCAGACACAGTTACTGACTTTCATTCATGCCATCATCATCATCACCATATGAAATTATTATAGGAAGCCTGTTAAGTTTGTTTAGGTTCTCTATCCTTACTACCTTACCGTCGACTTTATCGTGTATTGTCTTATACTACTTATTAATATTCAGTAAGCGGTTTCACTCTTAACAATTTCTATGCGTATGTTGTTACGCAAGTTTGTGTAATTTTCTAAAATATTTACATATACTTATAACATTTATCGTATTCACCATTAGAATCGCTTTCTCCCAATCCCTTTAAGTTATTCTGTCTCGTATAGTCACTGAATCTTCATTTAAACACAACGGTTTCTATATTGATTTGCTTTTGATTTCCTTTTTACATGTCGATAAAATGTTATCAAGATTAGACACAGTTATAAGCTGCTATTTGCATTATCATGTCATAATTATTCTCTATATTATTGATGCAGGAAGCCCTTATTCTTTCAGAAGCTTCAGACGCCACAGATACCTCACAAGTTGGGGTTTGTAACTATTTTACGTCTATTCCTCAAATCGTTGTTCTATAAACTTCGATTTATGTTGTATCTCAGACATGTGGTTAAACGCTTCGATAGATTTAACGAGGCCTTTTTTGATACATGCAGGCATCTTAATTATCACAGATACTTCAGGAGTTGAGGTTAGTAAGCAATGTATGTATTTTCTGTAATCATAGGACCTATTTTTGGATAAATCGTTGTTTTGAACCTCGAATTCACGCGTATCTCAGTCGTGGGATTGAAATCTTCAGTAAACTTGACAGACACATAAGTGAATAATAATTAACTATACCTTATTAATTAGAATCAAGCAACCAACAATAAAACCAGGATCTGTATGCGAAATACATAATTGCAAGATTCTGTGAATAAATGCAACAATTCGATCAGTATCATCATCACCAACCATACTTTGATAGATTAAACGTAGTAGAATTGGGTTTTTAGAACTTTGATGAATAGCAGGATCCAGTAATTTTCTATATAAAGCCTAAGAGAATATAGAATAAGAATGTAGAATATCCAACTACGATGAGTAACGTTAAGATACTAGTAACAACAAATAAACAACGCAATTTCGGAAATAGTGGTAATATATAGAGGCCAAAGATCAAATTTAATAATCAGGTATTAACTTCTTTAGCGAGTTAAGTTGCTATTGAGTTGTTATTGACATTTTAAAGTTGACAAGTAACAAAATAAGTAACCAATGAATAGTGGAAGTTTCATCGGATAATGTATTTAAACAAAAACTACAGACAGAAAATTAAAATTTTTTTATCAACGACTGACCTGATAATAACGATCACGTATGGCGACACAATGAGTTGAAATTTGAAAAAGTACAGACAAAGCTTGGACAGACACAGTGAAGCCAGTGGTATGAACAAGCCGAAACAGATCATCAACCTCACTTAACATAGATGTAAATGCCTCCTCTAAAAATATAATCATTCAATAATAGTTAGAAATGAGAAAATGGATGTAAGAAACCGCCAGATAAGGGGCAAATATGTTATAGTACGAGTCGAAAATTTTGTTATCATATTTGTACTTATTTGTAACCATTCATCCTCTATTTCTTTAGTGTTAACAACATTCAATAGTTTAACACTTGTTCACTTACTTAAATTCGAGTCATACTTTTGTATATACACTAAACATCCTACCTGACTACTCAAATAGGAATAACCGAAATGAATTTCAGGCTCGAAAATTGATTTTTTTTTAGACTATCGAGTCACCATCACACAAGAAACAATAATGAAATCTTATCAATGAATCCGAAAATTGACAATAGAATTCGCAATATATCCCATCATCAAAATAAGCTGGAAATTTTTTATTATTATCCCCGACTATCAAGTCTAACACATAATACATAACTACTGGAAGTATTAATGAATAATATAAAACCTTACTTTGTACTTGTTTTGGTATAATATACTGAAAAGTTCTGCATTTTGTATTCTAATTAAACGGAATAAACAAAAAGCAGTGATTTTATAGTTTTTTTATAACTTAATACGCACCAACCCACCAGAGCTAACAGAACTAGTGTGACTGAAACACTAGACACTCTTAACCACTATACCACCTCTACTCATTTGGACAGACTTATATGAGACTTGGAACAAACTTTTGCAAATGAATGGGACATAATCCATTCTAAACATTCCTGCATACGTAATAATATCCACTAAACGGATTATCTCCCTACTTCACACAGATCCATGCTTCAGGGTGTGTGGGATGGTGATATTAACTGCCTATGAAGACCCAAACTGGTAGAACCCATTTCAAACCTGCGGCTAATAGTTGAGAACCGACTGCTTTCGTCGTAAAACAACTATTATAATAGTCTGTCTTAGGGTATGATATTGACTATTTGACCAACCAATTCTCGGTTATTAAAATCAATGACTAGAATGTTGATCAATAACTGACATGCAATAAAACGACGTGGTCCAGTGATGGATAATCACGAGGTATATTTGAAGTATTAAATTGTGATAGATCCATTAAGTGAGTGCGGTTGTGTAGTTTTACATCAGACTGGATTATTTAATGGATTATTGGACATGAACCCACTGGTATCTAGAAAACTGTACGTGTTTTCGATGCGTCACGAATAAAATAACCGATGGAAAAAATGAAGCAGTCCTACGGAAACTTGAAGACTATTGACAAAATCATGAGCGAAGGATAAATCGTCATCTGACAACAGCTTTGAAGAATATCACTCTATACTACCGAAAGTACTTTCATCATTAAACAAATTTAAAAACTAATCTTCGTATTTTTCCGGTGAAAGTACAAATGGCCAACTTGATAATCTTGACAGAATTTAATGTGGATTTTCGCAATATTTATCAGAAATTTTGTAATAGGAAAAGTTTAAACTAACGATGAATACAGCTAAACTCAGTTATTACGTTACACTTTCGTCAAACAAAATATGTGCCCCTTGAGAACCATCTGAAAACTATGGTTACGAATAGTGAAACATCGACTCCTGCTTGAACAAAATGCAACGACATTAACTGAAAGTCGGAGGTTAAGTGGTTAAAGGACATCGTTCCTAGTCACCGAGTTCTAAGTTGGGACTGCACAACACCTACTTTAAATTATTTACCAGCGTGTTATTAAGCACAAAAACTAAAATATGGCTCGAAGCAATGCACGTAAATACAGCTTCGGTTTGGGCACCCGGACAGTATTCCAGCCCTCGCACAAACCGAATCATTTCTGTGGAGCACATATATTTGGTGCCTCCTTGTACCGACGTTTATGTGTTTAAATAAATAAATAAACAGTGAAAAATAATTACGATATCCATAAGAATAACACTTACCAGAGATAAAAGGAGCCACTCGACATAAACCGCTAAGTAATACAGTGGTAAGTCTTTCGGGGATTTCTTTGGAATTGGCTAAGGAACGGAAAAACGACATGTATATCTTGATCAATGTTGATGCCACAGATGATATATTTGCATCGGTACCGCTTCCACGGGATGAACTCTTCAGCTCCAAACAACTTAGAAGTGAAATAGCGTAGTATTTTGATCTTTCCAACAAATTAGGACGGAACAAGAAAGATCGAACTTCTTGAACAACTAAATGCAGAAAATCACTGGAAATTCCAGCTAAGACTAAGTGATTATGAGCACGGACTTACCTATTAGACGTAACTTATGTATCACTGCAGATGCAAACTCCTTACTACGATCACCGAGTTTATTAATTATTATGTTTAATATTAACTACAGAAATGTAAAAAGACAGTCACTTACCGTTTGATTCTCTTGTTTTTGAACAAGGCTACCAAGAATCCCTAATGACAACGTTATGAACCTCTTAAAAAGTAACTACCTAACGCTTTTCGTTTGAAATTATCTACACAGTCACTTAACAAAAGTTTCTACAAACTCTACAACTCAAAAATAGCTAACCTCCGAAGCTTTGATAAACCGCAAATACACCGCCTTCAGTTCATCTTCAAAATGCCACAAGCAAAGGACATTTTCCTTCGAAGAGGGAGTATCTAGTTTTTCTAGCACGTGTGAAGGTCGGTTTGCGATAGAAATCAAAGAACGATTTTTCGGTATCAAGCTACAAAAAAGGTGGCTTAGTATATCTGCATACTAATCAAGGAATAATGAGACAACTTACCCAGAGATTTGAAGCAATCTCGCTTTTTCGATGGCGAGACAAACGATAGTAAATTATCAAGAAATCGAATGGCGTACAGTGGATAAGAGTTCACTAAGTAGGCCATCGCACACATGTAGTCTTGCCCAGATTTTGATTTTAGTGCCATAGATAACCATTCTCGTGTAGTACGATTCAGTGAACCTAATTCACTTGGAAGTCCATTCTTCCATAGCTTCAAACCATAATTCCGCTCAAAAGCAGAACTACATTCGCCACGCAGCTTAAGTAAGTCTTCTGTTGATAAATATGGCCCCGAACACTCAGTCAACTACGAATTATAAAAAAGGAACAACCTACTTTGTTAGTAAACCAACTAGACATGGATAATTTAAATACACTCAAGGTCAAAAGCGATAACAGCCTACAAAAATTAATGGTTTTAAAAATTGCTTGAGATAGTAGAAGACAATTTCGCCAAACGGACATTCATATCTAGTAAAATTGGGTCACCGATACCATCGGGTTGGAACCTAGGCATATTTAATGATAAATGAGAAAAACATCAATAAGTTATAACGGAATTCTGTCCTTAGTCCGTAAGAATATGTCAAGTTCTCTCTTATAGGACTCATTGGAAACCGCTTGCACTAGCTCAGAAGGCAGAGAATTCCAGCATCTGATTACTCTCAGCGAGTAGAAGGTGTGCCTACGCCCGTTCTGCTATATTGTGTCTCCAGTTTCTTGGTGTTACCCCTGAGGTTTGTGTTGGGGCTGAGTCTAAGTAGGCATTCAAGGGGATGTTCAGAATTGTTTATGATGCTGTAAGTCATTGTGAGATCACCTCTAAAACGCACACACTCTGATGAGTAAAGATTCGGTGAATTGCGGCGCTCTTCATAAGGTTGAATTCGAGTCTCCGAACTGATTTCGTGACTCGCTGTTCCAATGTATACTTATCATTTTGGAGTGAGAAAGGGAATACTGTACTTCCCTGTTCTGAATGGGGTCGAGTAAAACTGTTTAAGACCGAGTGAAAAGTTGGGATGGTTGGAAGGAAGTTAGGGAGGCCAAACCAAAACGTGGCATCACTGCTTGAAATCACTAAATTCTAGTCTGAGCCATGTTGGTAGATGCAGACTACCTGTCTTCCCTTAAGCTAACAGAATGAAATTGCTTCATATCTTCCTTTCTACGAACCAATTCTTTCTTCCTGTACTATATCCTTATTGCAGTCTTTCTTTTATATATTACCACCTCTGAATTAACTACTTTTATGAATCCGGTGTTCATCTTGTTGTGTTAATGAGGCATGGCAACTTGGACCGATGCATATATGTGCCTGGTCCTACGTTGTAGCTGACTGACTGACTGACTTCAACGTTACCAATGAAAGTTTTGCTCGAAAGGCACTTTTGTTGTAGTTACCGTAAGACTTCAGATCACAGGGTACCAACACTCCTAGATCTTCTCTAGCTTGAGATACCTCTAGAGGGGAATTAATTGAGTTGTGGTCGTATTCTGTAACACGTCTCAGATGAACTACTTTACACTTTGAAGTGTTGAAGGTAAGTCCGTTGTTATCGACCCAACTTTCAAGTCGAGTCAGATCCTCCAGAAGTGCCAGATTTTCATCTTGGTTGCAAACGTTTCTCCAGAGTTTCACACCATCAGTGAAAAGTAATGAGACGACACCTGTTGAACAAGGTGTTTTATATAAATTAAGAAAAGAAGCGGTCCTAGCACTTAGCCCTAGGGGATAGTGTTTAGCGCAAAACCATTACGTGTTCATGGCAACCCTTGCCATCGACTCTGCTTTGAGGCGGTCGATGCCGATGCTATCGTTGTTTCCGTTATTATCGACCATGTAGTACTTAGGCTCGCGTTGAAGAACTTTGAAAGGTCCTTCGTATGCCGATTCGTAGGGTTGTCGATGCGAGTCTCGACGTCCAAAGACGTGTTTACTGTATCGTAAGTCAGGTTGAACGAAAACACCAGTTGATTGAGGTCGAGTGGAAACAGGTTTAACTGAACTTGTGAGCCTGTTCGTGTAGGAGGTTAGATCCATGTTCATTGAAGAGGATGAAGGATCCATGAATTCTCCTGTAAGTCAAAGGGTCGTTCCATAAACGAGTTGAACTGTAGTGTATTCAATGTCAGCTTTCACTGCATCGCGAATACCTAGTAAGACGAGTGAAAGAGCGTCAGTCCACCAAGAATGTTTGCAGCTGATAGTGAAGCTTTTAGTTGCCGGTGAAAACGTTCTACCTACCCGTTTGCTTGAGGGTGGTAGGCGGTCGTTCTGAAGCGAGTGCTTCCTAAAAGTGTGGCCAGACGACGGAAAAGTTCAGATTCAAACTGACGTCCGCGGTCTGTAGTGATGGTTGAAGGGCAGCCGAAGTTTGCTGCCCATCGTTCGACAAAGGCGCGGGCCAGTCTCAACAGTGATTCCTTGATAAGTACTGTTTCTGTCCATCGAGTGAAACAGTCAACGCAGATTAAGAGATAAGAGTATCCATTTGAATCTGGTAAAGGTCCTACCAAATCCAAATGAACATGGTCGAAACGAGCATCGGGAGTTTTAAATGAGCCTGAGGGACATTTGTTGTGTCTGATAACCTTAGATTTTTGGCAGCTTTCGCAGGATCGCGCCCACTGCCCGCGTCTTTATTCATACCAGGCCAGAAAAACCGTTCTGCTGTAAGCTTGATGGTTCCATCTGTTTAATGCGCAGCTTAAGGGTTGTAGACGATAACTCGTGTTGAAGATCATTGTCTTCTTTTTGAAGCTGGGCGAGTTTTAGGAGGTCAGTTCCTTGGAAACTGTTCTAGAAAGTTATGCGAGACGAGGCGTCTGTGACCACATTGTTTGCTCCAGAAATGTGTCGAATGTCTGAAGTAAACTGCGAAATGTAGTCCAGTTGTCGAGACTTATGAAATGAGTACTCGTCTGAAGAGGAGCTTAACGAGAAAGTAAGAGGTTTATGGTCAGTAAAAATGGTGAATTCATGGCCTTCGATGTAGTGTTGAAAATGCCGTACAACACAATACATAGCTAGGAGTTCCCTACCGAATGTGCTGTATCTCGATTCAGTGTCTAGCAACCGTCTAGAGAAAAGTGCCAAAGGTTGCCAGGGGTTGTTAACCCACTGTTATAAAACTCCTCCAAGTGCTCAGTCGGATGCGTCTCCTGCGATACTAATGTGTGCTTGAGTGTCTTGATGGGCAAGCATTGTTGCATGAACGATAAGTTCCTTAACTGTGGAGAATGCTTTCCGCACGGTGTCGTCCAAATTGATGGATTCCGCATTTCCACGAGGTTGGTCGGTAAGAGGTTTCATAAGCAATATGCATTTCGGTATGAATCGTCTATAGAAACTTACGAGGTCGTTAAACCTGCGTAATTGCTTGATGATGGTCGGTTCTGGGTAATCCAGAACGGCCGCCACTTTGGTCCTAAGGGGTCGAATGCCTTGAGCATCTATAGTGTGTCCTAGGAAGTTTAATGAGTCGGTTTCGAATTGGCATTTCTGAACGTTTACAGTAATGCCATGTTTTTGTAGTCGGAAGAAAACAAGATCCAGATGTTTGAGATGTGTTTCTCTGTCCGGACTTGCGATTAGGCAGTCGTCAACATACGAATGTACGAAGTTGTGACCTCGAAAAACGTCGTCTATGAATCTTTGGAATGTTTGAGCAGCATTTCTTAGACCGAAAGGCATTCGCAAAAAATCACAGAGTCCGAAGGGAGTTATGATAGCTGTTTTCGGTATGTCGTCAGTAGCCATAGGGATTTGGTTATACGCTTTAACCAATTCGATTTTCGAAAAGACAGTTGTACCTTTCAAGGTAGCTGTCAAATCGTGAATGTGAGGCAACGGGCAACGATCGGGAATGGTTTTCGCATTCAATCACCGATAGTCACCAGTTGGACGCGTCGTTGCCGTCCTTTTTAGGGACCATGTGCAACGGAGATGCCCATGGGCTATTTGACGGTCTTATGATACCCAAGTTTATCATGTGATCGATTTCGCTCTTCACCAACCTTAGTTTTTTGGAGGCTAGTCGTCGTGCTTTTGAGAATACAGGCGGTCCTGTAGTCGTGATGTGATGTGTAACATTGCTGGTTACACACGGTAATTTTGGTTGCGGTTGGCATATCCCAGAATACTTATCGAGTAGTGGTTGATAGAAGGGGTCTATCGTGTGCTTAATTGTGACTGAAGATAATCTGCGACCGGAAAAAGAAGTTACGCAAACAGATAAATTAGTGTTTCTGTCTACTAGCTTCCGTTTGTGCGT